AAATGTATTTAAATTGGAAGCTAATTTGTATAATGGAAGGGACAGAAAGTTATAGGAATCTAAAAATACTAAATCATCAACAGAGAATGAAATGTACTTTTCCATATCTTTGGCTATGCAATTTAATTTACGATTAAACTTTCCCAAGTGTTGCATTATTAAATGTCCATCGTAATTTTTCAAGTTATGGAAGAATACTGGTATTTTCTTTGTTACTTTATAGTTTAAATTACAATCATTATGGGCAGCTCCACGGTATCGGCCAGATGAATGACAATGATCACGTACCCTATCAAAATATAGAGGCTTTTCACAAATATGACAATGTGTTGAGTTTTGGAAAGATGCCTCTTGCTCAGGAGTCATTACAAGGGGAATATATATCGCCATTTGATTTTTAATGAAGTCATAAGTCTCAAACAACCTTTCAAAAAACACATCCATAACATTTTCACCACTATATAACTCTTCAGAAATAATCTTAGACTCTTTCACTACAACGAATGCAAATCCCGATGGAATATGTATATTGGAGTTTATAAAGCACTCAAAATCAGCATAAATTACAAATGGGGCTTTAAGTTGATATTTATAATTTTTAAATTGTAATGTATCTTGTTTAGACATTTCCACTCGTTGGACATCAAAGTTTTTACAATATGTTATATGACGCTCCAATTTATCATTAGTGTAAAAATGTTGTAAACAGAACCTACAAAAATACTTCTTATGGTCATCTTTTGTAGAGTGGAACATTAACTTATTAAAATCACGAATTAAACAGTAATGTGATTTACGACCTTGTTGTAATAATAATAGATCTATGTGTGCATTACTATTCAGTTTGGTTCTTCTTAATGGATATATAAACTTTTGGTCTTCAACTCCAAATACATTAACACTTATATTATTTTGTCTTTCAAATTTATCTATATCAGATATTTTAACAGGATACTTTATATTTGTCATATTTAACTGATTTTCATAGGGTGCATATTTCGATACCCTTTCAGCATTTTTAGCATTCCTTGGATGTAAAGCTGCTAAAATTGACCAAAGGAAGCATTTATTATCAGCATTCTTTATATTTAAAACTGCTTTTGTCAATTTAATACTTTTTGGTGTGGGGATATATGACTTTGGAGTTAGGGGCTTATACTTGTAAACGTGCAACTGCCAATATTTAGTATAGTCATATATCCATCCACTACCATCGGCTTGGTATTTGTGCATGGAAGTGTCAATCTTTAAAAGAGCATTTTCAATTTGATGCTTTAAATCTCTCTTCTCAATGGTTAGGATAGTAAGGCTTCTAAAATCTGCAATACATTCTTTCTCATTAACTAATTTTCCGTTTTGATCCATTGAATATTTTATAAATTTGATTCTCCTTACTAAAGTCCATTTTATCGGTAGAGGACAAGACTGAAGAGTACTTTTAAGTTCAGTTTTAATCGATTCACCGACAAATTTAATCATTGTATATGGACATTTGTTACAAGAATTTACGTGTCTTTTAAAATGACCAACAACATTTCTTTTACAGAAATTACAAGTCTTATGAGTTTGTAATATATGAGATTTTAGAGCTATGTTACTATCACAGATTAAATCACATAGTTTACATACCTTCATTTGATGTATCAATTTGTAATGGCGAATAAGGTTGCTTTTTTTGGAGAGCGATGCAAAACAATGTTGACATGTGGTCTTCATTTTTATATATGAAATTAAAAAAATAGGTTGGCATCTTCTATATAGTATAAATTACATTTTTACAATTTAAATTAATGAGAAGTAATAATTCAAATCATAATTCTAAATTTTAATATTCAAAACAATTTTATACAATAATATTTGGCAATTAAAATTTTCTAAATCAAAACTAAATTCTAAATCTTAAATAAAAACTCTTTTTAGCAGAATGCTGAGTCTACATTTATACAGAGTTAGTGTTAGTTATATAGAGAAGACTACCTATGAAAAAATTATATAGAGATTGAGATTCGGCTAAGTTTTAAAAAAATAACTTGTATATATTTTTGACTCAAAGTCCCCAGTGATTGAGATTCGGCTAAGTTTTAAAAAAATAACTTGTACACACTTTTGACTCAAAGTCCCCAGTGATTGGGATTCGGCTAAGTTAAAAAAAATAACTTGTACACTTTTGACTCAAAGTCCCCAGTGATGGAGATTCGGCTAAGTTTAAAAAAAATAACTTGTACACTTTTGACTCAAAGTCCCCAGTGATTGAGATTCGGCTAAGTTTTAAAAAAATAACTTGTACACTTTTGACTCAAAGTCCCCAGTGATTGAGATTCGGCTAAGTTTTAAAAAAATAACTTGTACACTTTTGACTCAAAGTCCCCAGGTGAGTCAAATTTGACTAAGTTTAAAAAAAATAACTTGTACACTTTTGACTCACTTAAAAATAGTAATAACAAAATAAGGTTGCTTTTTTGGATAGAGAAGCAGCATACAATTGAAATGTAACTAAAAAACTAGGTTGACATCTTCTATATATAGTAGAAATTACATTTTAAAAATTTCAATTCATAAAAATAATAATTTTGAATCTGAATTTTATATTTTAATATTCAAAATTATTTCACACAATTAGATTTGGCAATTATAATTTTCTAAATCAAAACTAAATTCAACTTAAAGAACTAAAAGAAACTAAACTTCAAACTAAAAGAAATACATAGTATGAGTACAAGCATCAATTGGTCACAACCAATTGATCCCATGACCCGACACGCGACAATATATTAGGCCTACACTAGTCTAGCTTACATGTTAAAACAAGAAGATTCAGGTGATGAGCAAAGTGGTCCAGGCGGGCGAGGTGGTCCAGGCGGGCGAGGTGGTCCAGGCGGGTGAGGTGGTCCAGGCGGGCGAGGTGGTCCAGGCGGGCGAGGTGGTCCAGGCGGGCGAGGTGGTCCAGGCGAGCGAGGTAGTCCAGGTGGGTGAGGTGGTCCAGGCGGGCGAGGTGGTCCAGGCGAGCGAGGTAGTCCAGGCGGGCGAGGTAGTCCAGGCGGGCGAGGTAGTCCAGGCGGGCGAGGTGGTCCAGGCGAGCGAGGTAGTCCAGGCGAGCGAGGTAGTCCAGGCGGGCGAGGTGGTCCAGGCGAGCGAGGTAGTCCAGGCGGGCGAGGTGGTCCAGGCGAGCGAGGTAGACCAGGCGGGCGAGGTAGTCCAGGCGGGCGAGGTAGTCCAGGCGGGCGAGGTGGTCCAGGCGAGCGAGGTAGTCCAGGCGAGCGAGGTAGTCCAGGCGGGCGAGGTGGTCCAGGCGGGCGAGGTGGTCCAGGCGGGCGAGGTGGTCCAGGTGGGCGAGGTGGTCCAAGTGGGCGAGGTGGTCCAGGCGGGCGAGGTGGTCCAGGCGGGCGAGGTGGTCCAGGCGAGCGAGGTAGTCCAGGTGGGTGAGGTGGTCCAGGCGGGCGAGGTAGTCCAGGCGGGCGAGGTAGGCCAGGCGGGTGAGGTGGTCCAGGCGGGCGAGGTAGTCCAAGCGGGCGAGGTGGTCCAGGCGGGTGAGGTGGTCCAGGCGAGCGAGGTAGTCCAGGCGGGCGAGGTGGTCCAGGCGAGCGAGGTAGTCCAGGCGGGCGAGGTAGTCCAGGCGGGCGAGGTAGTCCAGGCGGGCGAGGTGGTCCAGGCGAGCGAGGTAGTCCAGGCGAGCGAGGTAGTCCAGGTGGGCGAGGTGGTCCAGGCGAGCGAGGTAGTCCAGGCGGGCGAGGTGGTCCAGGCGAGCGAGGTAGTCCAGGCGGGCGAGGTAGTCCAGGCGGGCGAGGTAGTCCAGGCGGGCGAGGTGGTCCAGGCGAGCGAGGTAGTCCAGGCGGGCGAGGTGGTCCAGGCGGGCGAGGTGGTCCAGGCGGGTGAGGTGGTCCAGGCGGGCGAGGTAGTCCAGGCGAGCGAGGTAGTCCAGGCGGGTGAGGTGGTCCAGGCGGGCGAGGTGGTCCAGGGGGGCGAGGTGGTCCAGGCGGGTGAGGTGGTCCAGGCGGGTGAGGTAGTCCAGGCGGGCGAGGTAGTCCAGGCGGGCGAGGTAGTCCAGGCGGGCGAGGTGGTCCAGGCGGGTGAGGTGGTCCAGGCGGGCGAGGTAGTCCAAGCGGGCGAGGTGGTCCAGGCGAGCGAGGTAGTCCAGGCGGGCGAGGTAGTCCAGGCGAGCGAGGTAGTCCAGGCGGGCGAGGTGGTCCAGGCGAGCGAGGTAGTCCAGGCGGGCGAGGTAGTCCAGGCGGGCGAGGTAGTCCAGGCGGGCGAGGTGGTCCAGGCGAGCGAGGTAGTCCAGGCGAGCGAGGTAGTCCAGGCGGGCGAGGTGGTCCAGGCGAGCGAGGTAGTCCAGGCGGGCGAGGTGGTCCAGGCGAGCGAGGTAGTCCAGGCGGGCGAGGTAGTCCAGGCGGGCGAGGTAGTCCAGGCGGGCGAGGTGGTCCAGGCGAGCGAGGTAGTCCAGGCGAGCGAGGTAGTCCAGGCGGGCGAGGTGGTCCAGGCGGGCGAGGTGGTCCAGGCGGGTGAGGTGGTCCAGGCGGGCGAGGTAGTCCAGGCGAGCGAGGTAGTCCAGGCGGGTGAGGTGGTCCAGGCGGGCGAGGTGGTCCAGGTGGGCGAGGTGGTCCAGGCGGGTGAGGTGGTCCAGGCGGGTGAGGTAGTCCAGGCGGGCGAGGTAGTCCAGGCGGGCGAGGTAGTCCAGGCGGGCGAGGTGGTCCAGGCGGGTGAGGTGGTCCAGGCGGGCGAGGTGGTCCAGGCGGGTGAGGTGGTCCAGGCGGGCGAGGTAGTCCAGGCGGGCGAGGTAGTCCAGGCGGGTGAGGTGGTCCAGGCGGGCGAGGTGGTCCAGGTGGGCGAGGTGGTCCAAGTGGGTGAGGATACGATAGAATCTCCCCCTTTTATACCCAAAAATTGTCAAAAAAACCTGCCCCAGACAGACTGGCGCCAGACAGGCAGAGAAAATTAACAATTAGTTTTGATTGGGGTCATTGGGCTACACTCAGTCATTCATTAGAGTCAGGAGCGGGAGCATGGGGCAGGAGCCCGACCATAGCATGGAGCACGCCATGGGTCAAGAGCATACCAAGAGCACACCCGCGACCGGGAGCACGCCATGGGTCGAGAGCATGCCTAGAGCACACCCGCCACCAGGAGCACGCCCGAGTTCGCGTGCCGAGAGCTGGGTCTTTAAAAAAGTGGCCAAAAAAATGAGCCATATTCCAGACGTGTTTTTCAGTATTAAAAAAGTAGAAAATTTATATAGAGGTGTATAGGTCGAGAGCTGGGTCTTTAAAAAAGTGGCCAAAAAAATGAGCCACTAATTTTTCTCATTTTTCCCCTATAAAAAGTGCCCTAAAAGTGCCTCTAAAACGCCGAAAGTGAGGTAAAACCGGTAGTTCACCACTACTACCAAGAATATCTTTTGCATCCTATTACATTAAATACCCTTTGCGTCCTAAAATAAAACAGTCATAGTTTTTACAAAAAGAAATATTTTGAGTTCGATAGAGTAACTTTAAGTAGACATATCTTTTTCGTAAATTCTGGAACAACATCTAGAATTTACAAAGTGTAAGTCGATTGAAGTAGCCAAGGTCACTGATAGTAATGACATCAGTGTCAATGTCAATACCTAATTATCGGATAGTTTCATAAACGCATCAAAGTATAGCCTAAGAAGCTTAAAATGCAAAAAAATGTTATTTTTTATTTTTATTATGACTGGGGACTATAACACTATTTTGAATGGAGTCTTGATATATTTAAATAAAATAGCTTAAGTATACCTTGTATTTAGATTTTTTCAAAAATCTTTTATTTAGGTAGTTATTTAAAAGGTATCAATACTGTTTAAATAAAACTTTTATTATTGATACTATCCAACAGTCAATGATAATACTTAATAAAAATGTGCCTGATTCCGGGTTGCCTTCAAATAAATGAATCAAATAGACTGTTTTAAGGATAAACCAAAATTTTTACAAAACAGCAGATAAAGTATCGTCAAGATCTTACGTCAAGGAAAGCAAATAAATGGCAACGATTTTTCCAAGTCGTCTATAGATGTTTGAATCTCGAGCTATAGTTATTTTCACTGTCCTAATAGAAACCAGGTAGTACAGTAGGATAGTTAAATATCCCCTAAATTTTAAATGTGGTTCTTAACGTAAAATGATGACACAGAAGATTCTACAACCATACGAGTATATCTAAACCCGCTTCAATACTTAGTGTTTGACTGAAAGAAAATCCTCGTCCATTGTGATCAAAACTGTCCATTTATATAACTCTTATCTAATCTCTTGTGCTTTACCAAACTGACATAATCCCACAGTTTGTAGAAGTTTACCATCCTAAAACATGTTTGGGTTTAGTATACAGTTCTTATGAAATGGGCATATTATTTCAACTGTATATCTGGTGTTATTAAGGAGATCGGTTGAATTAACACCTTTAAAACATGCCTCCTCCTATTAATTTAAGACCGCCAAAAAGAAGTAAGTATTATAGTTTGTCTTAAGGCGTTAGGTAAAATTAAATAGATGTCAAAGTTTTGTTATTTTTATCAGCACTAAAATCTTATACTTCTAATTAATTCAAATTCTAGTTATTAAACTGAATTGGTTTTTAATAACAGAAGATTTGTAATTTGTTTAATTGAGTGTTTTATTAATCGTTTTACGAACTTGTTTCTTTCTCCTTCTGTAACGTATTCATATGTTTTATTATACAACTCTACTACACCTTAGCTGTCATTCGTAGTTATTGCATTTCCTTACTGTACAAGTGTAATATATGGCCAATGAATATAAATTACAATTTATGCTCTATAAACTTAGAAAGGTGGTAATAACTATTAATTACAGTTAATTGAGTTCTTAACGCTCCAAGTAGGAAGTACTCAATCAGTATGTCACTATACAGTATACTTACTTTATTTAACTGTTTACCATCTAATCAACAGTTGTATACGTAAGATAGTTCAAATACCTGAAAGAGAATTTATTTGTTATTGTTGTATCAACTAGTTTCGATTCTTACGTTGAAACATGTTCAGCCCATCAAGGAGTCAAATAAGGCTTGTAAGGTCTTCAACAAGGTGTAATAAGTACGTGCTCAAGAAAAGGATACATAACCAAACAAACGGAGGATAATAAAACTTAAAATCGTATCTACTTACAAACACAACAGCCAATAATTGTGCTATTCATGCATTTAAACCCATTTTTGTCCCATGATAAGGTTTACTTGTACTATATGACCAACAATCTTCATTCTGCCCCACAGCTCCTCTATGTACTCCGGCCACGACACTCACGACCCAAGATTGGGGAGGAATCTTCATTCACGAGAGGAGAAACTTCAAGTTCCCTCTGAAGTTCGTTGTTCTCACCTTGACGACGGAAACTGAGCCCTGCTTCAACCAGGAGAAATGCTCCAGGATCGTGCAGGACCTACAGGCGAAGGACATGGAGGATCACGGGCTCCTCAACATAAGATACAAGTAAGGTATATATTTCATTAACTTTGCTCAACCGAACCTTATATCTGGCTTACAATATTCGTTGACGTAAATAATGTAAAGTACATTTACAGAAACTGATTTCAGAAGAAATATTTTTTGAATTGAGCGTTAAAAGTGTAGATATATTTTGGAAGATGTTATAAATGTTTTATTCGCAAGAACATCCACAAAAAAATACCGTTTATAAATCCCTAAGAGAAAACAGATGCAACACAAATTAAAACATTATCTTACAATTCTAACTGTACTAGAAAAACAGACATTATCACAAATAGGCCCTACCAATGTGTTGGCTAAGTTGAACATTAAAAAATTTGAATGGTAAAGATTCTAAAGTTAATTTTGTAAATATATCAAAACAGTAACACCTACGATACACTAGCTAAATTTTTTTCCAATATTATAAGCAAAATTATATCTGTTATTTAGTTTCCTCTTGGGAGGAGACGGACAGATATACGAAGGAAGAGGATGGAAAGCGAAACCAGCAATTACTGGAACATTCGCCATTCTGCATGGGAAATACCTACACATCGCCTGTATAGGGGATTACCGTGGTAAGATAAAATTTATTAATTGTTGTGTACAATTTTATCATAGGATATTTAGAAAGTATGAAATATCTTTTCTGCGCTTAGATTATAAGTTATTACGTGGCTTTTGTAGGAAACTTCTACTACAGTACAGGATATAGTTTTTTCTAATAAAGATGGGTGGTTTTTTTCCTAGGTAGAAAAATGTGATCACAGACACAGACCACTCTGTTGGGTTTACTTTATCATTCCAAATATACAATGGGATTACGATTAATCTAAAGAAAATGTATCTTATCACAGTTATTCAAACATATGCATAAGGATTAATTAAGTCTTTACCACAATTGACTTTATAAATATATATTACACAATTTTACCTTGGGAGAGTCGTTTTAGCTGTCAAATCTACTTCAATGAAGACAATAATTCATCATTGGCTTTATATTTAAAGTGTCATAACTCATATTACAACATATGTAACAGTATTAACTATTGTTGCAGCCACGAAGCGGCCTGAAGCTATGTATAAGGCTCAATGGGATTTAATACAAGAAGGAGTTGACAACATGTATTTGAAAGAGGACTTCATTTTCTTATAGTGATGCCCAAGTACAAGTTAGATATTTAATTGCTAAGTTGTTTTTGTTTTTACAGTTTCTACAAAACGAATATATAAAATTTTTAATCTTTTAGGGTAATGTTCTGTAAATATTGTAAATTATATGTTAAAACTAAACGTTATTCCTCATTATAATCATCATCGATAGATAAGAGTGTAGCAGTACAAGTCCTTACCATACCCAGAGGGTCACCCGTTCTATCCGGAAACATATGTAAACCAAAACCTTCAAGTTTGAAGCTTTTCCCAGCTGTCCTTTACTAAGATTTGTGAGAATTTGATTTTGATCTATAGCCTTGTTTACACCAAGTTGACAAACCAAAAGTTGACAACAAAAAGTTGACAACCAAAAGCTTACAACTAAATGTTGCTCTGGAACAATTTGAGAAACTAATGGAAGATTTTTTTGTGGAAAACCAAAACTTGCTCCTCATTAATTTAGAGCAACTATTGGAACTTGTTGGCAAAGAATTGACTACCACCCGACGTCACACCCGGGTTGCTTGGAGGGGCCAGGGGAACAGTTCTCCATTAGCTTTCCACAAGTTGCTTGTGCAAAGCGCATAGCATAGTCTTCCACTTTTTGTTGTAAACTTTCTTTGATCTTTACCGACTCTCCACGGGAAATCAAAATTTAGTGGAAGACTTGTATCTACACTAGTGGACGGTAGAAAAAGTCAGTGTATTTGGTAGAAAAAGCAATTTAGTTTCCGCAACTAGTGGTAAACTTAGTGGAATTCTTTGGTGTAAAGGCGCCTTATGATTCTGGCCAAAAACCAGCTGACTTTTGTCAGAACAAGTCAATATAATTTAAGAAAATGCAACCTCAACTACGAGACTTCAATAATTAGACGAATGTGGAAAGTTTTTATTTAATACATAATAAATAGTGACTTTCCTAACACATGCAGTTTAACATCTCTGATCAAACAATAGTGCAATATATCAAAATGATTTAGGAAACCCACAGTAACATTTCCTTAAAACATTTATATTTCCTTAAAACACTTCATACCGTCAAACACATCTCTATTCACAAAAAGAAATCCAACCCATTTATTCCAAAGCCATTCATCACTTGGCCATTTAAACTCTAATTGACATTGAATTTCAACTTTTGATAGGTGTTTAATAAATACGGCCTGGTGGCTACCAATCACCCAGAGTATTACGAGTGATTAGAGCATCGGATGATCTATGTGGCCATGTGAAGCGATCTGTCAAATTACTTCAGACAAGGCGGTTCTCTAACAAGGTCCGATGGGCGGTTCCGAATGATAAATTAAGGGACGAATCCCCAAGATTACCTCGCGCTACTGGGAGAACCCGAATTGCTCAACTGATTCCCGATTTGATTTACTAGGCCGCTTTCGATTTCCACGGATGATTTATCAGCGGGGTGTTTTTGAGTTTGAGCTAGCCGATTTGGTTTTGATTTTCACCTTGGAATTTAACATGTTTGGTTCGAAAACTGACATTTTTATAGTTTAACAAGAATTATTCGGTGTTGTGACACTGCACGACTATCTGATGTCTGCACAGTGTTTACATTTGATTCATAATATAACATGCTCAGACATAGGTCATGACCAACTGTTTGAACTTGGAAAATATGGAAAAGTTTAAAAAGCATTGTAATAATTAGACAACGCATTAATTTCAAATGTTCGTCCATAAAGGCCTACCTAATTTAAATTGACCTTGTATACTTAACAATTTTGGAGTTTTCTATAAAATTATCTCCTTACTACGACAAGTAGCCTATATCCCAATGGTATTAAGCTAGTGAGGGAAAAATAACCTTTGATTTGACTGAACAATTTTTTATACAGTGTTGTTTTTACATGATCATTTCTCTGTAGCACTCAAATTTGCGGTCAAAGAATTTAAGACAGTATAGTTTACTCACTGAAACCTTAATTTTACCTTTTTTTGTAATAAAGCAGCTTGGAATGAATTTATAACTACAAAGACGTGTAAATTATTTTTTATAACTTTTAAAATTAATGACAACATTAGTTGTGCTGTTTACAATGTAATAAAAGGCGCAAGTCCATTATAACACAATAAACGCTAACACTTGTACTGAAGGATAAGACGATGTAAGGAGATTATTGAAAGAGTGAATACTATAAATGGATTAAATCACAAATAACATAATCTTAAACTATATTTTATTGTAGATATTACGCTTACTCTAACTAGTCGACGATGGAATGAAATTTCGCAACATATTTTTTCTTCATCCCGAAATCAAGAAGATGCATTTTTAACCTCATCAGTTCATCCCTGAATTCTTCATCTAAAACAAAAGTGCAGAAGTGTACAAGTTATAATATCCTTCATTATAATTCAAAGAGATTAAATTAACCAAAGTATTTGGCATGCTCTTTTTGATTGTTCACAATTAACTTACAACATGTTAAATTTATTATTAAATATATGACCAATGAACTAGTGAGGTTTGTCATGATTTCATTCGCAGTTTTGGTTTAAAACTATACCTGGACTGCCTCCTAAATGGGCGATGACCAGCAGATCTTTGGTCAAGTGGCTGTTTGGGTTGTTAGGAGCTGTATTAAACCATCCCCTACCTTGGTACACCCTGCCATCGTCCGCAATGAAAAAGCTGAAAAAAGTTAAAGGCTAACTGTAAAAAGATGTCATGGATTGTCAATCATCAAATTAATTCTAATTTTTAGCTAATAATAAACACAAATTACTCCATGCCTGCTTTTTCACAACCTGTCCCTTTGGATCTTAAGGGGATTACCTATGTAAAACACACGTTTTTTTTACTCTAAAGTATTGTTTTTAGGTATGAGTTTAAGTTGTTATTTGTTGGTTAACTTGTAAACAAGTAGTTGTTCACGTAAATGTTATAATACGACTTCTTTAAGGCAGTTACACTTTAAAGATTTAATTGTCTCCTAAGTCTATAAATACTAAAATTTATTGTAAAGCAAGTCTCTTCATTTTCTGCTAGACTTTTGATTATTTAGTGTATATCATAAATAAGACTATGTTAAAACTATTTAAACTATCAACCAGTATAATGTAAAATGTATTTAGAGATCACCCAATACAAAGTGATAAATTCTTTACAAAGGTATTAACACTGAAAAATGTAAGTTGTTGTCGAATTTAAATAGCTTCTTTGTTCATTTAGTGCTGAGACCCTTTAAATCATGTATTTAAACTTTAACTCTTTTAGGTTATCCAAACCTGACTTAAACAGTGTTACAATAAATTGAAAATCTATGCTAGAAAACCCAAAGTATTGTGAATCAAACTAAATATACACCCTTGCAAATCACCCTTGCAAGTATTCCAAAAAAAGGTTTTGATCTGGCTGAAGATAAAATGGTCCTAGAACAGCCTCAGTCCAGTGTGGGTGTTGGCTCCCTGGACTGAAACATCATGAAACAACAACCTTACTTTGCTCTGATGTCAGTCAGCCCGCTTCTCATATCACGTATTTGTAGATCCCTCAGCTGCTCAAAACACTCATCTTCGTTGTAGCACTTCCTCTCTTCACTCAACACTATTGTTTTCACAAACAGAATCGGTCTTCTCAACGCTACCTTGATTGTAGGAGGCAAAGCTCCCCACTTCTCCCTCCCCACTATGTAGAAGGAGTTGAGCGCCATTCCTTAGCTAAAACAAATACAGTTCAAGTATAGCTACGTTTCAATACTATTAATCAGTTGACAGATAGGGAAAGTATACAATTCGCATGTAATTTCACAATATCTTTAAATGTCATTTAGATCACAGGTTGGTCCGTTAAAGAAAAACTGCATATCTTGTTTAATAACTAATATGTGCTTAGTTTCTTTAAATATTATAAACAAATATTAAAGGATATTAAATTGATATTAGTAGAAAAACCTGCAACACAAAAACATCTTTTTAAATGCCCAAAACTATCAAATAAATTACTCAAATGAAAATACCTGGCGTAACTATTACTAAAAATGGGTAAACTTACATTAGACTAAGTCTCAATAATAAACACTGGTTATCCACACAAATATTAACATAGGCACTTGCCAAAATGTTTTGGAAGTAATGTAAGATTAGACATGATTTTTCGTTTAAAGAGGAGATATGGACACTTTGGCAAAACTATGTGATCACTATTACACTCCAATTAATCCAAGCGTTACTAAATTGATTACACGTTTAAAAACAAAAGTAAAACGTTTTAAAAAGATGGTTGATTACACGTTTGAAAATTAAAGTAATAATTTTTACTTTTTTCATACACATGTCAATTTGAACTAAATATCTAAAACAAATTCAAAGTTTCACCATAAACCAAATATTTCTCCATCCACACAAGAAAAAAAGTTTACTTACCTTAACGTATCTTGCTGTCATCAAAGACTAGACTGATTCATATTACAGCTTTTAAAGTTGTTTTAAAAACGTAGAAGTTCTTTTTCTCAACGCTGTCAGAAGAATCATGGTTCGCGTCGTGATTAGTTAACACCACATACAAGAGAGATTAACTAACAAACTTGCTATCGCAATACAATACAAATTATTTTTGTTATCTCTTAGCATTTTACACTTAATAAATTCTACCAACTTCAATAGTAAAGCCGATACAAGTTAATTAACCAATATGCTGCCAAAATAATAATTTGATATAACATAATGTTGTGCAATTTTAGCAGTAAGACGTTCAAAACTAATCCAGTTTCATCTGCTTGTTGTATAGTAATTTTAATTAGTTTTCATCATGCTTTGCCAAGAAACAGTGTTATTATTAACTGCATTTGATCAATTACAGGGAATCCTACAGCTTAATGATACCCGGTAGGGGCATGGCACTATAACATGAAAAAGGGTATTGTTTTAAACCCTGCCTAAAAGATAAAATACCTGTCTTCTAACCACTACACTACGACAAACTCTTTAGTATCTGTTTTAGTTTTGTGGTTTGTCATTGTGCGTTAAATAATAAATAACAGTTTCTAAAATGCAATCAATTTTGTACAGTCTTATAGAAGAATGTTTTTAGGCAATCACTAATTTACCCTTCTGTATTACATAAAATGTTCCTCCAGGTTAATTCTATTCCTTCCTCTTGCTCAGGTAGTCTGCCTCAACTTAAGCTGAGACAGCCTTTAACAGTGTTTTATTGACACTTATTTATTTACTTCTATTAACGTAGTGGTTTTTGTCTCTAATTTATTGTAGAGTCTTATAAAATAATCTTCACTTTACCATTTTAATTACAATATTGAAGCTGTTAAATAAATTTGACTTTTATTAAATAAAAAATGTTTAATTATTAGTTAAATTACAGAATGTGGATCCATGATGAACCTACGTTTCGTTCCCATCTTGATAAGATTTTCTTTCGCCTCGACGAATTTCTCCGTAGGCTTTACAGCTGAAAAATACCAATATGCAATTTTTTGGTTAATGGTTTAAGGATTTGTAAGCCGTCAAAAAGTGGATAATTTTGCTCCAAAAATAACAATGCTTTGTTTGAAGTGTTGTGCTTCAAAAGTAATTCTTGAATGAAACTCACTTGTATAGAATGAACAATACAGTGCCATTACCAATTCCATACTATATACTTTTTCAACAAAAATATCTATGTACGTCCGCACTCTTACAGAACTGAAACGTTAATCTGTTTGTAATATACATAAATGTATATTCCAATTAAGTTTCGATTGAATTTTTGGTTAAAAACCAAATGGCAGTTTTAAACACCATTGTACACACAAAATACAGAATAGGAAAGTTAAACGAAACAAAGATCATTAAAACTTACTTCAGTTGAGTTAAAATGATTATACATTTTTTGTGGTTTAATTTAAACCATTAATTTTAGATACTGATATTATAGCCCTTTTTATAGTGATCACTAACCAGTTTTAGCCAGTATTTGATGGAAACTACATTGCTGAATGAACTTATTTTTCAGTGTGCTACTATTGAATCTACTCAACACTGTTCATATGGTTCTTAACAACTTTCAATTTGAATAGTTAATGTTGAGTCATCTTTTTGTTGAGATGACTGCATTTAAATGATAACATCTTTTTAAACCCGCACGCTTTGACGGTTGTTCAGTTATATTGAATTATTTTATATTATTAAATTTAATACGTTACGATTTTAAAATAAAAACAAAACATTAGTATTTTATAGCTCATCTATGTTTAAAGGTATTATTTGCAATATTACTATGAAATACATATTTTTGTGTGTGTTTCAATGCCAGTGAAATTTTTTTTAAGGGCAGTCAAAAAACTCAGTACTTGTTACTATCATACGTTGACCTTAATTTGGCTAAGTAACTTATGATCTAATGGCTAATGGCAAATGACATCTTAATCCATAATCGGTCTTGTTAGAAATCGAACAAGCGACTTCAGATTTCAAGTCAGCACCGTTACCACTAGGCTACCCTAAAGATATAGTAAATAAAAATATAGTATGTTAATATATTTAGTGTGGGTCATTGAGAAGCAGTTTTGTCCAGCAACCAATGATGATGCAACAAATAAATGATGATCCCCCATATCTCTCCTTCAAATTATGGAGGGAAACCTCACCGCTGATACATTTATGCACTATTGTTAAACAGGTGTCTTACTTGATTTCCCGCCAATGTGGCCTATCAGGAGGTATTTTCCGTGGAAAGCTTTTGGCACCTGGTAATCTGGAGGTGCGCTGAACCAGCCTCTTCCTTCATACACCTTCCCATCGTCACCTATCAGGAAACTGGAAATATTACGTAAATAATATAGGAAACATATAAACAGTTTGAGTTGACAAAATTGTATTATTTGTGCATATGGCTCATGATAGAGTTTAATACTGTAATAAAGATAGTTTCGTAGAGTAATTAGAGTTTCCTTAAGCTAAAGTTCCTATTTACTTACAACCCCTGTTGGACTCACTTAGCCTGGATATCCTGCTGCTTGCCATCGTACATGTCGTGTTTTTGTATGGCCTTCATCTGTTTCACACACTCCTCCTCCGTAGTACAAGCGTCCACGTAGCCCACCCCTATGGTCCGCACGTAGGGGACGGGGTGTTTAAGGGACACTTTACTGAGGGGAGGCTCAGCCCCCCACCTAGCCCTGGTAGCGATGCTGAAGTTGACAGTCGCTGCCATATTGAGGGTGGATCTGAGAGGAATAAATAAATAGCATTATAAATACATTAAGCCTAATTGGGTTTCTTATGTTGTACATATATACAAAACATTATGCATAGTATTTAAATATGAGGAAAACCATACAAAGTAAGGTATTTAATTTTTTTTATTTTACCTTATTTTATTATTGATTAAGTTAGAATTGAATAGAGAATTAGAACTGGTGTGTATAAATGACACAGTCTCTTACGATGGTATATTCTTTTTTTAATCTGTGTAATGAAGGTACGGTATGGTTAGTATTATGATAGTATAAAGCATTTCTTACACATGATTGGTTATAATGTGTTTTCCTGATAACTTTGGATTAAAGCCTTTAAATTACCCAGTGTAGTTTAAGATATTAAAGTGGAATTTATTTTACCTGTTAATGTTTATTTTTTTATTTAAGGTTTTTGCATTATCTCCCCATCACACTGATAAATAACTAATGATAATGAATATACTGCTGTAATAAATAATATATTATGTTTATGGAGTTGATGGACTCATACGGCGTTCACAATCTCCTACCTAAGTTACCTAGTGTCTAGAAAAAAAACTAGATCGGTAGCCCACCAATATATTTATATATTTTTTTTTAATTTATAATATTTACCTCTAAATAAATACACTCACCTAGTATAATGTTATTCCAACAAAAAAGTCTAGACAACTCTTATATGTATGATTTGAAAACCTTTCACACTACATAAAACAAATGTTTAACTTGTATAGGTGATTATTCAATAAAAAGTATCAAAACTTCTTTTTCTATTAATTTTTGCTTCAAAATAATTTTAAAAAGTTTTGAATCTTCTCATATAGCTTATCAGTTTTGACTATTACCCCATATTTCAATGTTACATTTTATCAACATTATATAATGATAAATTGGTGATTCTCCTTCCACAATTCAGTGTTTCTTAGTTATGTCATAATACAGTAAGCCCGTAACAACGGTTTTTATATAAAGTTTTGAGTGGGAATTGATAATGAATTACCTAACGAACACGTGATTTTTTTAAATGAGGTAATGTTATTTAATTAAATACTTCATCCTCTCAATTTAACAAGAAATACTTATATAATATAATAATATAATATAATAATATAATATAATAATATAATATAATAATATAATATATAATAATATAATATAATAATATAATATAATATAATATTTTAGTTTTCTACAATGATATACGGTTTGATTAAATTTTGATCGAATCAATTCCTTGAATTGTCTTTACGTTCACACTACACTGTTTTAATTAACTTCCCACGCAAGGAATTAATTTTTAGAAAACGGCTGTTTGGCGCCAGATTAATCAAATAGGGTTTTCATTACTTACTACTATACTGCAATGCGTTTCTACCAGATACCAACAGGTGATTTTATTTGGCAATGAGTGGTTATAAACAGAAACATAACCTCTTGGTTAAGAGTACCTAGTCATTTGTTTGTTAGTCCTTTAGTCGGTGGGAATTAAGGAGTTGTACATATATGTTATTGTTAAGCTAACTTAGAGTAGTATGGTGTAAAATATATCTTGTCACTCGTCCAAACCCGACTCGTATGGTAATCCCGCACTCGCCTTTGTCTCGAAAGAGAACAACCACACTCGTCCGTAGTAAACTAAATAACTATTGTACCGAGCTAATTCAGTGATATCATGAGTGCCTTAGGACCACAGAGATTTTAGCCAAAATCACTGAGTTCCAGGAATATTTTTATAATGACATGTCCACATTCCGCTTCACTCCCTCACGAGCTCCTAAGTCCTGGTCCTTTGACGTCCTGTGGCGCCTCCAAAGGTCACATGGGAAAGCAGAACAAGAGTATAAAAGTCACAGACAATGTTCACTAAGATATAGAGGACTCACTTTATTGCTGTTATGACGAATATATCAAGCAGACAGACGTCCAAGGTGATTCATTGGTAGAACGTGAACTACAAACAAGATTTGTTTAGTTCTTTCCATTAATTTCCGTTGTTAGATTCAAAATAAGTAGAAATAAATGTTTACGAGTGTTCGGTTTACCTGGTGTTGTAAAAGTCATGAAATGACTTCTTTATCAGCATCGTACGTGTTATTAAAATTACACGAAAGTCCAAAAATACGTCAAATGACAATCCTAGTAATATATTTACACTTATAATGTTTACTCACAAGATGGCAAATACATATAAAAGATGGTAGGTGGTGATCGATTTCGATTGGACACCCCAATCATCATCAGACCCAACATTCGGCTATTGGGTCTGATGATGATGATACTTAATTACGTTTGAAACATATTTCAGATTATCAGAGCTTACTCAGTGACCTTTTGACCAGTTGACCATTCATTACCTACTTGTTAACAAGTTAACAATACTGTTGATCATTGTTGACTACTTGTTAAAACCCACGAGTATTTAATCAAACAATTGTAAGTCCTCTGTTAGTTCGGGATACCTCATAAATAAACAGTTTTTCTTGGCTCAAAGACGGTTATTTTTACTAAATAAGTGGACTTATAGCATTTATGATAGCAAATTTTGAAATTTCAGCACTATCCTTTACATCAAAGTCCCAACACTGTAGTCCCTAGAATAAAACGAAATTGTAGTATTTACCTTAAAATATCAAACATATTTGAATCAAAATACTATTTTAATTATGATCTTACTTGCATGTGTCTTTTTTTAGCAGGAAACATGGGAAATAATACAAAAGTACTACCTACTCAACAACGTCAATATTTTAAGTTAAGGATTCCGTTTCTTTAAAATTAAATGATGAGACGTATTTCCATGCTGTAAGAATCATGGATACATACAGCCACTCATCTCTCTCCACCTTCTTCAAAGTCACTCCAGAGCAGATTAAAGAAGCACTTGCTTATGAGGATAGGAAGAGGAAACGCGAAACAGAACCTCAAATCGAGAGACAATATCTCCCAGGGGAGGCTGAGCCATTAGGTAACTACTGTATTAGTTTATAGATCTGACTTATGTATATGTATTTATTTATACATGTTCCTTAAAAGTACGTAGACTTACTATGGAAAACTAGCATACTACTACTGACTATAACTATGGCGTTTTAGCCATGTTGATAATGAAAAAATTTAATGCAGTTTATATTGTTTTAAGCAAAATTTATTGAAATAGTAATTTATTAATAAATGAAACCACTGAGTTCTGAGTGTTTAAAAGAAAAAAACTACATTTAGGGCAATCAACAACCAGGAAATGACCCATTTCGTGACACAGTTTTTTTATTTAAGTACTTGGAAAATTAAAGCAAAAACAAACCGGAATTCTTTGGAGTCTATTTTACACATTTCAGTCAATTATAAACCAGTACTTTGCATAACATGTAAATTAATTTGATAGAAACAGGACATTTAAAATACACCAAGCAGAAGTCCTTAGGTATGTGTGTTGTAATACAGGGAAGAACCTGTCTTATGTTTAGAAAGATCAGTTTCATTCTATACAAAAGAATAATTGGAAGCAATTGGAATGTTCAAAAAGCTATGCTGATAAATGAATATATTTAAACCCATATGGGTTGTAACCTAAAAATTAAAATAAAATTGCCTAAGAAACTGTCATTTAGATTAATAGCACGAGTAAATCGTATATAAATATATCTGTAAATTTTCAGAGGGAAAGTACACCATAAGCTACCACGATAAACCTCCTGTCCCGAGTAAGTTTAGTTTTATTAGGTTTATTATATAGTTTAGTAAGTCTGTAATGTTGCTGTATAAGCAATATCATAATAAATCCACCAAAATAGTTATGGAAGTACATAAAACCATAACTATAATCATACAACCATGCATAACTTAATATTACTATAAAACTTTTATATATTTCTGTAAAGGTTTCTTAGTGAAATACAAACAACATTTAACAACATTAGCTGTTACACCGTTCGACTTCATAAGTATTAATAATACTATTAATTTGTTAAGTTAAGCTGAAGTAAACAAAACAGAATACAGTAATGCAAACAAATAATCACACCTGATTTTAATAAGGTAATAAATTGAAAGATAGCAAATAAGTACAGCCGAGGTATTTTTTAACATGGAAAGTTACCTTTAGAAAGGAGTTACGACCATTAAAGAGCAATTTATTAAATAATTTATAGTTTTGCGCAAGATTTCTCGTCATGACGAACATTTTAAGTATATGGTTTATGGGGGTGTGACTTTTAGTTTTCTCAAATGTTCAAGGGTACTTTGGGATTTACATATGGTTTGTAGAACATTTTACACCACATTTTCTTTGGATAAGCTATATTAAAAATATAAAATATTTATACAAAGTTGGATTTATTCTGTACATAAATTTAAATAAGCTGCAATCACCAGACTTGAACGCCATCCCAATCACCATCGTGTCCAGAGAGGAGTGGGGATCCCAGCCGAGACCTAAAGACGAGGAACTGTTCCTTGGGAAAGTCCCTTTTGTTCACCAGGAGTACAACTCTGGAACACCGCAGTGTTACAACTTCCAGGAGTGTTCCAGGCTGGTCCGGGAGATCCAACAGAGGGACCTGGATCTTGGATACTCGGATATCCGATACAAGTAAGTTAGCTTTGACTCTGGATAGTGAGAGTAAGTATTTTTTTGGTCTTCTGGATAAGAGTTTTACACGGACAGAAAAGTATTAGTAGTAGGGCCTGACATCTGTTGACAACTGTTCTGAAAAGGCTGTCGGTAACGAGGCCGAAACGACATATTTGGCTAATTTGATCCTGTTCTATTTAATCCCAAGAAAACGTATTGCTGCATTAAAAACTCTCCACAATGCTCGATTCTGGGCCATTCGCTTTGCTTCTCCCCAACGCTTGGCTTCGTTACGCAGCTCTCTCTCTCCACCGATCTCCTCCAAGTCCTTGTGGTCTGCCCCTTTTCCTTGAGGGTTCCACCCAAGAGCTTGGTGGCTGATGCTATTTTCTGATTTCCTTAGGGCTTGTCCTGTCCATCGATATTTTCATTCTTTTAATAGCATCATCAATGGCGGATATTTGCGCCCCCTTCCATAGCTCTAGCTTGTAATAAAGTTCAATATGTGCCACGATAATACACAGGCTTAGTAGTGTTATTATTGAGGACCGTGGAATCCTGACCTCTTTATCTCATCCTTTTTGTTGAGCGGAGCGAGCGAAGCTCTTATAATATTTCAAGCATGGTTGTATTTAATGTGTAGTTACTTTTGAGTAATGGAGATTTCGATGTTTCCTAAAAACGAAATATTTCTTTCCTTTTCCTTCCTTCTTCATTCTTCTGGATGAATTTTAAAGTGAGCTTTACCCTTTGGGATTAGTTATAGACAGCAAGTGTCAATTTAAAAGGCAATCATTCCGTCGGATTATTTAATATCAGTATTTTATTGTTTTATATTATATCGTCTTTTAATCTGACTTTGCGATCGGCACAAAAATATCTGAGAATGGCAATACAGAATGTACAAATTGTTGGTCAAGGTCATGAAAATGTTAAAACCAATGATAATCACACATAAGAAATATGGTGTAGCTATCCTTCTAGCATATTAGTGCTGTAAATAACCATTCGTTGAACTCCTCAGTTATTTCTCTTGATATAGACGTGGACATATGCTACAAGGCTGAAATGTCAGCACATGAAGTCACACGATTTCTAAAAGACCACGCTTAAAGATTGATTGTAAAATCTTTACTCACTGCATTTTACTATTGATTAGACTGTGATTACCAGTGTGATCCCTCTTCAATTGACCACCGCCAATTGACCTTACCATTTCAATTGACCTGTAGTAACCTATGACTTCCACCCTAGTTTCCTGGTCGGTGACGACTGGAACGTCTACGAAGGGAGAGGGTGGTACGTCACCCCAGAGAAGACCAATGAGCTGCCCAGATATCACGGCAAGTACTATGAGATCGCCTTCATAGGGGATATGAGATGTAAGTGTCACGTATCATTTAGTAGTACCTAGATGTAGCTCTTTTTGTGTAAAATGTGTAGTATTTAGAATTATAAAATATGTTTTACTTATAGAGTTAAAAATGTATAAAGACTCTACATAAAAAACCTCATCCGTAAGATTTTGGAAATTCTAAAACTTTTAATGCTAATTCACGACTACATAATCTCGTTAAACTACCTAATTCAACTACTCGTGAATTGACCAGTTGTTGAGATCTGACAATGTCAATGTTTATGATTAGGTGTGACATAAATAAAAAGTAAACTTCCACAATAATTGTTTTTAAGCAACCCCACTTTACAAACTACGTTTTTCAATTAAAATAGTTTAAATACCTGTAATGTTAATAATGCAATCGGTTGTAAACCAACTAGTTTCGGTTCACAATGGAGCCTTCTTCAGGTTTTCCCAAGGACATTGTCACTTCTTCTGATGGTCGTCAAAGTTCACAATATTTACAAAACATAAAAAACATTAAAAACACGTTTTTTAATACATTTCCTGACTATTAAACAACTTTGGTACCGTTAGAGTACATAAACCTAACCTCAAGTCGCAAGATACTAACTAAATAAAATTATTAAATCTACAAAATCTACTTTAATTAACTAAATCTAATTTTGGTTCTAAATTCATATAATCACATAGACTATGCTATTGTTCAGTAGAGTTTCTGCACGCGGGCTTGAACTGTCTGATTCGTACAGTATAAACAAAGTTACTTAAGCTTTATTCTGTTTGATTAATAAAGGTTTTTAAGTCCACAATAGACGTAAATTAATTTTAATTGAATAACTCAACTAGTAGTAGTTGTTTCCTCTATTTAAATGTGGATTTTATTTAGCAAACTTTTAACCAAAACATTAAAATGTATACTTGTTACTCACATTTATAATAATTTCAGAGAAAATGTAAAAACTATTTTACTACCATTGAAAAATACGATACAAAAATTACGTTAGAATTTACGATAATTGTATTTGCCATTACCACACCCAATATTTGGAATTGAAACTAATTTAGTTTACTTGACTTTTTCCAGCACCGAATCATCCAACGTTCCTACAGTCCAAAATGTTGTGGAGTATCTTTAAGAAGGGAATGGAGATGACTAAGACGATAGACAAAATGAAATTTACTCTCATGGTTAAACATTTAGACTTTTACCCTAATTGTAAACAAGCTGCGTGAGTTTCCTCGGTATTATAGTGTAAAGATATACTTTTTTTTAGAAATGTTTTGAAGTTTGTTAAAAATATAAGTTATATGATGTTTTGATTGCCCCGTATAAAGGTATTGTAAATATGCAGACAAGTATTGAATTTAATAAACCTTCTTGTAATTAAAAGTGGCTTATGGGAAATTCGCTAAAACAATTTCATATTATGTGGGTACTTTTTAAATAGTGTCCTACAATTTCCATCTTAATTTGAAATGCTAAAAAGGTTGTAAATATAAAAGAGAAGAAAATGTGACTGCCTTAGCAGAGCTGCAAACCAATAAAATTTCTATTTGCATGATTTTATTTTCACTAACATGTTACATTGAAAGATTAACGTACAATTTATTACTTATAGAATTTTCAGTTTTTTTTTATCATGTCAGTAAAAAATGTATATACCGCTGGAAGACCAAACAATAAATAAATCATTAGGCGTACATTGACACTTCAATGAACTATGTACTCATTTTTTCAACTGCACAAAATGGTTTACGAACCAATAGCATTTTGTTGTTAAGGGTAAAAATCAGAAAAAAATACTTACCCTATAAAACTTCCATTAAACCCCCACCCTCATACTTCGGTCACGCTGGTTTACTAACTGGTTACAATAAATATGTGTTATAAGTTTGTACTAAATGTGTATAAAACATGGGTGTTCCTGCTCGAGATATCGTGCTAATTGAAATATATGAATAAATAAATAATATGTACACGAATTTATGAATTGGTTCTGACTCTTAGTTGTAACGAGATACGTAGTAATAGCGTATTCCCTATATGGGAAATTTAATAGAAAAACTTGGTAAGAAACAAATTTTTTATGATGTTAAATAACTTTCTTAATATTTTAAGCTTCTACAGTGCTACAAACAGTTACTTCCAATGAACAGTTCGACGGATTGTAAGACATGTAATATACAACCAAACCTTACAAACCTACATTTAAATAAAAACAATTGTTAATATCACAACAAATATTTATGTAGTTCTAGGTGTTAGTTAAAAATTTGAATATCCTTTTACACATTGGATAGCTTAAGGATTTAGAGGTACGCTAAAAAAAATATTTAATCATATGTAATTTATAACCACGAACTAATAATAGGAATTTTAAACGTGTACATAATATTTACAAGACTAATGTGGTTTCCCGTATGTTTCACATGGATGACGGCTCGTCCTTTCCCAAGTCTAGATAGCGGACTCCTCCAAGGTCTAAAATGTCGTAGTACTTGTCCAAGAGGTTATGGCCAGTTCCGATTTCCATTGCAACTACGGACCGGCGTATCATCTCGTTGCTAGGCGGTCTTTCTGTGAATAAACGCATTAGGATACTGTCAGAACAATTTGGTTTTAGAAGGCTTGGGTGTACACTGAGAATAGTTACAGAGCTATTAATTGATAGAATGGTTTGAAATTCAAAGAAAGAGTACAATAAAATAGATACTAAACTAGTGTACGGGGCTTACTGAATAAGAGGTCAATGATACATAACATACATAATTATCACCAGAAATATATTGTTTTGTCTAAAAAGTGATAAGCCAAAGGACGCTACGAATGGTATCATAGCACATTATTTTAGTACAATGGCATGAGTGCATAAGTGGCCGTGGTTATAAGTTTATAATACACATGAAATAGCTTGATGATCAATGTATTTTCATGATCAACCTTTTTTGTAACAAATTGTTCCACTAAAATCACTTAGTAATAACTCTTTTCGGTTGATCCTCAGTTTCAGAACTGATTATTATTGGGCTTTCAGCAACATTAACTTAATATTGGGCTTTTAGTGACATTGGCTTAAAAAGTACCTGTAATTTAAACCTAAGAATCACAGCCATTGATCGGCCTACACATCTCTTCTCACTACTAATCTACTAATTCATTCTTGACGTAATACACGTCAAGTCTGCACCATCTTAAGAGGTTTGGCATTAAAATTTAGAAAACATCCATTGGTTACTTGGTGGGTTTTGAACCCAGGACCTCAAGGATCTGATTCCTCCACTCCTAACATTCCAAATATAGCATTGCACCAGCTAGCTCCCCGAAGTGCACACTGCTCATCAATGTATTTAAATTTCAGCCTTCTTAAATTTTAAAAGGCTTGATATTTAACATGGGAAGTATCAAAATACGTACTTGAATAGTCACCAATAAAGCAGATTTCTACGAACTTTCCATCCAGGTCTGGTCTATTTGGGATCTTCTCTGGCTGAGCTCGCCAACCTCTGCCTTCGTACACGTATCCGTCACCTCCTACCAAGAAACTGCAAGTGTACAATGTGTACGTGGTAAACATAAGACAAACTAGATAAATACTACATAGCTACTGCAAAATAATAATTTAATGGTAACAACAACAAAATAGATACATCCCACCAAGAAAGCTTAGAAAAAATATCCATTTTGGGTGAAGGGCGTTTGTCGATACAGAACAAAAAAAGTATAAGCAAACGTACACATACTTTCTCCCATTAGGTTGAAACTTAAATTGAACATCTTACAACTCTTATAAGAGTTGGGGTTACACTGGGTAAATGGTGCGACGGAAGTAACTATGGACCAAATTGCAGTAACTTTTAAACCGCAACATGTACAGCAAGGAGGAGTAACTTTGGTCAAGGCTAAAAGGACCATATGAGCAATCTTAATCAAAATCGTTATAACCGTTTTTTGTACGAAAATCACCGTTAAAATAAAATTTCAAAATAACTGAGAAAAAAACACCGGGAGATACCATGGGTAACCCACACACAACGAGGTCTGTCACACAGTACACATCTACACACACATAATTTCGAAACATTTTTTTTTGTTCTGGTGGCACAAACCGAATATTTTCACTCAAACTCTAAAATTTGCATGAAAACAAAATATACTATATCAAGGGAGAAAACAATAAGGTTTTCTTTTCTCGAACTTTTGTTGGAGTCCAACCCCCCCCTCCCCCCCCAACAGGATAAAGCATCAATGCATGGCTTATTAGTAGACAACCAATGCAGTAGACATTGGTAGTTTGCAGAAATTGAACCCGAGCTTCAGTCTATTACTCTAACCATTAGATCAGGATCCTCGCTCCCCCCACTAGAGGTAAGCCGAAAATGTACCAACAATTTTGAAGAAAACCGCAACGGTACTACGAAAGGGTAGATATTAAATATAAGAAACTGAAATTAGCTACAATAGCCGAGATATGACGAGAAAGTTAGTTGCTAACAACTTAAGGGTTATCTACTTACCTATCAGCTAACAGAAATTCGTAAATTCATAAAACAGTACAACAATGGTTAACTACCAAGGAACTGCAAGTGTCCTACAGTAGTGATATAATCTACAAAGAGTAGTAACTACATGATTCTAGATTCTAGTTTCTGAAAATGTCCCTACTAATAGCATGTTTGCGATCCTATAACAATTAAACTTTAACTGTTGTCATCTTCAGGTGTTGTTGCTGAAAAAAAGTAGTATGACTCATTTACAGATCTGATGATAGTCATAATCGTTTTCTGGCTACCATGAATTCCTTATCCTTGCAAAAATCACTCTATTTTTACACTCACTTGGGGGCCATATCCGGTAGGCCTCTTTCCTCTGTGTCTATTCTCTGGATCTCCTTGACTCTCTTAGTGCATTTCCTCTCGGAATGGCAGCTTTTGACTCTAGTGGTAAAGGTGAACCTGACAAACGGCACAGGATGCTGCAACGGGAGGAGAGGAGCTAAAGGAGCGTTTGCTCCCCACTCCTTCCTGTTGACGTACTGCATGGGCATCTCCTGAGTCGGCATTGTGGTCGGGGTTGGTTACCTAGAGAAGACCAGGCAATATTAGAAAGACAGGATGTTCGGTGAATCCATAAATCTGTAATTGGAGAGGGTTGGAATTTTAAATTATTTTCAACCAGAACAGCAGCTGCAGCAGTTGCTTGACTTCAGTTACTATAACCTGGTTGAACAAGAAAACTATTAGAAATGTTAATTTGCATTAATAGATAGGGAAGTTAGAGTACTCACATTGAAGTTTAAAGGTAAAAAAAATAAGTATGGCTTGTATCATAAGTAAAGTCCACTAAACTCTTGTTAATGGGTTAATATACATCCAGTTTGTAGTTTAGACTAAATTTAGAGTTACAGAGTAATGTAATACAAACAAAAATCTGCGTTTGGAAATTTTATTTGGGAAGATTAATTAAATAACTCAGCTTCTGATGGCAAAGTCCAATGTATTGAGTTTAGTTAAAATTGGCACTTAATGCATAATGCAAACCTAGTCCTAACAAAACAGTTCTAACTTAAATTATGAAACAAGACCAAGCAGAAGAATTGCATTGATGAAAGTTTAATTTTTAGCATTGGTTTCAATAAATATTTTTTTAAATATCACTGTACTTTTATAATTAAATGCATATCAACCAATTTTTATACTATTATTTATTCAATAACTACTTACCAAGATTAGGAAATTAAAGCATAAAAACAAATATTCAAATTACCTAAGGTAGTAACGAGTTAGGTTTAATCATCCTAATTGATATCTATAAGATTTTATATTTAACATGTAATTAGAGTTTGTAATTTTCTATGTGCATTACTTTTCATTGTGTCCTGTAACATCTAATGATGCGACCAAGGATGTTGCCTAAATTTGAATTAAGGAAACTTACTATAAAAACGTCAAGTAATTAAAAGAAACCTAACATGGTTTATTTGATCAACATATATATAAAGGAATTCTGCAATATCATTACATCGAAAAATTAAGGGCACCTTACTAAATTAACTCGTGAAACATTATTGTACAATTATAGTAAAAGCAAAATTCTATCAACAAAAAAACCAATCAGATCGCTTGAAGATGATGCTACGTTTTGCTCAGATATATCATCTTCCTTCAAAGTTTTTAATTTAAATAACGACAATTGTATACCTGACTGTATGGATTTTTTTCTAATAGGTTCAAAAAACTACACTTATAACCAACAATGATCACTCGAATTCAAATTACAACCATCTCAACAACAAAAATGTCACCACACAAAATTGTCAAAACTGCAAGCTATAAGTAATAAACCTCTCTTAAATTTGCGACCTCATAACACTAATAGAATTCATAAAATTGTAAAAATAAGAAATACGAACCAAATCAAAATGAGATACGTGTAAAATCTGTAACTCCACGATTGGTAGTGATGATAGATAGGGGGCAATAACTTTATTAACTTGTAAATAAGCGTTATCGTTAAGTTTGCCCTAGATCAGTGCCGATTATAATTCTTCCATAGTTTAGTAATTATTAAAAAACACAGATATGGATATAAAATCATCCAAAAGGTACATTTACAGTCCATAATAAGTAGTTTCAATGTTACATGGCAGTTTTTTGTTGTTGAGTAAGTAAGGTCAGGGTACAATATTAGATGTATAGTGTTAAATTTGATGTATATTTATTTGAATGGTTAAGAGTTTAGTAAAGAGAAAACTGTTCTAGAAGCAACAGTATGCATTTCAAGATCCCATAATTACATTAACTGTCAATTTTTAAAAGGTAAGAATGTTTAATTTTATACAAAATAATTTATTGCGTAAAAATATCTTATAAATTTAGTAATGAGCTGGATAATTTACGCATGCAGTTTTAATAAATGGTACTTACAATTTTTTCCGATTTGTGGTTTATTGCATAAGAAATGGTACACAAATGTATTCGGTTGTATAAATATAATAAGCTTTAACTCTAAATTTATCTCTAATTTGTTTTAAAAAACTAAATGCCATTTTTGGGTTTAATGTAAAACTTCTATTGACGTATTCAACGTACCATACCAGTAGAAATTAAAAAGAATATTAAGACTAACTTTCCAAATATAGTATTTGGCTTTCTTACCACCATGGTACAAAATTACTAAGATGAACATGTATTCCCTATATACTTTAACATGTACCAAAAACAACGCATGAGTTTAATCTACCCTATGAAGTATGTCATTATTTACATACTTAGCCATTTAGAGCCTTGTGGTAACATATGAACGTTAAATAGATGGAGTTACGAATGTTTTTTGTAAGATATATAAGCAGACTGACACTTAATGAAACGATGTATGAAGTATGTCATAACATTTTGCTTATTTTGACCCAAGTAATCAGTACGTAAATTATGTCCCAATCGTTTTAAAAAAATCTGTATTCATTTGGTGGCTGATTGAATTTATGCACGGTAAAAGCTATGAAAAACGTTAATTTAAAAATATTTGTTTCAGATGTAGCTAAACTTTGAGCTAAAAGAAACTCTCTGGTTTTGAAGTACTTTCAAAAGTACTTAACCATCTATGTAAACAAGCGGCAATGCATGTAAGCAAGCTTTATTTTAATTTGCACGAACCTGAATCATTCTACATATCTGAGGGTGGAAATAATAGTTTTATTTTCTGAAATATAAGTTTATATACATGATAATTGAATTATCTTTGAAAAAATAATAAAAAAATACTTTTACGAGAACTATTAAAATAACTAGGAGTTATTTAATTAAGTATACATTTAGTACACATTTTTATTTAAGATAAATGAATAGGGATCAACTAGGATCCATTGTATGAATAATAAATATAGTTGTTGCTTACGTTTTAATGAAATGAAACTACTTTTTATATTAGCTGCGTTGTACCTAAACAAGTTTTTAACCCATGCTACAAAATGATCCCACCTCAGTATTCTAGGAGAAAGCTTTTTTTTTATTGTCGTCTTTCAACGTTATAGTAATTTTACAATTAACACTTGTTCCCAAGAGATTAATCCAATTAATCACACCAAATCAAATAATTAATTAATTAATTAATTTGTCACAATAATGTTCAACCCGTTGTTATAAAGGTTCACCAGCTTCGTCATATTTTAGATTCCAGAATGGTTCACGTTCTCGAGAAAGAAGACACCGACTTCTCCACTTCCAGTTTATCCAGAGGTCCTCGGTCCTTCCTTGGACACAGTTCCTCTGCACCATCAGAACCTGGTGAGAAGGGAGGAGTGGGGAGCCGAACCCTCTTATAGACCTAAGCCCCGACTGGAGCACCCCATAAAGTGGATCAAGTTGACATACTCCACTTTCAGTCGTCGCTGCTTCACTGTCAAACGTTGTATCAAGAGTGTCAGAAACCTTCAGTTGGTGCATATCAACAAGGCAGGCATTGACGACATTCAGTACAAGTAAGCTTTTTGACATAATTTATTATCAGACAAATAATATAGTTTTTAAACTCCAAAATTAAATGATATCAAACTGAAGCTGTTAGTAGGTGCAATATGGTGTAAAGTGGCGGGGGTTGCACTTGCATCGTATTTTAAGGAAATCCAATATCTAAAAATAGTCTATATGATTTACATACAAAACATGGCTAGAATACCTGACAATACCTTAAATACTGCATTTTAGTTTCATGATCGGTGGGGATGCCAGAGTCTATGAAGGAAGGGGTTGGCATTTGGTACCTGAAAATGAGAGGATACTTCTAAAACCTTGGCAAGACAAGTTCCTGGAAATAGCCTTCATTGGTGATGATAAAGGTTGGTATCCTATAAATGTAATGTTGAAAAACATGCCTGTTATTATATTATTTCCAGGAACTGGTACAGAGGATCCATTTCTTTTTTTAAACCACCAAAATGTTTTTTTTCACCCACTAGATTTTTTTCAATATTATTTTATGGCTATATGCAATTTTTTTTAATGATAACAACTGCTATTCGAATTACAGAATATAATTTTGAGCATACTGTTGGTCTTGTTTGTTCATTATGTTTCCAACTTAAAACATAATCTTCAGTTTGCCTAACCTGAATGTCAACATTTACTTTCCATGACACAGACAGACTTAGAATATTTCTGGAATGGTATGATTAAAGAAAAATGCTTTCTGCATGTCTGCTTTTATTTCTGTATGTATGGCCTATGCGTTTTGGGAGGAAAATGTTGTTTGATCTATATTTCAACAATGAGAAAAAAACACAAAGTTTGGATTACAAATATAGTGCGTAAGTGTGCAAAATTACTCAATTCAAAGTTTTAACACTTTTTACATGTTTATTAGAGGAGATAGAAAAATTAAACAAACATTCATTTTTATTACATGCACCCTCTCCCGTAGCAAAACGAGGACAAAGCAGTTAGTGATGATGAAATTTTGATAGCAGTGATAGTGATGGTACATAATTAAATTTTCATACTTTGTAATGTTTAGGGTTCAAGATCCCACCCTCACATGCCATGTACAGGGCTGCATGGGAAGTCATACAATACGGACTCCAGAATAAATTCATTTCGGAACACTACAAAATGCTGTGACTTCAACAAAAAATTATCATGTTTAAGTAATATAATCGTTCCTATTTTGAATGTAGCTCAATAAACTCAAAGATTTGTAAAAGTGATATTTTTGTAACTATAACATATTTCTATAAGTTTTTATGTTGCTATATTAGTAAGAAAAACTATAATAAATCACTTTGAACAATTATATTTAAAGACTGTATAATAGTATCGTAGATGACCTTAACTGGGATGGTTGTTGTATTTTCAACATTATTTTCGAAAAGTTTTTGTCAACTTACGTTTATTTATATTCGTACACAAATTTAAAATAAACACAAAGTCTGATGAACCCAAAACCTAGTTTTACTAAAATTTGTATTATACGATATTACAAACTTCAAACCTTATACCTAATAAACCTGAAATAAAAATAAATCTTGATAGTAAAAAAATAAAAAAAAATAAATTTTAAAATATTACCTATTCATTCATGATAATTGTATAATCTTTGTAATTAATTGTAATTATATGAGTTTTGTACAGGGTTTTCACCACGTTAAGTGCCAAACTCATGGAGAAAATCAAGAATAAAGTTTTCCCCAAAACTCATTTAAACACATATGAATTCTTCAAGAAGTATTGGTAATATTGGAATTAATATAAATTTGAAATAAAAACTTCACCAATATTTTAAGAATTTTTAAAAATTCGTAAAATATTGGTGAAATTTTCATTAAAAATTTATACACATATGAATTATTTATTATTTTTTAAAAAACAGTTTATATTTTGGACATTTTCATTAGATCGTTATACAAAGGATCAATAGTTTTTGTATGTTAAAGTGAATAAAAATTACCTAAAATATATTTTAAATAAATAATAAAAAACGTAAATATTCAAAATGGTGACCTTTTAAAGTGTTTATCAAATTCTGTGAAAATGTGCTGTCTAATTAAAACTCAGTCACAACATGTTAAATTGTTACTTTTTGTAATTTAGTTTTATAAGTTCAGATAAATGTGATCACAATTTATTGTTGTATACAGTACTAGTACTATATTTGCTCACTTAGTTGTTCTTAAATATGTTATGTCAACAAAAAAGCTTGTGTTATGCTATTTTTTTTGTAAATTTCTAAGAGCTATGGTTGATTTTGTTTATACAGATTTCTTTCATATCAGTGACAGTAATTTTATTGATATACATTTTTTTAGAAGCATAATCTACCTTAAGTTGGAAAGCTGGACAAGAAAGCTATGTTTTATCTATGGTATAACTGACCCAATTCGTAGTAAAACAATTTAAAAAAAAATGCGGTTTTATTATAAATACAGAACAGCAATGGTCACATTTTATGTCAGAGTATTTGGTCAGCATTGGTCTGAAAATATTAGGAATACTTTATGGATGATACACTTAATAGTATTTAAATTTTTATAATGTTTTGATTTTCCAAAGTCTCATTGAGATGGAAAGTATAATTTTCTGTTACCATTTAACAAACATACATTTACAAACTAAGTAGACCTTATCAATGGTTAAGCTTGTTTATCTCTGTTTATAAATGTAATATTGATTAGATAAGTATAGTAGTAACTCAACCAACTGCCATGGATTACATTCGGACAGTCATACTGATATTCTCAAAAGTTTGAAAATATATCATTCTAAATGCGTAAAATATGTTGATTGATGTAGAAAATGAGTTGGGCTTTGAGAAGAAGGAGGCTTCGAATTATGAGAGGAAGCACTTCCGTAGATTTGTTGTAAGTTTGTAGTAAAGCTAGTAAAAATTGTTAGGATATGATACCATCCAATTGAAATTATCTTTTTCAAATTAAAATATGTATGGATTACCTATTTCATAATGGTAGGCGTAGCTTTTTACAGGGAGGTGCACATTTTTTGTGAAGAGGGTCTAAGATGCCTATATATTTTTTTAAATTGAGTTACTTTACTCTTTTTTACTGTTTGTTTTTACGTTTATAATTAACAACAATGGTTATAAACACAAGTACTTTAAAAAATATTATCAAAGGTACTGAATATTCTGAAATTAAAATACAATATATTTTAAATACATCCATAATTCTTTGCAGGTTTTATCCAAAAATATTTTACTAACAATTAATTTGTATATTTTAAATATGTGCTACGATTCTGTTGTATAAGTATACAACTACAATAGGCATAAGAATATTTACGTAAAATTAACGTACATTTATTAGAACTAAAATGGAAACTTTTATTTTATTCTGACTCAAATTTAAACTATTGTTATATTAACATTTTTAAATTTAAATTTCATTTAAATTTAAGCGTGTTGATTAGAGCGTGTCCTTCCTTTGCTTACGCAAGATATAAAAAAATACACCTCTTCACTAGGTAGGTTGAAGAATAAACATATGAATTTTGCAATTAGAATTTGCACTTAAAAAGATTGTCCCCCAAGCGGGTTGTTACAATGCAAAGTTCGAGACTGTACTTTATAGAAACATTATTTGAAGTTTTTTTTTTTTTTTAATTAGAGTTAAAACTGCGGAAACCAACTCTGTAAATTCGTATTTGACAACTTTAACCTAGTGTTTTAATTTACTAGCCTGCTCAGTCATCTTAAAATAGTAATGTAGCATTATAGTACAAGGCACTGTCAACAATGCAATGGTATACAAGCCAATGGGGACACGAATGATAAACCCATGCAAACGGTTGGTCTCAACATCATTTTGTTATGAGAATAAGACTACCAAAGAGCTATCAGGTTTGGAATTTAATATGTAAACCATGAAAATATGTTAAATTTTAAAATAAATAATTGCACTTTTTCCTATATTCAAAAATATTTACCAACAGAATTCAGAACCAGTGAAGATCATATCACGTGACGAATGGGGAGCAGAACCACCCACTAGCACGACCCCTCTACCAGGGAATATTGTCAAACATGTGTTGTACGTATACCAGACTCACACGAGCAGTTGTCGGAGCAAGGAGGAATGCTCCTTACAGCTGCAGGATCTGCAGCAGCGCTGCTTCGACAACAACAAACCTGATATATTCTACAAGTATGCTTATTTTACTCTGATTTATGCTACAGTTAATGATTACTTATTAAGGTGTTATTTTACAAACATATTGGTACTTTGTTATTATACCGTGCACACCGATAAATGGTCTTCCAAATCAGATTTTAATTCGTTTAAATAATGAAATATTTCTAACCTAACCTAGCCTAACCACCTTAGAAGTTAGGTTAGTACCAAACAACAATGCTATATGGTTACAATGCTGAGTGGTTACTCAAATGTCTTTCAACATTACTCCTTCAATTGCCAGGTCACCTTTTAAAGGTGTTGTGTCAAGGAGTAACATGTTTTCTCCAACTGTATCCCAAAACTAAAAATGATTTTTGTTATTTCCGAAACAGTGATAAAAAATTACAAAAGTACTGTACATGAAATATTTGTAGGCCATATGTACAAAGTATTAAATATTTTTAGGACAAAAATAAATAGATTTATTCTCTTCATAGAAAAACTGTACTCTAGTTCAGAACTGAGATCAAACTAGTAAGTGTAGGCCTACCTAAGATGTTAAAGGTACTCCAAAAGGTTAAATATATAACTAGTATGCTATCTCTTAAAATATAGTTTTGTTCAAACAAAACCTTAAAGACTTTATCCTAAATATTACATAGTATCAGCCCTAGTCCTTAAAGAAAATCTGCTGTTTACCAAACCATTCTGCACAGTATCAGAGTGTTTAATCCTATAACAATGGTTTGCGTTTCCCGTAGGTTAGGGAATTCCCTAGCTTCATAATTATTATGTCATATTGTATAGCCTGAAAATAAATACTAGTATTTGCGTCTCAATAAGAATAGAACGCATTTCACGTTTACACAGGATTTCTGGTAAGAAAACAGCCAAACTCCCGGAAATGGTTCTATGGGTGAAAATAAAGAGAAAATAAAGAAAATGTTTTTTTTCAAAATCGCTTCATTAACCAGATGTTCGCTGTTTTCGATAAACATCTTTGAAACTTTTCTTTGAGTTTGGCTGTTTACTTACGGGGCACTCTGCAACCTATAGTATATCCAATAGCACTCATCCTACACTCATCCTTCACTCATATTTGGGCTAAAATAAGCATATAGTCGCGTTCCCATCTAAAATAATTGATAAAACTGATAAAGATTTCAATCGTTTAATCTCTCTCAATTGGGCTGCAAAATGCAGTTAAGTACCTCAATAAAAACTACTAGTATTTAATTGTGGTCAATATTTCAGCGTTGATGTTTGTTTGCTTGATCATTTTGTGCATAATTTAGAAACATATACATGGCGATGGGTGTTTCAGCTTTATGGTAGGGGGTGATGGTAAAGTCTATGAATGCAGAGGCTGGTTTACAATGCCTGACAAGTACAACAGACTTGGAGACCACATGGACCCATCTACCATTTATGTAGGATACATTGGAGACTTTGCAGGTAAAAATATAAATTTGTCCAGTGTTTGTCAGTGTCAATTCAAAATGTTACACCTTGATTTTAGTGTTATCATTATCAATTATGTTTTGGTGAATTTTCCTATAGGAAAGTAGCTATTAACGTAGGTGGCACGATAAGACCTAGGCCCGGGACCAATTAACTTGTTTAGTTTTATATCCCCAGGTGCTAAAAACACCATGTGTTCAAATTCATATAATACATATATTATACAGGGTGAACAACTTAACTGTGCCACCATTGGTAACCCAGAAACTATTAAACTTAGAGAAAACAAAAATAAGTTTTACTATTTCAAAAATGGCCAACATTTTCCAATATGATGGCTGTTCTTTAAATTTGTCAGAGAAAACTTTAAATTTTATGATGTTTTTTGTATGTAAATTTTGTTTAAAAAATTACTTTACACTTTTTCTCTAAAACTAATCGTTTAGGAGCTACAACGTGTTACATTTAGAAAAAGTGCGTTTCTGTGTAGGCCACTTTCTGCATTCTGTAGCTCCGAAACAAGTAGGTTTGGAGAAGGAATGCTAAAATTCATCTAGAATTTAAAAACATCATAAAATAAATCAAAAACGTGAATACTACTTTTTTTTAAAAAAATGGCCATTGAAAATAGTGACAAACTTTGGAGTGTGTTTTTAAACGCCCTATATTTGATTTAATACAGGATTTTTTGTACAGTTTGTTTGCTAACTGTTCTAAAATCTACATTATTTAATAATTATAAATTAGTAGTTTAATGTGTATAATAACTGTCCAAAACAATCTTTGTTATACATTTTTTTAATTGTGCATTTTTAAATCGTTAAATATTTTTGCCAACCTTAATAAGTAATCTTTGGAAGGTAAAAGGTAAATGCATTATCCGGTATGCCCAGGAGGAAAGTTATGAACCGTACTAAGTTTTGTATTTTTTTTAGTTAATTAGTAACCCATTAAGCAGCTATTTGTTTTTTTCTAGATATCCATCCCAATATAAAACAGTGGCATGCTGGTTGGAAACTGCTGGAGTATGGATTCAGAAACAACTTAATATCAGAGCCAGATTTTAGATTGTATTACTGCTCATGATCATTTTGGTTACTTAAAGATACATGTAGGTTCGGATTGGTAACTATTTGTTTTTCCTCCACATGATATTTTAGGCCTTTATATTTATCTTTAAAGCATACATAAAAATATGAATAAAACATACAAAATATTTTATTAAGTTTTATTAAGTAAGTTTATTTGGTTTTGGGAGTCCGCTTGTTTTTAGTTATTTCGAATTGATTTATTGATATTCTTTCTTTCATTTATGTGATTAAAAACTTAGCGGTTAGGCTATAAATATTCAATAAATTATTGCTGAGTCTTACGATCTTCTCACATTATATTACAGGGTAAAAGAACTTTGTTTAGGGTGAATAAAACACCAAAAGTTCTTCTGAAATCTATTTGTAAATCCACATAAAGTTTGACATATGTAATAAGTTTATAAACTGTTATGAATGTTCAAATATAATTATATAAAGTACCACATTTGCCCTTATTTCAATTTTTCCTATCAGTCCCAATAAATCATAAGCTATCACAATAGAAACCTAAACATCTGTGATGTTACAGTAGGATATAGTTTTGATTTTAAAGATCATTTTTTAAAAACTATGGGTTTTATAAACTGTGTGTCCTAAAAATATAGGTTAACAATATAGTAAGGTTTTAAATAGAGTGTTATAGCGACGAGAATACGCCAAGTGTCCTTTTAATGTATTGTGAAATTAATATTATAAAGTATCAACAAGAATGCACTACAGGACGAAAAAGTTTCGAAAGCATCATCCTATGGGATGGAGCAGTAAGTATACAATACACTGAACTTTTGTATGCAATACAAGCTGTCAAATTAATAATGTATTTACAGTAATACAATGGATTTTTAAACAACTTTTATTTCGCGAAACTTACACTCATCTTTACACTAATTTCAAATTCAATATCCAATATTAAAATACTGTAAAACAATGGCAATATAATCCAAAGATATTGGCCATAATTTACATTTACGAAAAAAACATTTTCGGTATGGTAACAATATTGAACTTTAAATACCATATCACATTTTCCAGACTAGTATTAATGTTATGTACTAATTTAAATTGTTTCTTTAAAGCATTAGCAGCAGCTAAGATCACAATAGTAAAGAGAGAATGGTGGAAAGCACTGCCACCAATTAAGCAGGATGGTTTTGACAACACTCGATCTATCAGGTACATTATATATTCTCACACTAGTGGACCAAGATGCAAGAAGAAGGCTGAATGTGTCAAATTGGTGCAGGACATGCAAAAACAGCACATGGACTGGGGTATGCCAGACATTCGGTACAGGTAAAGTTCTAAACCAGGCGTGTAGAAAGTTTGTTAGTTCTTGGGTTATCTCATTTTATTTAAAAAATGGTTTAATGCGCAATTCACTAAATTTAGTAAACAATCTGCGTAGTGTTGGTTTCTTACATGTTCGGTGCTCTGTATTACCGTACAGTGCAGCATGGAGCTGACCTCGCAAACCAAAGAACCATCCTGGTGCTTCTAGTGTATGGAATATACATATAGTGATAAATGTACAAACGAAAAATACATTCTGTTGCATATCACATGTCTTATTTGCAGTAGATTTATATTTTGTTACTAAAAAAAAAAATAGTGTTAAAATGTTGATATTATGATTTTAGTTTTCTAATTGGAGGAGACGATAACATTTACGAAGGTAGAGGGTTCAATGCCAAACCTGTTATTAACCGAAAATATCCGGAATTGTACGGTAAAAGCATTGAGGTGGCTTACATCGGAAACTACAGTGAGAAGGGATGGGTGTACAGTATGTATTATTTTATATACAGTAAGAGCACTTAACGAAATAGTCAATTTGACAATTAATTAATTGGTGAAAGAAAGGTAGTTAGAGTAAATTTGTTTTTGTGAGTAAAAGAATTCCCTGGTGCATTTTAAAAAGTAAGTACGAACACGAATTTTTTAAATGTTTAATTGTTTTATGTATTTATTCGTGTTCGTACTGTGTTTATCTTCTGACAATGTTAACAACTGGCCAACTCTACATTATGTACCTGAAGCTGACGATGGTGTTTTAACACCGAAACATGTCCTGAATAGACATATTTTATTGAGCTGTGACGGGAATTACGTAAGTAATTTAATCTTACATTGTGTCCAACAGCTCAGGGGCTACACACATGGATTTGAAAATTTTTAAGCTACAATTTGATGACAGTTTTCATTTTACTAACTGTCAAAAGATACACTTAACGTTGTAATTATTTCACTAATCTCTGACCCACAAGTTTACATTATGTACTTTCTAACATACATACCTTACATTAATACGTTTTATTATTCAAAGCGTCCATAATCTGTTTCATTCCATCCTATAATGGCAGTCCTCCACAATTCTTCAGATCCCCACAACATTTAGCCCATCCCTTGAAGTTTGCGTCATTACACTCTCCGTTTCTCGCTTTCAACTTTCTTCTCATCCACAACAAGAATGTCCTTTTCATTTACTTCAATTAAAGTTTCGTTATTTCACTTCGGCTCCTTCCCCTTTATTTTCTTCACTGAGATACGTCAACTATTTATAATTATATTATATTATTATATTTATATTTTTTCTCTGTAGAGGAACCAACCCGCAATATGTGGGACAAAGGCTGGCAGATTATCAGGCATGGCTCAGACACTGGTAAGATTCCTGAGTGTGAACTAAGATACTACTTCGACACTGACCGTGATGATCTCGACCCATGGGAGATGCCACCTGGGGGAACCATGAGGTTTTCCAGAGAGTACCCTTAGTCTTCGCATTTTTAGGAGTGATACTCAAAGCTTCCGAAACTGTCCTTACGCCTTATAAATTTTAAAAGTCCCTGAAATTTCAGAGTGCAAAAGACATATTAAGAAGAGTCCTTATCAAGAGGTGTCATTGACCAAGTGGTGTACAAAGCTTTTCAAGCATTTAGGGAACACCATTAACCTTTTGGCTGTTCAAGTAATTAAAAGCTCAGGATGCATCCTGAGTCCCTAGGAACCTCGAGAATCTTTCATGAAGTTTCAAGTATCGTAGTGTTCAGACTATTTAATGAGCATCCTTGACACATTGCAAGTACTCTAAGATATCCATCCTTGTCAGAGCCAATACTGCGTTTATGATATTGTATGAGTCTACCTAGAACATAAAACCGTTATGGAAAATCTGGTGAATATTTGTACGTTAAAACAATGCTACAAAGCATGCGAGTGTGATATTGGTTCCCTGTGAGAGGTTAAGAAGATTTTATCGTTGTCATCCATTTTAAATTACTTTTTTAATTTCATCCAAAAGGCAAAATCTTGAAACAAAGTGTCAAACATGTAAATTTTTAAATAAAGGTAGCCTAATGTAGGTAAAGTGAATTTTTGATTTTCCTAAAGTTAGTTTATCACTTTTAATGAATCTAAGCAATATAATAGTCAGAATAGAAAACTATCTTTTGAGGTGTTGGCTTCCCAGTATAGTATATGAAACTAAGGACTTTATCATTATAAAGTTAAAAAAAACACATATTCAAGTATTCCATCACCAAAAACGCTTATTTTGAAATGTTTCTCTAACATAATATAAGTGCCAAAAATAATTGAACTCAACACAAACCTTTTTTTCAAATGTCCAAAAAAACTAAAATATAACAATAGGTACTAACCCAAATCCTTTCAATACTCCGTGCAACAATACACAAAGCTTGCATTACTATTTGTTTGAAGCACTTACTGGTCCTGTTATATTCCCATAGAATTACCAGGCCAGTACTGTTTGGTCAGCTGGTAGACAACAAATATACTACAGTGAAATAGCACGTAGCAGAACAAAAACTTAAGACCGAAATACATTTTAAATCGACTCTTTCTTTGGAAATACGAGTAGTCAAGTGAGGTGGAACAAATTGGCCATTTAAGCGTTCTTATCTATCCGTTAGTATTTACAATGTACTGAATTAGTAAAAACACTAAATTAGCTATGACGTACTTAAAACAAATTTTTACTGTTGCTAATTTTAAATTTTGCAAGCTACAATACCTATGAGTTAAACAGCTTTGCTGAACGAAAAAGTTTAAGAAAAATATATTTTTTATCTGTTGCTCTTTACAACAAGTAAGTAAGTGATTTTATCTTGAAATTAAAACCTGTAAAAAGTAGTATGATTATTTTATGAGGCATAAACATTTTAAGGCGTACATTGGTTAGGTGGAGTTAGCATTCGATTCTTGTATTCAAGAGACACATTTTATTACATTAAAACTCTTTAAAAATGTATTTTCAAAGTAATACCGATATAGTGTTAATAGAACAAGCTCCATATTACAATTTCGGCTATATGTATGAAACCTAATTTGAATAATTACAATATTTTCATATTTCTTAGAATATTATTATTTGTTTTAAATATGTGTTCTTTTCGTATGGTTTTCTATTTTTAAACAAAACTACGAATAAATAAAAATTTACTAAAACGTTTAACGAGTTAATTTTAAGGGCTTGGGGCTATTTTATTTCTATACGTTTTGTAAGTAATTTCTTGTTTGTCTTGTTTTCTTAGTCAATAGGCTTAGACATTATGGAATTAGTAAACGAAAATGAAGGTTCTCAGCAAAAGGGAGATGAAGAATCTCAGCAAAAGGAAGGTGAAGAATACGAAGCAGAACAAAGTCTTTCTACGTCACAATTAGGCATGCTTATGGTCGGGGGAATGGATGAGCAGGAGGTTGATATGGAAGGTAACCGACGACCTGTTAATATTATATCTAAGAAATATAATCCAAATATCCAAATATCTAAGAATGATGGTTATTTAAACGTTTAAATTATTGAACTTTATGAGACTATCGGAATTTAGCAACTTCAGGGACCATTGATCAAGCTTTGCTTCCAGAAAAGCATGTTGTGGATTCAACACCGGGTAGCAATCATTCTATGGTCGAATTAGGGTAGTGATTAGACCAACATTGTGCTATTGGCTCAGTCGGATAGAGAAGGTTTGGTGCGATAGTGTCTATTTGATAGGTCTCTTGTGGTATTCTGAGAAGTCCATAAGTACTTTAAATACGTTGTGGTAGAAAGGATAGTTGTTAGGAAAGGAGATTCGGTTTATTGTTATCTCACAGGGGCGTTAGAAACATCTTAGTCCAAACCTTGCATAGGTATAGTTTTACTTGAGATATTTTATTATAAATTAAAATCAAGAGATTTCTGATGAACATTTCGTATTTTTCTGTATATTCAAATAGCATTAATACAAAAACGTCCTGTTTTAAGACAAATATTGTGTTTTCCCACATAAGAACACCCATTTTTATTTTAGGTTTAAACTTCCTAAAGAGCTATTCTTCCATGTTAAAAGCAAGTGATATTTTATTAGGGTTCCTACCATCGATTGATATATTTATATAACGTTATTCTTTCAGCTCAACCAAGAGTAACATTATATCTAACGTTTTATATACAAGACATATTCCTAAATGATTTTCCCTCCACAAATTGTTATTCTCTTTTCAGAGGTTGCAGAAGAAGGGGCCCGAGTACCTGATGACCTTGTCATAGTTAAAAGGTCAGAATGGGGCGCTCTACCCCCTGTGAAAGTGGAACTTAAGCCCCATCTCACCACAACGGTCATGTTTACCTACTCTACCAGATGTAAACCGTGCTTCGACCAGGAGAAATGCTCGAAGAGGGCGAGAAACATCCAAAAGACACATATGAGTGTAGGCTTTCAAGATATTCCGTATAAGTAAGCTTAAGTTATGGTGTGTTAGTAGTTTATGCTTTAAGCATTGATTTTGTAGACGAAAAGTAGACTTTACATCAAAGTATAAATTCCAAATATCGAATAACCCATATGAGTGTAGGCCTTCCAGATATTCCGTATAAGTAAGCTTAAGTTATGGTGTGTTAGTAGTTTATGCTTTAAGCATTGATTTTGTAGACGAAAAGTAGACTTTACATCAAAGTATAAATTCCAAATATCGAATAACCCATATGAGTGTAGGCCTTCCAGATATTCCGTATAAGTAAGCTTAAGTTATGGTGTGTTAGTAGTTTATGCTTTAAGCATTGATTTTGTAGACGAAAAGTAGACTTTACATCAAAGTATAAATTCCAAATATCGAATGACACATATGAGTGTAGGCCTTCCAGATATTCCGTATAAGTAAGCTTAAGTTATAGTGTGTTAGTAGTTTATGCTTTAAGCATTGATTTTGGAGACTGAACGGATGTACAGAATCCAAAATGTAGTAGACTTAAAATCAAAGTATAAATTCCAAATATCGAAAGACACATATGAGTGTAGGCTTTCCAGATATTCCGTATAAGTAAGCTTAAGTTATAGTGTGTTAGTAGTTTATGCATTAAGCATTGATTTTGGAGACTAAAAGTAGACTTAACATCAAAGTATAAATTCCAAATATCGAAAGACATATGAGTGTAAGCTTTCCAGATATTCCGTATAAGTAAGCTTAAGTTATAGTGTGTTGGTAGTTTATGCTTGTAGCATTGATTTTGGATACTGAAAGTAAACTTCCCATTCCTGTATTGAACCCAATTCTGGTTGTGTTTTGTTAAGAATTCATTTCCGACTACCGGAACGTCAGTTATTAATAAATAATAATAATATTACCTTCTACCGTTCCAAATTATTGTAGTCTACGACGCGTTTCATCAACGGTAGAAGGAAATATTATTATTATTTATTATGTTGTGTGTTTCATGTATAGTTTTGGAGAGCAGTGATGTATACTAGACGTTTTTCTAGTTACACGTCAGTTTGCAAATAAATATTTTATTTTACTTTTTAAACAAAATAATATAAATGTCCCACACATGCATTTCTTTAGACTGCTTTCAACTTATGGAAAGATAATATATATTTAATGGAATATGTCTGAGTTACGCTTATAGTCTATTGTATAACTACATAACGCAAGTCCTTCCTAAACGCATTTAAAACAAGTAAATTAAATTTGTCATTTGTCATTTCGACATAAATTAATGGTCTAATCTAACCAACAGGTTGACACTAGATTGGACCAATACAAGGGTTGGGACCATTCTCAAATGCAAAAACGTAAAAAAACCTTGAACATACCTACAAACGAAAAATGTAAAACTAAATTGCTTAGAGAAGTGTTAATCCAGACGTTGACTTCCTTAATAGTGAAAATCATAAACTTATCTTAAAAAACAAATAAAGTTTTATGATATACAGAGTCATTTATAAAGTTAGTTGATAGTGTATGTTAATTTTACAGTAGTTTTTTGTGTGAAATACGCGAACAGTTTTAAATTATGTATACTCTCCACAGAAACCCATTACAAAATGGTTTTTCTGCTATGTGTTTATGTCTATGTTAGTAAAAACCAATGTATCCTGTAGAAACAGAGTATGTTGATTGGTGTATAATTATTTCTTCTTCATGACAGTTTCCTGGTTGGAGGAGATGGCAGAGTATATGAAGGCAGGGGGTGGACAGTTCTGCCTGAGACACATACGAAGTATGTAAAATTGAAGGGGTTCCTCATTGAAATAGCTTTTATTGGAGACTATGTCTGTAAGTATGGGACGTAATTTAACCCCTTGTATTTAAATAATTTTTAGGCTAGTAAAGTTTCCTTATTTGTATATTAAAATTAGTTTTGACATAATTTTACACAAGATTTCATAAGAAGAGTAGTTAAAGTTAGTTAAAGTTAATAGGTGTATTCATTTTGCTTCTCGTCAAATTTCTTTGTTTTTGATTTTTTTTTTTGAATGGGACTAAGTTTATTAGAATAGTGGTGATAATAAATTATTTGACTTTAAAATCATCAAAATTTGCAAACAAATATTTACTCAACCTTTTGGCTTTTGAGTTACGAAAATACCAACCATTCTTGCTTTATTTAATATAATAATTAGCTTGGTTATAGAAAATGGTCTTAAAATTAAAAAAAAATTAAAATTTGCTTTGATATAATATTATGCACTTCTGCCACAGCAATTAATGTGTTTCCTTGTTTTTTAAAGTAATAACAAAGGGAAGTAAATATTATGTATAGATAGATCGTACTCTACTGTTAATAACACTGTAAAGAATAGCAAGCACTCAATTGTCTTCAGCTTATTCATATGAAAGAAGAATTAATATTGGAGTGTTAATCTATTATTATAAAGAATTTTATTTAATGTCAGATAAACAAATAATCACTAAGCAAACCAGCATAATGTTTATAGGAATATTTACTTACTAAGCTATTTATGTATAATTATGTTTTGTTTACAGTCAAGCGTCCAAGCGAAAAGATGTACGATGCAGCTTTAGATTTGATTCAGTATGGAAGAGTCCACTTTTTGGTCAAAGACAGATTTGGACTGATTGAAAACTACCAATGAGCTTCGATTTGCTTCATTCCAATCAATCTCTGAAAATTTATACTTAAAATGAGTAGGAATGGCTGAAAATTTTGTAACCTATTAAAGGTAGAGTTATTTCTGAACATTTTTGTTTTTCAAAATTTATTGGTCCTACGAAAAATTAAATTTGATTTATTTATCTATTTTGTTAAATATCATGTTACCCCAATAAAAGATGTGCTACATTATATACATTTTGAAACTTCAGGTATGTAAATAGTCTGTAAGTTCGTGTTAACAGATTTGCATTATTAAACTTGTTACGCTCCAAGGAATTTCCATACCATTATCCAACCATATATAACCATTATTATTAAGAAAAATATATCAATAATAGCTTTAAATTATTATTACTGTTGATGTACATTTTATATCAACATTGATCAAATCATGAGAAATTATTGCCATTTCCACAGTGTAAATCTTTAGGTGGCTACATAGATACTGACTAATTGTAGACCTTGAACCTGATAAAGTTTATTATTCATATGCAGATATAAGTGGAGTGTTAAAGGTCAGTAAACTTAACGCAGTAGACCCTACGGCCAGTATTGTAGTAGAAAACATTGTTTGAGGTTGCAATCTTCCCTAACAAACGCTTGTCATAAATTAAGATGGATGATTATGACTTAGCATTAGTAATGATTAATGAAATAATTTTTTACTCTATACATAAATGGTATTTACGAAGAATCGTCTAATCAGGTCAAATAAACAAACAGGTAATTTTTTTGTAAAAGTAAGTCACATTATTTTCAATAGTGAAAATCACATTTAACACTTGTGACTAGTTTAATACCACAAATACTTTTCGCACCGATTAGGATGAAGATAACTTTACAGAAAAGACTTGATTTTTTAAATTATTAGGCTTTTTTAAACTAAAACTGAAAAATTATCAATTTCTGCCTCATAGAGAAAAATGTTTTCAGGTTATACTAACTCGTACAAAATTCTAAAAATAATTGCAATATACCATTAGGAAAAATCTAGAAGAATAAAGTAACATGAATAAATGAATAAATGAATAAATGAATTTATTTCCCATAATACAAAACACTTTACAAACATAATAATTGTTGAGAAATGTAAACTGGTCACTTTTTCAAGTAGTGTGGCCAGTTAAAAGGTTAATCATACATAATAAATAATAAATTGTTGAGCCTAGCATCAGATGACAAATATTTTATCCGCCTGCTGTAACATCTGGGCAAAACTTAGACTAAGAAAGTGTTAACAAAATACACATAAAATAAGGTAACAGTAACACAATCTTATACCAAAGAGTTGGCAAGATAACCTACATCCTGTTGAGAACTAAGCCAAGTGATTGTTCTTTTACAAAAGTGTTTGAAATTTGTTGTATTTTTAATATGAAGCGGAAGCTGATTGTAAAATTTTGGACCCAAGTATTGAAATGAATGTCTGAAAAAAGTTTTGTTTACTTTGGGTAATTTGATAGATTTATTTGCAAAACTTCTTGTACTGTAAGGATGATTTGGAATTATATTTTCTCTGTTTCCGCTCCGGATGAAGAACAATCTCAGGACTTTAAAAATAAAAAGATGTTGAACTGGTAGAATGCATAACTGTTGGTATAATGGAAAAGAGCTAGTTCGTTTAGGTTTTTTGAGAATTATTCGCAAGAAAAAATTTTGAGTTGTTCTAATCTTCTCTAATAATGTTTTGTAAGTACCTCCCCAGCAAGGCAAGGCATATTGTAATCTTGAATTTATCAATGCAAAATAAAGTGTTCGTAAAAGTGAAGTGTTACAAAAATTTCGTAGAAAATAGAATTTTCTAATTTGTGATCTTAATTTTGAGTGTAGTTCTAAAATATGGTCTATGGTTTCAAAAATCACAGGTTTGTCAACTTGGGCACAGGCTATTTTCAATAAGCCAAATACAACAAATCTACTGAAAAGCGGTTTGCATGATTGTTTAGTTTAAAACTCCATTCACATGAAGAATGAGGCATGCCTTTGACCATTGTACCGAGGGAGGAATGGCAATCCATCCCCGTCCGTCCAGAGGACAACCAAGAGATGATCTTGCCTGTCATCTACGTCATCTTCCAGTTGAGGACATCCACAGAACCTTGCTACACCAAGGAGGAATGCATGAAGACCATGCAGGAACAGCAGAAACTCTCCAGATCTGCTCTGGGTCTACACGACATCATATACAAGTAAGTTGGTCTTGTGTCATCATCTGCGTTTGATGCTAAGAAAAGATTGTCTGATAGTCCATATTGCTTATAAATTGATGAAAAGGTTGGGGATTTTGTACAAGTATAATTTCCCCACATTCTTTGGCTCAGGTTCAATTTCCAATTACAATCCACTCCTTCCCAAAGTTTCGAATTGTATTCGGTGTATCAGTACCATCAGAGTTAGTGAAAAAGAATTGACAATAAAAAATTATTACCTGACACAAAGAAGGATACATGTCCATTTTCTACTTCATTGCCGTAGTGAAGTCACTCTCCTACTTTTAATAAGTCTCTTCAGGTGGTAATTTTAACATTATGGGTTCACCTTATATTACACACCTGACACCTTCGATTTAAGTCCTATTACCCGAAATCTAAATTATAACATTATGTGATTAAAAGTATTGTGGTAGTCAAGCTTCGTCATATCTTTAAAACAATACACATCTTGATCCGGAGCATTGCTGAGATTTTCAACTAGAAGACTTGTACAAAATCTACAATGTTTTATTGAGTATGGGGGGGGGGAGTGTACGTGGTACAATATGTTAATAAACTCCACCTAATGCTTTGCCAAAAGTTTTACACCATAAATTTAGTACAATATTAGGCATTCAATATCTAACATGAAAGAGGGTAAGGATTGTTTTGTTTGTTACTATCTAAACTAATAATTTTCTATAATTATTTTTTCATAACTGTAATACTTTCAGCAAAGCAAGCACGATTCGTGGAAGCTGAGTCTTCCCTTGAAGATGTTAAAGAGCATGGTAAAGATTATTGCACAACATATGATGCAGACTGTGGTAGTTTTTGCAATAAATACACTGTAACGTAAAACATTTATTACCATTTTTCGTATGTAGTTTTATGCTGGGAGGAGACGGCAGAGTGTATGAAGGAAGAGGGTGGACTGTTGCACCTCCTTATATGCCAAAGTGGCGACATCTCAGGCAGGGCAGATACCTGTATGTTGGCAGCATTGGAGACTATAAAGGTTTGTTTATCTTGTAAACTAAAGCCAAAAAGGTAACCAAGGATTGAGTTTCCAATATTATATATGTTAATGTACGGCAAATGACCGTATATGTGAAGCAGATTTTATATGTGATACATGCTCGGTATTTTAATGTGCTCTAAAGTTTGCTAGAATACAGGATTTCCTTAGGAACAAATATTCACAAAGAAAGGCGTTTTTGTAGGCTGAAAAAGAAACTTTTGCAATACTTTGCAGATGGTTTTTGCACTCTCGTTCTTAAAACTTTGACATTAAGGAAAATAAACCTCCCCATTTTCAGCAGATTTGGAGATTATTATATTAAAAAAATAAACCTACTACACATGCGCCCATAAAAGTATCTCTGACTCTAACGATCTGATGAACTCAAGAGAATGTATTTCCCGTCAACAGTAAAATGACACAATAATACCGCAATGGTTAAATAGACATACAAAAACGTACAAAGCTATAAATTTTCGTCATAATTTGATTCCATTACATTTTGGAACGTACACAAATCACAAATTACATGACATCGAAATACCCTTGAAGGTGGGAAAATCCACAATTAGTACCTATGATTTAAAATATATATTTACTAGGCCTACCGATCAACATTATGTTTACCTAAAAAAAAAAATAAAAAAAATTTCAATTGCAGTTTGCAGAAAGAAACCCAGCTTTTATTTAAATTTACTTATATCACATTTAAAAAATCTTAACGGCGTCGGCTGTAAATCAGAAAACAGCCCAAAATAAAAACTACCTACGTTTTTTACATTCCTTTCCTCTCAAAATGATAATTCTTTCAACAGAAAATCGTGAGAAATCTGTCAAGTGCTTGATTCAGAATCATTGGTAGAAAAAACTTCACGTTTTAATATATGAAATTAAATACACTAAGATTTTTTAACTTGTTAGCTCAAGTGGTAGAATATTAATGAGAAACCCGAAATTAAGGGACTTATGATTCAATAATAAGGGAACCCTGAGTGTTTCTTATATACAATATTTTCTCATTACTATATTTTTAGATACGCACCTCTCGGAAGAGATCTGGTACACTGCATGGGACTTCATAGAATATGGACTTAAGAAAGATTACATAAAATACAAAGCGCTGTTCAAGTTCGATTCATTCACAACTTTAGAATCTGATTCAGAATATGAGGCAGATATGCTAAGTACTTCGAGTGACGAATCTGGGTATTTTTGTTCTGATTATGAAGATGAAAGCTTAAAAACCAAACCTACATATAGTTATAAGTATAAATAGTGTACAAAATGTATCATAACGTATGGCAACTAATAAAGAAGTAATATAATGTATTAATTAAACTTGTTCTTCTAAAATATTTTACAAATTCCGAATACTACACTCTTATTCGTTCAGAAAAACAATAAATCTGTTAAACTATAGTGAATTGTGATGTTTCATTTCATATTTTCAAGATGTGAATAAAATAAATATTAATAAATATAAAATAAATCAAATATCCATGAAAAGGGTTACTGAGTTTTATTACTGATACATAACAGTCATAAAATAACTAAACACAATTCATTCCAAACGGAATTTTTGTGCAATACAAATACACTATACCTTGTGCACCATAGCAAAAAGTAAATTTTAGAACAGCACACACCAAAAAATTTAAGTATAATTATACATTTAATCCTCAAATTAAATTGTAAATATCATATATACATCAGATATACAGTACTATTGATCTATTTGGCACAAACCTTATGATTTTAGAAATTCACGGATGATATATCATCAGATAAAACAAATATTATCTTTATTTTATTTTTGTTTATCTCCATGTAAATAAGTCTGTCTATGGGTGATAAGAACAATCAACCTCGTAGACAAAGCAACTCCAAAAGATTGTTAACTACCTTCAAAGCTTTGTTTTATTCTGTGTTCAAATAAAAATGTAGTTAAGTAAAAACTTTTGAAAATTAGATTCTAAGAGAAAGTCTATTTAGGATGTGGATAAATGTAACCATTTAACTTGAGTAGATGACTAAACCTAGCAATAACAAGGTAGGTTTAGCAAGATAATTTTTGCTTTACTTTAACCAAACTTATCATAGGTAGGCCTACTCAATTTTTTAAAATAAATTTGTAAATGTAGGTGTTTGATTCAATTAAAACGCTGACAAAAGTCTATGGAAGTATTTAAATACAAATTATGTATGTATTTGTATATTGTTACGTTAAAGATTGACAATTATTTTAAAAGATTTTATGTAAAAGTTAATTTTCAGGAAGATGGTTGGTACTTAATTCTCATACAGTATTTTCATTCAGTTTTTAAGCTTGGAATTTTGAAAGAGGTTGAAATGTTTAGTACTGTACAGCTATAAAATTTGTCTATATTAATTTGGAAGTGAGATGTATTATCTTTAGTACCCTCAAAACAATTAGGTTTATGGAAACGCTAAGTACCGTAGAGTTTGGTAACAGAGCACGGTCAAACTCAATGTATTTAGTTCTCTTATAATACATAGAACCTGTATTCTACAAATGCTCATTCTGATATACAATTTTAAAATATATATAAAATCTACATTTCTTTAGTCCAGTAACTTCAGTATTTTAATCAATGACCTACATGTTGGAATAAATTAAATACTGTACACCTATTAACGTTTTATCCCCTTAAAACAAATATTTTCATATTTTTTAAAGATTCTTGATTAAAGATTTGAGCAAAATACTTGAAGAAGTAAACATTTTTTTAAAATAATAGTTTCCAGCGTGGGAAGTGTATGCTTAATTATTTTCTGTAAGATGAAAATCTTGATTTATGGGTTAATATGGGGTGATATAGAGATTTAATTTTCTTGTCAATCTTTTAGACGGTATAAAAAAAACATCAAAGTTAAAGCTGATTAATTTTTCTATCCTATATTCATTTAATATACAGTTAATGATAATATTTGAATTTTTGGAAAAACTTATTTTTATTTTAGGAAAATATGTCACAGATATTCATTTTAATTACGTAGGTGGGATTTAGGTACGTTTTTAAATGTTATTACATTTGATTTTTGACCACATACAAATTAATTATGAGTTTGTCAATTACTTACCAGCTTTAAAATAACCAAGCGTAACCCCTACCAAACAACAAAACTATTAATTCACCTTTTAGATACTTGATGGACGTAAAGCTATACGATGAAGTGAACGTGGTTTCAAGAGAGGAATGGGGAGCTGTGGTCCCGACGGGGTCCAAAAAGTTAAAACTGCCAGCTCCTAACGTAATTTTCACCTACTGCACTCACAGGAAGAAGAAGGAATGGCCACTATGTATGGACCACGAGGAGTGCTGCCGAACACTCAGGGATATGCAGGAGTATTACATGAAGGAGGAACTGATGAGGGATTTGCCTTACAAGTACGCTCTTTGTATTGCATTGTACTAACACAAGATTGTTAAATCAATATCCCAAAAAGTTGTCAAGTATGTAAAATGAATCATAGCTTCTTAGTGGACCACGGGATTTTCAACAAAAGGGTCAGGTCATTTTTTTACAATCGAAGGAACACGTTTCATGTTATACCAGTGCCCATATCCCTAAGTTTACAAAAGGGATGCTCTATAAGATTAGAGTTCGGGGAAGTTGAATAATAGCAAAAAAGGATTATTGCTAATAATGGGGGTTTATTGTAAAAATATGTTATTTACATGTTTTATACATAATCGATCGATACAAATTTTGAATATGTTGTGTAAGCGTTTGGCTTTCATTGCCTATACTGCCTATTAGAACTTAAAACTAATTACTCTTTTGCTTAAAATGCTTCCCAAATCCACCAAAGGCTTCATACGTACGAGTATTTAGTAATGCTTTGTTAAAGAGAATTGATGTTTTCAAGTAATATTTATTGATTCAAATAACCTATCGAAAACAAATGAATTTGCATTGGATTGTGGTTTTTAATATTTAATTAATATTTTTATCATACGTTATTATTTTTCGAGTTATTAAACCATACTTAACACAGCATTTGGTATCTACAGTATACGTGATGGAAAATAGCTATGATTAAATTTTGTCTACATCCTGTTCTGTAACTGAATCAAGATATTTTTAGCTTCATCGTTGGAGGCGATGGCACCATTTACGAAGGCCGCGGGTGGTATGTGAAACCAGCCAAAAACGAAAACTGGAAAGAACTCTACGGAAGAAGTGTCGAAATTGCCTACATGGGAGACCACCATGGTAAGTATGGTTTATTTGATTAGTTGTAAAAGGTGTGTATTGAAAACTTGATGCATACAAATGGTATTATAATTTGAATTAAAATGTGAAAAGTGAAAAGTGACTATAGGACCACTTGAAGTTAACATAGATATGGAAAAGCCATTATGAGTGGATTAATACACTTTTCTATCCGATAAACTTGCCCCAAACACTGTATCGATGTAGGATAATTTGTAGAAAGCATTGATGCTACAGGTAAAAATCGCATTGTTATTTTTAGTTGTATACGTATTTTTTTAATTTTTACTACGGACCTAATGCTACAAAAGATAAAGATTTGTCTTTCTTCATTATGTCTTTTGGTTTAGAGTCTGATAAAAAAGTTAATGTTGTCTACAACTGCAGCACCTGTGGATGGGATGTGTTTAATTTGACACTTAATTTAAACAGTTTCTAAATCGAAATAGGTATACAGTAGTATGTTTAGGTTTACATACCCAACTATGTTTAGGTACTGTTAGGTTGGTATGTTTTATAATTGAGCTGCATTATTGTGTTGACACAACTTTACTAACAATAGCAATACCTTTGCAAACTTTTAAATTTGGCAGACGAAAAATTTACATTAACCTATAATCATTTTCAGAAATAATGACCTATTTTTGAAATAAAACGTAGTTTTTTTTTAATTGCAAAGCCATTTTACACGTAAGAATAATAATTATGATATACATGCACATATTAAGGAATTTTATTATTACAAACCTGGAATTAAAATGCTCATACCAAATTAAAAAAAAGAAAAATTATGAACTGTGCATTACAACTCAATTGAAATAACTTTAAACTCGTTCGTTTAGTTACCATATGGAGCGAGCACAGTATTTGGTAATGTAAAATAAAAATATTGATAAATTTTCTGATTTGCCAACAAACTTAAGTGAACAAAAGCCGCTTTCTATGACAGCTTTGGACAAAATACAGTATACATCATTACAGCAACTTTGGCGCGGTAAGCTAAGAGGATTATCTTGGCTCACAACTTGTCGCATTTTACAATGCATCACAATTTTTTTTTGTTAATCATCACAATGCAAATTATTAAAACAGAGTTCTTATATAGATGGAAGTTTATAAATGCTTACATTATGCATTTATTTTCAGAGAGGCGTCCGAACAAGAAAATGTGGCGAGCGGCGTGGGACTTTGTAGTAATGTCTGTGGACACGATGCACATAGAGAATTTCTATGAGTTTATAGAGAACTATGACGAAGCCAAACTTGACGCCATCCAAGCAAAGAAGCCTTGGTACAAACAGTTTTATCACTTCAAAGGTGTCTAATACACGCTAGTACAACTGTAAGCTCCTTTTGGATAAATTGTAATGCATTTTTTTTTATTAGGAACAAACTGTGTTATAACTTTTAGTTTATTCAGAACTTAACAGTGGTATTCTTTTAATTTATTTAGAACTTAACAGTGGTGTTCTTTTAGTGTCTAGGAATAAACAGAATCAACGATTAGTGTTCAGCAAGAAATAATCGAAATTTGTCAAAGTTACCTTAGAAATGTGTGGTGTTAAAACGTGTAAGATTTAGTAAGTATAGTATTGCGTGGTTATATATTGTAAGATAAATTTAAATACGATATAGAAAATTGTCCTACGTTCGTTATTTACACCTTTTGGCATTGAATATAGTACATTCAATGATTTTAGGCACTTACTTATTTAATATAACCAGTGGTGACTATAAACCTTGGGGTTTTTTTACTTAACGTTTGTTAAATAGTGATATTGGCTAACTCCATAGTTTATATCATAATACAGGGTTTGTTAAAATTATCGTATCACCAGGTCTGATGAAGTTATTATAACGTTGTTCGCTTAAACCAGTTACCTTCAACTTCGCAATCAAGTGGTTGTAGTTTATGAGGAGTCTTAAAGGGAACAGTTACTGGAGAAGTGGGGACGACCATAAAACTGTATAGATTGGGCCAGTTACTTTTAGTAAATAAATTGGATGAATGTAATATAAAAGGTAGGAAATACATGTATTTGTACTTTTTATGTTTTGTGTACAATTTATCTGGAGATTTATTTAATTAGGATTGATAATCATCACGATGTATCTAAGTTGTTTTTAACCATGTCTTTGTAAATTTATATGTGTTCAATGTTAGTGCAAATTATACAAAATAGGCAATGTCTCAAGTAAGTAAGAGATGGAAATCTAAAGGTTTAGCTATTCTATGAGACAAGAATCTGACGATAAAGTTTCTACGTACAAACCTCTAGGTCTCCAATAACGATTGGGATCGTAAGGTAAGCATTAGATTTTAACAATACACAGTTTATCATTGTGCATAACTGGATAGCTGATTTGGTAATGTCCTCACCAGATTTTTTTTACTATTTAAGGTTTAATCCCTGAAAAAGTCAGTAGCTATTTGATCATTTACAACTATATCTGACCGTCTTTGCTAATTGGGATCCTACTAAATAAAAAAAACTCAAGTAAAAAACTTGGGATTTGGCTAAAAATACGTTGACCTGAGTCGGATACAAAGTTAAAAAATAAACCTCACCTTCCCCTACTCATAACTATAATATAACTCGTGTCCGGCCTAGTTACTTGATGGTGGTTTTAACACAGTAGGCTTAATGAGCCATTCGATTCGTATTAATATTATCAATAAAAACTGCTTTGCAGTAATTGAGTTCAGCAATATTAAGAAGATTTAGCCAACGTTATTCATTTAGAAACCTAAAGCAAGTAAATAGTGCCATACTAATAGTAAAAAACACGTCGTTAAATAAAATTATCAGATAAGCTATCTTAGTGAACTTAGTCAATATTTCATGTAGTATTATTTATTATGTCGATTGAGTTGAAATAATAGTACACACCGTTAGATAACACGAGAACAATATGTAAGGATTAGAACACCCAACTAAACATATAATGATTTGACTTATTAGGTTTTAGTCTCGTGAATACAAACATTGGGTAAACATGGCAGGACATAGTAGATTCAAGAAAATAAAACACAAGAAAGCTATCGAGGATAAAAAAAGAAGTAAGGAGTTTTCGAAAGTGTCCCATGAGATCTCAGTCGCTGTTAAGGCGGGGGGAGGAGATCCAAACGACAACCCTAGGCTCAGGATGGCCATATCCACTGCAAGAAGATTTAACTTTCCTAAAGCCAAGGTCGACGATGCTATAAGAAAGGGGTTGAACCCGAACGACGGAGAATCCATAGAGGAAGTCAGATACGAGGGATTTGGTCCTTCAGGAGTCGCGTTGTTAGTGGAGGCCATCAGTCATTCAAAACAGTTGGCAAATGACAAGTCGGCGATTAGAAAGGTCTTCAGCAGACACAACGGATCTCTTGGAGAAGGAGGCTGTGTATCGTTCATCTTCCAGAGGCTAGGTCTCATCACGTACCCCGGCGATGACCGGTCTGAGGACGACATGATGATGTTAGCCATCGAACACGGAGCCGACGACTGTCAGAAGGTGGAGGACGAGTTTGAGATTCTCTGCAGCTTCGAGAAACTCCACGAGGTAAAGGAAAAGCTGGAGAAGCAAATAGGGGAACCCTCTAGTGCTAAACCCATCTGGAAGCCAAACAGTTACGTGACGCTTGACAACAGCAAGACTAAAAGTGTGTTGAGATTGATTGATGAGTTGGAGGATGTAGATGCTGTTCAGGAAGTGTGGTCTAATCTGGAGATTCCGGACAGTTTTAACTATGAGGAATAAAAATCAATCGCGGTTTGTATGCATGTTGTAAATTATATGTATATAGAAATGTGATTTAGAAGTTTTGTTTAACTATGGTAGGTTAGAGCACGGAACTTTTGTCTTTGTCAGTAATTGCAATTCGTTCTATAGTGGTGTCCCAGTAGTTTATAGTTGCCTTGGTATTAGAGGTATGTGGTCTAACTATTAGTATATAATTGAAATTGGTACTATTTTGACCTAACAGAGGGGCAAGTAAAGTGTATTGATGAAACATTGACAAATAAAAAAGAAGATTTGAATTAATACGTGATTTAAAATAGTTTAAAATGTTGGGTGTCATAAGAGCCGTGCTTGCACCAATATTGAGCCTGTTTTAAGTTACACTCATAAATTGTCACTTGCTGTACATTTTTTATGGCATAATAGTAAACTTAACAATATGTTTGTGACTTTTTGTATATTACGGTTTAAAACTTAAGAATATTTTTTCGCCAAGAGTTATAGATTACATTACATTTAGCTACGTGCTTTAGACACATAGTTTCGTATTTTAGTATTTAGTTATTTGCGAGTTAGTTACAATCCAGTTACGCCAAAGTTCCCTGTATACTTAATTATACAAGTATTTAAGTAAAATGTGCTAAGCTTACAGTAATTGTACATAATGGTATGTATCTAAAGGTTAGTAATTAGCAGGTTTTTACATGCACATGTATTCAAAGTCAGTTTATAAAAATTGCTAAATGTTTACAGAACACATCATTGTCATTATAATATATTTAAAGATCAATTGTACAGATTTTACAAATAACACATTCACCGATTGGCTTTATAACTTTGCTTAAAGCTTATAGTAGAGGGTCATGTTTCTTTTTATGTCACAACTAGTTGCTGTACCTATACCCGTTCTTTGCAATGCGGTTAGGGTGCGGAAGTGGTTCTTTAAACCTGCTGTATATACCAGTAACACATGCACCATTTATTTTGTAAACTAAATTCAATTGTACTGCTAACTTCAATAAAGTTTCGTTTAAGTCATGTAAGTCGTGCAAACTCATTAGGCTACCTAGAACCATATATTAACTGGCACTGATGCATGTTATGAGAATACTTTAAATACAATATAAGATCAAATACACACTTACTGAAACGTTTATTTAATTACATGTATACAGGATACAGTTGGTAGATAAAATAGAAAAATAATAATAATATAGACTGTATTGAAGAACAATTTAATTAGATAGTAGATATCGATGTATCATAAAATATAGATAGATTTCACCTAAACACCTTTTTTTGTTACCTGCAGCTCAATAAATAATTATTTTCCAAATGTTGGTTTATAAGTTTACTTCATAAGCCAATGTTTTATTCAATTTTTGATAGGTTAACATTTACGAGATATTTGTTTATTTCTCTACCATGCAAGCTTATAAAGCCATGGGGTGTAGCCCTGGATCAGTGTTAGCTAAAACCATTGCGTATTATCAAAATATCCAGTTGGGTAACTTAAGTAGACCGTAAACAATGTCCGTTTTTGGTGGGACACAAACAGAAATGTTTGTTAAATCAATGCATAGCTCTGATACGTATCTATAAAAGCCGAGAGAAAGCTGCGTTTCATGAATGTTTAAATGCTTCAGAATTGTCTGACGAGCAAACGACCGTCACATTTATTGTTTGGTAAGTACTAGATTCAGTCACTAAGTCTGCAAGTGAAACATTTGTTTGATATTCGTAATACCAATTATAAATAATTACATCCACGCAATATAAGCAAAACAACAAAAGTAAACTTGCGTATTATCGCCTCAAACTAGACCCAAGGTGAAGCCTAGGTGTTACACCGTTGGCGCCTGCCGAGCCGTTCTGGATTCAAATGAGGTGCTGGTGGAAATCGCCTTATAATGCGCACAGAATGATTTGTGCCAGCAATTTGTGTCCCATTCTGGTTGACCGTTATTTATCGGCCAGTCCGATACTATCACGAGAATTGCGCCTCAAAGCTACAAATTGAATACATTTACTGGTCAGGCGTGCGATAACCACTCACTTTGCGTCCTTGGACACGTTACCTTGTTATCACTTGACATGACACATGTTTGGAACTTATTGTTCAGTTAATGAAACGTTCTAAGTTAAGTTTATCTTGTTGCTCATTCATTGGCATGTCCTAGGGAACGTTTGAAACTTAAAGTTCAGTGAGTGGAATGTTCTGGGACACGTTTCCAACTTGCTGTAAAGTGATCCAGTGAAACGTCGTCTGACAAATTTGTAATTGTTGTTTAGTGTTCAGTGAAGTTATCTGGGGTCCGTTTTTGTTATTTAGTAGTGTTCAGTGGAACGTCTTGAATGAGGCACGTTTGTAACTTTAATCGTCCACTAGTGGAACGTCCTTGGAAAGATTTGAAACTTGTTCTCCAGCAATGGAACGTCCTTAGGTGAATGGTAGCTAGTTGTACAGTGTTCAGTGGAACATCCTCGGGCAAATTCGTAACTAGTTGTCCAGTCAGTGGAATGTCCTTGGAGACGTTTGTAACTTGTTGTCCAGCAATGGGACGTCCTGCATAGGCGAATTGGTGGCTTGTTGTACTGTGTTCAGTGAAACGTCTTTGAGCTAATTTTTAGCTTACTGTCCAGTGTTCAGTGGAATGTCCTTGGAGACATTTTTAACTTGTTGTTCAGCAGTTGAACCTTTTGCTTAGGCGAATTGGTAACTTGTTGTACAGTGTTCAGTGGAACGTCTTTGAGCTAAGCTCCAGTGTTCAGTGGAATGTCCTTGGAGACATTTTTAACTTGTTGTCCAGCAATTGAACGTCCTGCTTAGGCGAATTGGTAACTTGTTGTACCATCAGTGTTCAGTGTGGAATGTCTTTGGAATCGCTGTAAAACCACATTACCCCTTTGTGTTTTAACTGAACCAAAAAGTGGCTGTAGTTGGAATGTCCTGTCATCTCATAGTCAAATTAGTTCTTCCTTTCAACTACACTTTGGTCCCACAGTAGTCCAACAGAAAGTTCATTAATTTTAAATCAAATTTTCCAAAGAACAGTCATAATCTTGAAGTAATACTAAAAATTACTTTATAGCCTACAACCAATGCATACAAATAAGACTATAAAAAAAATAGCCACGCCGCAGCAAACCTGCCAACTAAGCGAATTTATATTTGTCTGAATTGATTTTCAATTAAATCTATTTAAATAACATTAGGTTAAACGAGTTCCTAGGTTTGCTGCTACAAGGAAACCAATAAAGTGTGTTTTTTAGTAAAATATTAATAGCTTAGTATAAAATAAATAAATTCGCCAAGTTTGATCAAAATATACCCATAAACAAGCAAACTACAACATTCTCATAAGAATAACATGGGAATTTAAAATTTTAAAAATGTTCTCCGTTACCAATACAAAAACACTTTTATACACTATATTATTTGTTTTTAAAGCTCTTTAAAAAGGCCTAGAGAGAAACTGGGAAATTTTGTGTTTTGAGGGTCAAAAATTAGAAAAAGCAATTTTTACCCCATAAACCCCCCCCCCCTGTTCCCATGGTCATGCTGGTTTGCGAGCTCATTCAAGTTTGCACGCCTTACACCTTCAAACCAAATTTCATCAAAATCGGACAACAAATATTCAAGTTATTGTGTTCACGGACACACAGACACACATATACAGGGTGTTGAAAATGTCTGGAACCATCATTATATCTGGTGAGTGGTTAAAGAAAAACAACTGATATTTTGTGTACGGATATACTATGGTTTTACCTATCTTTTGGTGCCTTATGAAATTTTTTACCACTTATAGGGAACGTCCTGTGGAGGATGCAGTAAAAGGTTTTAATGGAAGCATATGGTAAATGATACATCATTTTAAAGGCCATTTCTTTCTGAGTAAGAATCCACAAGTTTCATCTCATAAGGACCACCCTAGCAAAAATGGCGACTGTTTGAAATTTAAAAACATTGCTATTTAAATGGTCCGTATTTGTTTCCTTTAAATGCTATTACAAGCCAGTTACGAAGTACAGTAGTTTATAACGTGATGAACTGAAAAGTGACTAAAAAAAACATTTAACTAAATTTTTTGTGTTGTTTTACTAAACTTATTTTTAACATAAATACCAATTAAGCTTTCAATTATTTTCAAAAACTTCAAACAGTCGCCATTTTCGCTAGGGTGGTCCTTTTGAGATGAAACTTGTGGCTCCTTACTCAGAAAAAAATTACCTTTAAAATTATGTATCATTTACCATAGGCTTCCATTAAAACGTTTTACTGCATCCTCCACAGGACGTTCCCTATGAGTGGGTTTTTAAATTTCAAACAGTCGCCATTTTTGCTAGGGTGGTCCTTTTGAGATGAAACTTGCGGCTCCTTACTCAGAAAAAATGGCCTTTAAAATGATGAATCATTTACCATAGGCTTCCATTAAAACTTTTTACTGCATCCTCCACAGGACGTTCCCTATAAGTGGTAAAAAATTTCATACGGCACCAAAAGATAGGTAAAACCATAGTATATCCGTACACAAAATATCAGTTGTTTTTCTTTAACCACTCACCAGATATAATGTTGGTTCCAGACATTTTCAACACCCTGTATATACTAGCAGAGCACCCGTCCTTCGTACGGGGTTGGCATATAAGTATAAAATGCTTATTGCATTTATACTCAAGCTTTGCGTTTGAAATGGGGGGAGGACACAGTTTGATAAAATTTGGTTCATAAATTTACGGTATGATATAGTATAAGACATCTACCATTGCCATAATGTACTACCATTGCACTTAAACAATAGAAAAAAATAAATTATCAAACATTCGCACAATATTACAAATTATTCATTAAATTAAAAACTCAAACCTAACTGTAAACAATCCTACTTTGACAGTTCTCATTGTGTATCACAGCTTTGCATTGCTGCTTAGTTCAAATTAGTTGTTGTCATATATGCACAAACAAAATAATAATAGTGCTGCACCCTGTTGGGAAACCTTACAACTTTTTAATGCTATTGCATAAAAGAACCAACTTGTAAAGTTGAAACAGCTGACTAAATTCTTTAATTCCCTTGAAATATGAATACTAATAAGGTTAACATGGGGAACTACAGACCCACTGGGGCGGAGCCCGAAAGGATTTTTGAGATTAGAATATGCCTAAATGTTAATAGGGAATGTGAGCTATCATCATGCCAAATTTCAGCCCAATCCGTCCAGTGGTTAATGCGCGATTGAGCAACACACAAACTTTCAGATTTATAATATTAGTAAGATAGACTCCTCATCCCATTGTAAATTTTGAAGCTTGTTTTTTGCGTCTAGTTCATGTACGTCCACACTGATCGCTAGTGTAGACAACATTTTGTTTATATTATTTTAGGGTTATTTTCATGATTTGTGCTTTACTATTTGGTTATATAACTAGGAGACCAGTTATTGTTTATGATTATATCGTTGTATTAGGTTAAACGAGGTTTTAAATGACTGCAATAACAAGAAACTAATTGTAAACAAAACATAACCTCTATAGTTGGACGTACTGAACTAACAATAAAATTGGCTTCAGCTGTTCCATTAGGATGACTAATCTAGGATATATACATATAAAAATTTGAACGAATGGTGTTTTTGGTCACTGGGGACATTAAAATGAAAAAGTTCTATACTATATATACTAAATTCCATAAAAGTAAATTTCAGCATTTTCTAATCTTAAAGGCCACAGCTGCCTTAAAAAAACTGCTTCTGAGATGGTTTTGAGATTTAATGGTAGAGCATTAAACATTTTAGGTGCAAGGTATAAATAAATATGTTTGAAAACTGTTAAATTTGGTTTTGAAACTATTGCCTTATACCTACTTTGTTATTTAACACAAAATAATAAGCTTATACATACTAAACCACTTCATTGTGTGAATTTTAAGTCAACAAGTAAGACTAGAGAATTGATAGGCTACATTCAGATAGAACATTTCAAGCTTTAAATAAAACAGTACTTACCACTCTTGGAAACGGAGAATAATAACAGCTAGTAAACCGAAAAACATCCATAATATATTGTAATTTAAAGAGAAATTTACCAACAAAAACATGGCAAATGTGAGCTTCTGTATTGTAGCAGATTCTACCACAACTCAACTGTACAACTCACAACTGAACTGCAAGTAAATTAACATAAATAACTAAATCTTTGTAATATGAGTGGCCAAGAAATTCTCCAGAAGATGCACAGAAAATGTTTCAGCTAGTAATATCTTATCATTTGGAACTGGTAGATGGCAGCACATTTTATTAATTCAGACCATTGACATGAAGATGGATAAATTATCTATATTGACTAGTTCGTATTATCTATTGACAAATGATTGTCACCAAATATTGATGAGAATTTTAAAATTTGTGATTTGTAAACACAAACGTACTATTGAATTGAAACAAACAGATTAGACAAATCGTTGATAAATGAGTTTGGGAAATAATTAAAAACGATAAACCTCCATAATCTTCCATAGTTATGTGCATAATTCTGTTAGGAAAGTTACTTCTTACAAATTGATCTAGAAATTGGCTTATACCCATATCAAAACTTATTTTCTATGCTCATAAGTTTTTTTAGATTTTTTCATTATTTACTTCGTAATATGAATACAAACTTTGTTATAAGAGGTAACTTTTTATTGTTCAAGCCTGACAATAAAACCTGACAGCACTTCACTTCTATTGTAAAATTATTGGACTATGTTTTCCTTGTGTCTTGTACTGATGATAAGATATCCTACATTTAGGCCTACATATTGTAAAAATATTTCAAAAGTTTTTTTTGTAAGTTTGATAACACTATCTCTTTAATGAAGGAAGAATCAATGGTGCTCATGGCTAGTAAAAAATAAATTTTTTCTCAGGTCTCAGTTTACAGTTATCATTCCCCAAGTTCAATTTTATGTTTAGGAAAGATTGAAAAATGAAAAAAATAGCATAGTAAGTGATTTCTTTCAGTTAATGAGTTTTTACTACAAAATGTAATCAATTTTAATTTGGCAAACCTTTACCAAAACTACAGACAATAGTCACAAAACGAAATTAATTTGATCAGGGTAAAGTAAAACAGAATGTAGGAAACAAATTTATATTGTTGAAAAATATCTCCACTCCAATTAGTCAGTCGAATATTTACAGTTCTACATGAAAATAACTACTTTTGTAGTTGTATTTTTCAACCATTTTAGTAAGTTATTCACTACAAAATGTATACAAACAAAAAGCTTTTAATTCAAAAATATGTGTATACAATATCTTTACAATATTGTTGAAAACATAACTGCAAAAAATATTTACAGTAACCATATTAAAATCATGATTGTGTTTTATGATAATTACACTATTGAGCACATAAATATTAAAGAAGAGAGACATAATGAAAATAACTACTTTTCTAGTTGTATTTAAACTATTTTAGTAAGTTATTCCCTACAAATGTATACAAACAAAAACGTTTCAATGCAAAAATATGTGTGTATACTGTACAATATCTTGACAACAAAATAAAAAATCTTGAAAATGTTAGTGCAAAAACACATATTTATTTACAATAACCATAATAACTATGATTCAGAACATATAAACTGTAAAGTATAACTTGTAAAATAAAATAATATATTATTATATTAGTAAATTAACTAAACTTGTGTTTTTTAGTAGAGTCTCTATCATCATATTTCTGCCTCGGCAAGGTTAGATAAAGTAGAATGGTCAGAAAAACAGAAAATACAGTAATTTATAAAATCCATTGTAAGCTTTTAAAGTCATTAATTGGTAAAGTCCCTCTATCATCAAATATATTAAAAACTTCAAATCTTAAAAAGTTTGTTTTATTATTGTTTTGCGCCATTACCGTAACTTAAATCTCTATTATACATAAGATGAAATGATACTTGTTTACCCAGCTACTGGTATTCGTCCACACTTTGACTAAGGCGTTAGAAGTATTATAGCAGAGAAGTATTGACTATGAGGAGTTAACAAACAGTGTAATATCATTGACTTTGAAATGCTAATAGTAAAAGTGTAATCCTCATCCAATTAACACCTGAGGCTTGTTTTATATGTGTGCTATGTTGATGAAGTTGATTAAATATTTGTTTTCTTGTATTAGGGTTTATGTTATAAGTTTTGCATTACAGTTTGGTTATAAAACCAGAATTCAAACTATTTTTGTCTAATTAGATAGGTTTATTTGGATGAACTAGTTTTAAAATAACAATAAATAAATGAGTAAACAAAAACACACCCTCTGTGTGAAACAGGCGGAATTAACAATAAAATTATCTATAGATGATACTTTGGGTGACTATATGTATGTTTAATCTACGAGCTTGCTATAACAATGGAAATTGCAGTCAAGTGGAGATGGTTTAAGCGTCTTCCGAGTGCAGAAAGGGGGTACAGAGAGGGTAGTCATGATGTACCCAATATGGCGTAAAGCAATACCACATGGAAAAAGCATGTGATTTCTCAGTATCGTCTGCAGGGAGTCGAGGTTGAGGAAAAGTTGAAAAATGGTGGTTTTACTGTAGTTAACACATGTCTACCTACGTTATATTATAAAAATCAGGTTTATGAAATTTTTACGTATCCATTCTTACCTGAAATTAAATTAATACTTATAAAAAAAATTCATACTGTGGTTGAAAGTGGTGAAGCGTTTCATAAAGGAATTGTCTTTTGTTTACTTACTATTCACTTTTGAAATTATTTTCATTTTGTCTTCTCTTGCTTTAATTTTAATTCTTTTGTAGCTGAACTATAAACTACAAAATTTGTACTCCAGAAAACAACTTCTCACAAAGATGCCAAAAAACCCGTCTTCTACATAATTGTCTATGTAACCACATATATCGCCCACATTCGGTTTACCTTTATATAAACCTTCTGCTGCTAATCTACAAACTACATTGTCTTCAGCAAAAATACTTTTCACTCCATGATCAAAGGGATTGTAGATACCTGCCGAATTTACTGTATACTTTTCAGCAAATTTCTCAGTAATCCAATTAAGATTTGTTTCGATTGTCATAAACTTTAGGCAAATATCAGGCTGGAAGAGGTATTCTAGGGAAACATAAGGGTTCAGAACAAACTTGGTCTGTCTACTTGTTAGAAATGAGATACATTTGCTTGTTTCATATCTAATCTCAGGTACTTCATCTTGCAATAAATCAACACAAGCTTTCCATATGAGCTGTCGACAATCGTTCTTCTTTAGTTTACTTGTTCTGCAAAGGAAATCCATCGACTTAGCTGCACTGAGTCTTAGATCCTGATCAAGCAGATTCTCAGATCTAGTTTTAATCATTGTGGATACTTTCAACAAATCATCCAAACTGCAGGTATCTCCAGCATAGAACAGAGCACAAGTGATTGGCAATACGATGTTAGTTACGGTAATCAAAGTCTCACGAGAATAAAGAACATTCAAGCAATATGATAACAGCTCAGAGCAGAAATATTCTGAAGGGATGGATAAACTTGAATCTTTCACTTGTTCCAAAAGATTTAGAAGAGTTTCAAACACAAGGGGTTCTAGGGACAGGTTGTGTTTTTTTAAAAGAAGATATTCTTTGAGAGTACTGAATATCACACAAATGTGGTTAGATTCAAAATTCTGTTTTGATCCATACCTAGTTAGAGCTTTCAAACAGGAATGCTGAACATCGTAGCAAGTTTTCTTCAGCAAACAGTCATGCACAATATTCTCAACCTCATTCGTACTTGAAGTTAAAATTAATTTTTTAATCATTTTTTCGATAAAATAAGAAAACCCTAATGAGTTTTTACCAATGTTAGAACTAATCATAGTGAATAAAGTGTCCACATTGGCTGACCATTTTAACTCAAACACCAATGCTTTGGTGAAATATGAACATTGAGCTGAAATCAATTTATCCCCCAATTCTTCAAGTATTGTGTGAACTTTGTTTTCCTTATCCATCAACACACTCATTCCTCTTTTATCTTCTTCAAACCGTTGAAATAAGTGTGTCAAGTTGAAAACGTAACCATTCAACTCATTTTCTGATTGAATAACATTCTCTTTTCCTTCAATGTAGTTAATCACTATCATTGCAGTTTCTTCAATCATTCTAGCTAATGAGGAAGGGGTAGCAAACAAAGCAGAAGCTTTGCCACTTAGCTTTCGCACATTAAAAATCCTGCTTTTGAAAAGCGCATAGAAACACTGTTGAAAACGTTGTATCGTGTTCATTATCTCCGGTGTCAACACTGCTTGCAATCCCAGGGTCAAATTTGTGACTAAAGTCAACATCGGCAACACTTTTGAATGGGAAGTTATCGAGTCACAACTGACGGCAGAACTTAATTCTTCGAGAATCAATTCCACCAAGGGCTGAGCATGTGTGTAAAGTTCCTCAAAAGATAGATTGTACTGTCCTCCTCCTTGTTCCTGGTTGGGTTTTTGACCCACCAATTTTGGTACCAGAGCTCCAAACAACTGAAGTGCTGCATTTCTGGAGGCAAAGCAAACAAAACAACATATGTTTATTTGTGCCCAGAAAAATAGTAATTTTTTAGTTATCATTCTAAAACATTTATTTAATGTAAAAAATAATAAACAAAGTTATACCATAGATAAAACATACTCCCTTAGTAGATTTCTCATCCTAATGGAACAGCTGAAGAAAATTTTATTGTTAGTTCTGTACGGTTTATGTAGAGGTCGTGTTTTGTTTACAATTTGTTTCCCATTAATACAGTCATTTAAAACCTCGTTTAACCAAATAATACGATTTAATCATAAACAATAAATTGTCCCCTAGTTATTTAACCAAACAGTAAAGCACAAATCAAGAAATTAACCCTAAAATAATAGAAACAAAATTTTGTCGAAACTAGCGCCCAGTGTGGCACATGAACTAGACATGAAAAACGAGCTTCAAAATTTACAATGGGATGAGAAGTCTACTTGTGTTGGTTAGTCTATGGTTATACTTTGTATTAATAGTCAAAGGTTATACCAACTGAAAGTTTTTTTATTATATACTGAAACGATTTAAAGCTAAGCTAAAAGTCGAGAATATCTTTCTTGAACCAGAATATCTAATCTATTGTTGATAAATCCCAAAAAGTAAAAGATATACTATCACAACTATATGCACCTATAAGATGACTAAGAAATAGCTGTAACTTAACCCTTACCGTGCTACATATTTTTTGGGTGGCCTTGACCGTACGACTACATATCCCTAAAAAAATTTCCCAAAAGTCAAAGCAGTTTCTTTTATATAAAAACAAAAAATATAAAAACATGAAGAATATAAGCTACAATTTAATATTTCATTTTCTTTAAAAAAAAAATACATCTCTTTAATTTTACCTTATAGTCCATAGCGGGGAGGCCAGGTTGTTCAGAGCCACTAATGATATGTTGAGTGTATACTGAACCATGTGTTCTCTTAAGCTTGACTCCTAGTTACAAGAAAACATATGTAGAGCATTCATTAAGTTGCAACTTGAGTAAGAGCCTAAATACATTGCATAAACGATTCATAATCTTGATTATCTTTGTCTTACCTCCCTTTTTACCTTTTTCCATCTGACATATTATCACTCATTTGTACAAAACTGTCAAAACAAAGGTGGAGGTTTTTTTTTATATCAATATCCAGGTTTCTTGGGCATAACTTAATGCAGAAGGTTGAGCTAATTTAAGATAATCAAACTTTTTATTTTCAAAAATTTAACTAATCAAAATTCATTTTTTAATCAAATTGACAAATTCTCCCGCTTTTCGAGGTCACTTTCTGCATCTTTATAGTTCTCATTGGTTCTTAATTTTTGAGCTATTATTTACTATACTCTTTGGTGTTACATGACTATGGGACGTTAAAGAACAAATATTTTTGGGTTTGAAGGTTTACATTAAAATATGTGTTAGAAAAGAAAACTTTTAAATGTTTTTTTTTTTTTTTTTTGGGTACGGTAATTTAGAACAGAATATTTCCTTTTATTACAGATAAAATTTCATGGCTGAATGGATTTTGATCAATACACCACAACACAACTATTTTAGTGGTTAGAAATACAATCTTAGTGGAAAGCATATTACAAAATTTGATTCTTTTGAAACAACAGATTTTAAAATATCTTTGGAAATTATCTAGTAGCTAATTCAAATCCAATGAGTAGGTAAGACATATTATACTTGAGTAAAAACCAACTATTCTGTTGGAAGTTCAAACAAATTGATAAACAAACCAACACAAAAGTTAATAAGGCAAGACAATACCTGGACAAGAGTACGCAAGAAGTGCAGCGCTTGACTTTGAGGTAGATCAACAAGGGCAGCGTGTTCTGACACATTTGAGTCTTCCGCAACTGATAGTAATCTTGAGACGCACAAGTGCAACAGTGGCTAAGAACAAGAAACTGCTTAGTCAAATTCTAAGGTGTAATTTTATAAAATCAAAATATCTCCATTCCTCATAAATGCTACAAGACATCACAAGTCGGTTGCCTACAGAGACTGACAAATTGACTAAGATTTAAGGAGCTGCTGCTACACAATTACAAAAGTATGAACGGTTTTATCTTACAAAATAAAGACAAAATGGATTTGTTATGCAGCATGTGTGCTAACAACCTAACACGTGTAACTATCACCCTATAGAGGGAGGAATGTACAGATTTACTTATATTTACTGCAATGTAAGAAAATGTAATAACTTTAGAAAAGATTCCACGGATTAATAAGGTTCTGTGTTGTGACTTTTGATTGTAAATAGTTGGACTGATTTGTAATCAAATGTTTAGGATGATATGCCTTTAAAACAGCTAACTAAAACTTATCCATATGAAATATAACTGTTTTCAGTTTATTGAGAATCTAGGTAGAAGATTTAAACAAATGATAACTTGTTTGTTTTTGTTTGAAAAGTTTTTGTTTACCGCAGGCCTTTAACAACCTCCAAACAAATCAACATCTACAGTAGAACCCTGATATCCGACTCCAAAGGAACCGGGCCAAAAGTTTGATTTTTTTTTCTTAGGTTGCTAGGCACGAGCCCGGAATTGTATTTCACATTACTTCAGGCTAGACCTAGGGGTTACGGCATTATAACTTAGATAAAATCCATTGGTGATTTGGCGGGATTGAACCAGAGACCCCACGAACCGGAGTCCCACGCTCTAACCACTAGACCAGCTCACTCCCCCAAAGTTTGGATATTGGATGAAGCATAACTTGCAGTCTCGGTGATTCCGGTAATCGTCTCCCTTGATTGTGGCAACATCTATGAGGATATCTTGCGCTCACGACAGCACCGTAATGATCTACCGCGACTCAAGCAACACTATGAGAATATCTTGCCATATCTACGATACCAGAAATTGTTTCCTGCAAACATAGCTTGTGATCTCGGTGACACCGGTATTCGTCACCCGTGTTTGCGTTAACACCCATGACAACATCTTGCGGTCTCGGCGATAGCAATGATCGTCTGACTTGATGGCCCCACACAGGAAACAAGTAGACGGTCGGACATTATGTCGGATATGTGGAGTTCTACTGTAAAACTGTAATAGACACAAAACTATGCTACTGGCTTAACAGATTGTAATTAAATCATTACACACCCTTTGATCTCAGAGGGTGTTTACAAGAATTATCACTGTTTAGTTCTGAAGAACGTTCAGGTTCGTAAAATGGTTTCATCACACCCAGAAAACAGGTAAAAACTAGTTTCATGCCTTGTTTAATTACATTCAATGTTAAATATATTCACCCCAGTGGTGTAGTCGTGCAAAATGTGTGGTACCAGTGTTTCTTCTACCTTTTCCATAAAATCCAATATATAAGCTATTATGACACATTTTTTTATGAGATGATGTCGAGAGTATCCACACTGGAAGATTTACAACTATACCATTGCTCTAGCTTTACAGTGTTGCAAATACCTTTTTTGCCCGAGAGTCCCCAGTGATAAGTCGATGTACCAGGATCGCCAAACCGGCAGATCTACGAGATACGGTGGCTGCAGTGGTACCGATCAAATTCTGTAGGAAGTCCTTCAACAGCTCTTCCGGAAGGTTGACAAGTTCAGGCTCATCACTGGAAAACAAATTCCACGTATAGACATATACACAACTATTACAAGTAATTTTGATTTTGTAAGAAGTTGTGATTACATTTTTTATTTTTAAATAAACGTGTATTAGCCTAGATGTTTAAGTTCCCGACGATGAAGTAAACAAACTTTAAGGCTTATAGAAATGTCAATTTAGTTTCATTTATCTAAATAAAAAAATGTGTGTGTTTGTTAGTAGGTTCTCAGGTTATTTGTAAGTGTACGTATCGATATCGGTCTACCAGGACAGAAAATATTTTGTGAAAGACATTCGTTTCCCGCACTCTTAATTCAATACCCACTTTTCCTTAGTGACATTTCCCCTCTTTGAATCACAATGCCTTCCCCATCTCCTTAAAGAGCAACGTACACTGGTGACTCTCATATTATTAATTTTATTAAGGCGTGCGTGAGCTCTTTTGGTTGTCGACCTAATCAGGTGGTCCTTCGAATGATTCTCATATTTTAACTCTCTTCTTTCATGTTTATGCCATATTTTTATTCCCCACCAAACAAATCATAGTAATAGTATGATTACTATTACTATGACCTCTATATATTGCTGTGGTTTGCTAGAAAGTATAAAAATAAGAGCACTCTGAAAGTGGCTAGTAAAGAAAAATGGCGTGCTATTTCTCCCTTGTGAATTTAAAGTTTTTACTAAAGGTTTAACGGTTGAACTAAAGGTTTTACTAAAGGTTCCTTAGTATATTACAAGACCAAGACATATTAATGGTCAATAGCTAATACTACACAAGTATCACTGATATGTGGAAACCCATCAGAATAGTTGTGGGGGATGATAAGAACATCGGGCTAATCTCAGGTTTGTGTCAGGAACTTGGGAAAGAACCCTTATTTTTAATTGACACAACCCTTGTATTTATGCCTAAATCAGTAATATTTCTTTCACCACACTGCTCTGAAGTTACCTTTTTGTCAGGTGGCTGCAGATATTGTAGAGGGCGAGACCAGCAGATTCAATAGCTCCTTTGTGTCGACACTTCTTAAGCACAGACACCACAACGGAGACACACCTCTTGCTGTCCCTCACATTCATAGGTGAGGATACTAATTTGCTACATAGCTTTGTACATGCCTAGAACAAACAAATAAGAGAGTATGGCCACATACACTCGAAAAGGATAGTTCTAACAATCATCTATCACATGCTTGTGGATGGCAACTATTGCAACTATGCGTAAAAGAGCCTAATGTCCAATTGCAGCCCTAAGCCTTTTTTGACACAAAACTTTGAGCTACATAAACATTCCAAACAGCAATTGTTATTTCACCCTGCACCAGCAAGGTGGCAGCCAGGATCAACTGTGTGCAGGTATCCTACTTTAAAAGGACTGCTCACTCTGCCGGGCGAGTGTCTTGTCTTACTATGTCTTCGGAAGACATCACTGATGTAGCTCTTAATGTTCTTGAAATGAATGAGCATACAGTACACTGCCTTATTAATACCCGAGCGACACCAGTGACAATGCATTCGCTACGCCGGCTATTTACGAGTCCCTAGCTTCACTAAATACACGTATGTGCATAGTTGAATTTAGCCAAAAACAGAGTACACTGATTTAAATTACTTATTTCCATCAAATGTTCAATTTTTTCAACAAAAATTGCATCTCAGAAAAAGAAAGAAAAATATACTAACGCAGAAAGAATAGATTGTTATTGTAATGTACTCTGAGAGCGGTTCATTCAATTTTTCTTGTACATATTGACTACAGCTGTTTTTTTTTTGTATAGTCCATATACATAGGGTCTCTGCTTCAGTATACAAAAGTCAATGATACTACTTAAGCTAGGTTTTCCTTGATACGGAAGTGGGGAGCAGAGTCTGCTCTCTTGTTTCAGGTAATTTAGTCGTACTATTTTCTTAGAAGCGGGGCCAGCAGCCATTACACGAGTAGATGACTGCTTCAACACAGTCCCCTTTCCGCACCAAGTAAAAACCAGCTTTAGAGCCTTAAACCGATTCCTAAGTAGAGTATGTAGAACCCACAAGACTATTACCTTGAGATTCAACCATATACAGTTGAGGACCAGCTGTTGGGCTGGAGTCAACTGAAGATCACTCATGGTGTTGTCTGTTGCCACTTCACACAACACAGAACTTTCTGCAGAAGATCCTTCAACAATCGCTGCAATGGCCACGCCCATCTCTCCAAACGAAGGTGCATAGTCTGTGTTGAGAGAAAATAGCATTTTCAACGCTGTATGAAGATGTAAGAAATAATTTTGTATAGCCTAAGAGCTAAAATTTTTAAAATGTTTTTTTTTAAGTAAATTTAAATATTTAATTTATAGAATTAGACTTTGTCCAAAAGCTTAAGTGTTTTTGTGTAACTGATGTGAGCTACTACTGTTTGAAGTTTTGTTTGAATCTAAGGATTTTAAAGTGAGTAAACATGCTATGGATGGCAGAACAATGTTTAATGTTCAGAGTTTTCTTAGCTTCAGGAGACCCTAAAATTAAAGAGCGTTGTAGGATCGTACCCAAGTTTTGCCTTAAAGAATACAGCAAAAGCTACAACACAGATGAATTCTCATAATTAAATACATCCTACCAAGAAAAATTGAGGATGAAAAGTTATTTGGGAAGTATAAATTACCTGATGTTGATTCCGACTTGGAGGCCAAAACCGAAACAAAGTAATCAGTTACTTCTTCAATCAGCTTCAACAATCTTTTTTGTTGATCATCCTTTAAAGACAGTTCAGGGTCGGCAGGATCTGATGTTAGCAATTCAATTATCTGTAGGGTTCCATACAAGAATGCCCCTTGAGAGGCTGCTTTCAACAGATCTTCTCTGAGCTGAGTGAACTGTTCTTGAGCAGACGCCAGCAAGACGTTGATGAAATTATCACTTCCTTTGTTGATTAGTTCTTTCAATTCTCTTGATGAGGATTTGTACACCATTGAAACCAAAACTTTGACAATGACTGCTCCACTTTCAGCCTTGTAGAACATCTGGTCTTTGCTCAAGGCTATCCCTTTGTCAAACAGTTCTTGAAATTGTAATTCAAAACCAATTGACTCTGTGATATTATAATAAGAAATGAGAATGTTAGCAGCAGATGAACGTATACCGTTATCCTCATGGAAAAGACAATTGACAAGTGCTTTTAGATCCTGATAACACTCAAATCTAAAAACATCGCTATAACCTTCAAAGCTTCTTATATTAAAACTATTGTTGTTACTTTTTCTTTTATACTGATTTCCCGCCTCATCTTCACCTAAATAGCTGAAGACTATTTTATAGATTTCAAGAGAAGTGATTTTTCTCTGATAATTACACCTATCTTCAAGATTTATTAGCAGAAATGAATGGAGCCACTTTAAAAAGTTAATACTGTCTTTTAAAGGATTATCGTTTACAAAATTGTAAGTGAAAGGACAGTTACTTACATCTTTGCGGTGCGCCACTAACAAAATTGAATCTCTAATTCTTAACATTAAATTATTGAGGGATTTGAGTAAGTTTTGCCTTAAAGCAGAATCGTCTGAATTGATATTTTGCTTTAAAAACTTTATGGCAAAGTCAACCTCTTCATTGTTTGGAGGAGACAAGTTATTTGAACAAGTGCAGACAAGTGAGAATAACTGTGACCGAATCTTCTCAGAGTGATGTATCATTGCAGCTTCGAGAGTTTGGTTGTCCAAGTCCTCCCATTTAAATAGTCCCTCTTTTCTACCAATTTTTTGAAGTGTTATTAGGGAATACAAGCTACTTCCAGTTTCTGAAACCAACATCTCAAAAACTGAGGGGAACTTTTTCAATGTCTGATTCGTCCAGTAGTTGAAAATGTTTTCCATCCCCAAACTGAAACAATATTAAAAAAATATTAACTAAGACATGAAGTTAATGTTGTAAAAAAAAATAAAAAGTACTACCATACCCTTTGGAAAGTACTACTAATTTCTAAAATACTACTCTACTATACGATTATACTATTTCAAGATTTGCTTTAATTTTGTGTGGTAGCTGACATAGATGGGAGACCACAAATTCAATCATCCATTTGTTAACCTTCCAGAGGTCGCATCACGGAAGTAACCTCCAGGGATGTTTTATTTTTCGCGATTATATTATTTTGAGTGATGCCGGCAGTGTGAGTGTCACTGTACCTCACGCACCTCATTCCTAGAATCGAGTGAAGGTCAAAACTCACCCCTACTATTTTATATTTGTTAGTTTTGTTAAGTTTTGTAAGAGGCTGGAAGTAGCTTCCGTGTGCGCCCTGCCGATTCTCGTACAGCCTGGAGGCAACTTCCGTGATGCGACCTCTAGTTTAGTGTGTGCGTTGATTATTGCGTGTAAAAAATTACAGTAAATGATAATTTTTTTACGATTCATGGCATTATTTGGTAAGTATATAGTTTTTACAAGATGAGTGAAGAAGTTAAATTTCGAATTGCAACACTCTTAGCCATGCTGAAAGGGAGATTCACAAACGACGTATGTACAGAGTCATTTAAGATACCCATTATGTTAAATTACTTAAAACATTAGGTATTGAGAGTGGTATCATCTAAAACCACATTATAGGACATTGTGGTAAAATTTAAATTAACTTCTTGAATATATTCTTGTAAAAGACTTCTTCATATACTTTTATGTTAGAACATTTGATAGAATAATAGTTTTACTTTATGTTTAAAACTAAAAATAAAACCTAATTTGTGCACTAAAATAAAAATTTTACTTCATAAATGTTTGTTTTTATTGATCTGGAAGTAACCTCCGGGTGCGCCCTCTCCCGTTTTGAACACCAATGCGCTCTTTGAATGGTTAATATTTGTTATTTTAAAACTACCCAGGAAAGACCAGGGGCGGTTCCAGGGCTGAGTTTCGGGGGGGGGGGGGGCATTACACGGGGGCCACCGGGGGGTCGGGGGTGGGGGGGGGTATGGAATACCCCCCTGGCAGACAGGGGGGTTCGGGGGTTCCCCCCCGGAAATTTTGGAAAATTATGTGCTGAAATTAGCGTTTTTAAAGCTATTTTGAGACCCTAGCTTTAAGATTTAAAAAAATGTAATATTTAAGGTTGTTGCCTTATTAAGAATAATTGTGGAATTTCATGAACATTTCTTCAGCAACAAAGTGCAAACATTTAAACTCGAACTTAGTTTTAGGTTAGGTTTATTGATACAATTCAAGAAAAGTGTATAGTATAGGCATGAATTTGGTTATGTGCAATAAAACTTCTTGACCACCTGGTGCCGACTTGGGCAGGGATATACAGACGGCGCATGTAGTGGTTCCAGTGAACTCATCAGGCATGTTGAACCTATTGAAAGCCTTTATAATCTATTCCTCTTTATCTACCTCTAACTTTGCACATAGTTGTCCTAGACTAGGACGACTATGTGCGGTCCTAGTTAATTTTTTGAGGTTATGTACACAGATTTAATAGGCTACTTTTAAAATATCCTTAAATGCATATGGGAGCTCAATAATTACAATTGTATTGCGTTGAAAACAAACCTCTGCAAAAAGCTTGTAAGGTATCAGCTTGAAACATTTTTTTCAGGCTTGGCTAATTTAGGAAATTGAAATTTTAGGTTCAATATGGCGCCCATGGTCCATTGAATTCACCGACAGAGAACTATAATCTATTAAAGTTGTGCTTATCATTACTGCATTATTACTACCCAAATACTGACGAAGAACCCATAAATAACCAATCACAATGCAAGGGCTGTAGTAATAATAGAGATCGATGGTCACATGGCGTGATGGTGATGAGTCATCGATGTGTACTACGCGCCGGCCTAAAAACATTACCCGTTTAACTACGAGCTGGCGGCACCGCGCACCTGTGGCGAATGTGTGTGGCCCAGGCTAGTACAACTTGAGTACGACGATGACTATCGCGCTCTCACTCCCATACTATTTTCCGCATAAACGCCAGCTCCTGTGCTACCTATTCTTGTCCTACTTGATAGCCTACTCACATTAAAAATTTAAAAAATAAATTATTATGGTTGGAGTTTAAGTTTGTTTATCTACATTCATGGGGGCCCCCATGGCCCCCTCTCTGGAACCGCCCTTGGGAAAGACATGAAGGAATTTTGCTTTAAAAAAAATATGAATTCAAGATTATGATGTGAAACTTCCAAAGATGAAACTATATTTTTTTGTCATTTGCTTTGGTACATATAAACAAACACGCCATGCAAACCTCGATTTTATTTCTAGTTCTGCAGTTTAAGTTCATGTATCCAACAAAATATAACATCCCTTATGATAATTTTTTGTACTGAAAAAACTAATTGTACAGTTATTTTTTTTTGTTTAAACGAAAGAAAAAGATTTGCAGTAGCAAAAAAGACTAGTGTGCATGTGTGGGCAAAGGGCAGAACAGCTGCAGACTCAGTGTTTGGTAAGCACCTTTTTTCTATACTCCTGGTATCCTAGGAAAAGGTGTTCACTGTCCAGGTGGTATAATATTTGTAAACATTGTCATGTAAACACGGGCAAGCTGGTTTTTCACTTGCAAAACAAACTAGGCCTATATTAAAAACAAATCATAAAATTAAGAATGTGGCATCTAATTAAATATCATGTTTATTTATAATGCAAGTTCTTTTATAGCAATGCATAACTAATGTAACTTTTTAACAAACCAAAAACTGAAATTTTCGATAGGGGATACATACCTCAGCTCTTCATGTGATATTATTTTACTGAATGGTTTTAAAAACCAGTGTTGCCAATCCTTCAGAGACAGTGATGCCAAAAGAGCAAGATACAGGTCAGTCCCAGCTGATACTAGATAAGGAATTGATAAGCTGATAATCAGCCCATTGATTATTTCTTCTCCATATTTACTTAGAATCTGTAAATCAGTAGTTTCAAGTCACAACAAAAAGACGTTGATAAGTTGAAATTTAAAGGAGTTCCCGTGCTGCTCAAAATTAAGTATAATCCATGGTCAGAAACTATTTTAATACTCACTAGCCTCCATCCAAATAAAAAAAAAATTTCAACTTCAAAAATGTATGTCTTTGAAAGTTTAGTACCTAATATGATTTTGATGCCTTATAGCATTTTACTGACCATAGTGCAAGTCCTAGGTCCTAGGATGCCTCATTGTAAAATCTCCAGGGCTGTACGAATCCAGAAATGTTGGTTCGAATCCAAATCCGAATCATAGCTGTACAGATTTTATCGAATCCGAATATTTTAATTAATCCCGAGTCGAATTTGGGTCGAATCCGAATCGCAAATTTAAAGCTGTTATGGAATCCGAATATTTAAACCTGTTCAAAGTCAAATCCGAATCCGAGGAAAGTCAGCAGTATTTACCAATTTTCACATTTTTAGTCCACATTTTCTGGGGCTGAAATAACTTCCAGGGGAATTGCCTCAAAAAATTCTTGTAATGGGCCAAATAAAAAAGTTATAAAATTTAGGCCTACCTATTTTAAATTTTGAAATTAAAAAATTGGGCATAAGATAGGCCTACACCCTAGGCCTAAGTTACTCGCTAAAAGTGATGGACTACCAATTTGTGTAGTCTAAAACATAGGCCTAGCCTATACACCTCAGTGTCATTCCTCCACATAAGCCTATGTCTGTATTACTATTACAAGTAACAACTCGCACTATGAGGTTAAGTTTACTGATAGCCAAGATAGGGATCAAATGTGACCTACACTAAGTTGCCTAAAGCCTAACACCAAGTTATAATTTACTATGGTCAGGTTCCTAACATGAACCAGTCAACAGCGAATCGGAGTACACAAGTAGTTTTTTAGTGTCTAAAAAATTATATTGAATCAGAATCTAGTAAATTTGAATATCAAATCCCAACTCGGATCAATTTCCAAGAAATTTGAATATTGAATCCGAACCCGGATCTCTTACCGGTAAATTTGAATATCGATTCAGAATCCGAATCCAGTTAGAAACAGTAGATTCGTTCTCGAATTTGAATCAAATCTCTAAAAAGATTCGGATTCGATTCGTTTTTCGAACTATTCGCACGGCCCTGAAAATGTCTCGTAGGTTTATCTGTTAAGACTTTGACTTGTTGGCATTTGTCATGAATAAAGTAACCACACATAAAACATCAGCCAAATAATCAATTAATCATCCGAATGATCAACATTCCAGAGTGTATGCCAATAGCGCAGGCTATGACTGTCAGCATGGTTATGTATATTTACTTAGGACAAAGTGAAATGTTTTACTGAGAAAATTACAATAAATTTGACATTGGGGCATTATACACTACAAAACTGTAATGATCCAAAACGCAATAAGGATTGACAAAATAAAATAACACATTTCTTTTTATTACGCAATGGCCTACCCATTACTACTGAATTATTTATTTGATTTCTCTTTCATGATTTTTTAGACTATGGTATGTACTTTTATACCTGTTATCATAGATGTATTTCAACAGAATATGTCAATTTTTACCAAAATAAAATCTGTGTACTCCTCTTATACTGACTTTAAAGAAGAAAAACATAAAATGTATTCAATCTTTAAAATAAACTCACTGACCACGGACCTGCAACTGAGCTATGATGAGCTACTACCATCGGCCGATCGGGTGATTGCCACTATAAACATTTGGCAACACAAAGGCTCGCAGGTTAGATTTGAAAAACTACTAAGCCTTAGCCGGTGGGATTGTAGTACAGCTATCTCCCCGCAAAATGTGGTAACAGGCTACATACATGAGTCGTCCTCAATGGGTTGATGTGATCAGCTATTTACACAAACTGTTCACATCAACTACACATCAACTATTCTACAATAAAATTCTTCAAATCCTTATTACTCAAATATTGACTATACATACAGAGTTATGTAATATTTTGAAGTCAGATATATCGTGTCTCTTAAATAAGTTGATTCTATAAGAACATTTAACGTAAGTTTTAAACTTTAAACTTAACATATCATGTATGAAGTGACTAGCTTACCTGAGGTATGTTTGAATCCTGTACGATGGAACACAGTAGAAAATATTTGCTTTTCATAGTCCATGATAGCTCTGAGAGTACAAGTTCCAGCAAATTTTGATGCCTTAAAAGTCCACAGAACTTCCATTCTATCTCGGTATTAGTGCTTTTTGAAAGTGTAGCAATCCAATAGTCTTCGCTAAACAACAGAAGCTGGTTGAAAACAAGGCTATTTTGTTGGCGCACCCCACTCAGGGGATTTTCCCAGTTGGAAAGAGCAATGTCTAAAACACTTTTAAAGTTGTCTTCAGATATTCCACTTCCTGTGGGATAAAGTTGGTGTATTTTGTTCAAAAGACTGTGTAAAACTTTGAAAGCTAGGTAACACGTAGAATTAAGTTCACAGCAAAACCTTTTAACAATTGTGAATATTTCTTCCAAGAGTACATCTCCAGTTTTGCTTGGTGATTTCCAACAGCTTAATTGGAAAATTCCATGACACAGGAATAAAGAACATTCATGAAACTGATTATCGACAAACTCTTTGATGAAAACACTTAATATTTTATCCATTTCTTGTTTGACATTTGAGACGATCTTGCAGTAGGCTGTTGCTGCTACTATGTGGTTATTATGGCTAAGTTGATTACTGCTTAAGACAGCTAGAAGATCTTCTAAAACTTGTTCTTGTAATAAAGTTGGAACCTTGTTGCTTGATGTTTCATGGATTAAAATCTGAAAGGAAAAAGTCAGGTATAAGACTCATTGTTGAGAAAATGACAGTACAGTAGAACCTCAAAGGTTTGACACTTGACAGTTCAACACCGGCCGATGATGTGACATTTTGGCTGCAGCTGATGACGGGTTCATTGGCTTTAAAAGAAGAACCTTCTTATTGTTTACATGTACACGAAAACTCAACACTGTTATACCTATCCGATTAATTTGCATTTTTTTCAAACATCTAAAGTGAAAAGTGGTTAAATAACTTTACAAACTATTCCATACAGTAGGAACCGGAAGCTTAAGTAGAGACTTAAGTTGATATGGTAAGTCTGTTTATTTATGTCCAGTTTTATGCTGTTTATTAAAATAATGCTCCCTGTGTTTGAATGTTTAATATACTCCCTATAGTTTGACACACTCTTAGTCTGCAAAGTGCCAACCTATCTGTATTTTAAACAAACAAACTTAAAATTATTTTTTTTAAATTTTTTAATACTATGTGCATTAGAAGGGGATCTGAACCCAGATCTTTTTTAAATCCTCTAAACATAAACCTATTCTTTAAAATGGCTAGTAAACGAAGTAACAAATTATAGTAACAAATTATTTCAAATATTTTCAAACAATTAATATAAACTCTTTTCCACCGTTTCACCATTGAATACATAAAAATATTATTCATGACTATACACTAATACATAAAAGTCTATAATAACTTAAAAACTAAATGAAGACACTTTTTAAAAGGGCTATTTTGCTTAGTTTGAAATAAAACTGAAAAGCATATATAGGCTTACTCTGAAATCGCTGGTTTGCAAAGACGCCAACTTGTTGTCACATATGGCTTGTCTCAGGTGAGATGCAGCTTCTTCAAAACTCGAGGAAGCACTCATGATGAATCACTGGTAAACAGATACATAGTGTTAATAGATCAAGTTACACAATGAGATCTTTTGAACCTGTATAAAAACAACGGTTTTGACATCTTTCTTATTTATATACATTTTGTTTATTTTTTATTTATACCAATATAAATATGTATTGTCTTTGAATATAAGAATATAAGGAATTGTCTTCTCATCATTGAGTAGACTCCTACACTTGTTTTAGTTTGAAAACTAAGTCATTATTAATTCATAGCGATGATTAACAGTATGTAAATGGAGAACATTTTTTGTTTGCCAAGTTTTGAGAGGCCTAGTAGCAACGACTTTTTTGCCCCATTGTCACAATAAGGCACCTCAGAAAGGCACCACAAAAATCCTAGCCTCAATGTTGTACATTTTGTGGGAACATAACTATATTTAAGTTGTCACATACCAAAAACTGGGGGCAAAATATAATGTGAGACTTGTGTTCATAGTGTCATTTTTAAACTCTACAAAATTTACACACTCGGTAAACCTGGTGGGTCATAATTTTCCCTCATTTGTGCCACTTTACATAAAGTGCCACTTTGCTCACTAGTTGCACAAATAACAATATCAATAATATACCTGAAAACACAATAAAAGCTATATAGATTGTACTGAAAAACTTACGAGTTGTTTGAAAGGTTTCCGCTGTCTCCGTGGAGAGACGTCGGAGGTCAGCTCTGCATTGCTGGGAGATAATCTTCTGGAACAAAAATTACGATGACTTGTGAAAATTGTTAATACACTATATTTTATTGTTTATCAAGAAGAATCAGAGTAACAAACACACTAATTACTCTTAGCGAATTTCCCTTAGAGGGAATAAGCTATTACAGTAGGTCTCATGGTACGACCTGGATCGGGACCGATTTACTTTTTTGTTTTGATGTCCCCAGAGGTCAAAAACACCATCCGTTCAAATTCATGTATCTATATGTCTGTTAGCACGATAATTCGAGCAAAAATGATCCGATTTTGATGAAATTTGGTACAAACGTGTTAACCTACGTTTATTCGAACAAGTTTGTGAACCAGCATGAAGGGACCATGGGAACGGGGTTTTATGGGAGGATTTATGAGATAAAAATAGGGTTTTCACCCTCAAAACATAAATAACCCATTTTCACCCACATTTCATAATTTTGAAGAGCTTAAAAAAACAAATAATTTAGTATATTGAAATCTTTTTTAAGGTTATTCGTTACGGATAAAATGAAAAAAATTTTAATTTTAAAATCCTCATGTTATTCTTATGGAGAATACGTAAATGGTTGTAGTTTTATCGTTTATGTATAATTATTGAACAAACTTGGCAAATCTATTTATTTTATGCTAAGCTATTATTGCTTTACTAAAAAAACACACTTTATTACCTTCGCTGTAGCAGCAAACCTAGGTACTCATTAAACTGAAGCAATACTTAAAACAGATAGGCCGTATTACACAGTCCCCGACGTCATTGAAGAGCAAAACTTCCAACACCTGAGACATGAATAGCCCTTCAAACCCATTTTTACCCTGGTCCCAAGATGAAATGTGACGATTCCCCGATCCCTGGATTGTGGAGAAGACACCGGATGGTAAATGGTAAATCTAATGTTATTAAAATAGATTCAATTGAAAATCAAATCAGGCAAATGGAAATTCGCTTAGTCTGCAGGTTTGCTGTGGTGGAGGTATTTTAAATCCTTATGGAAAGATTGGCGTAATTTGGTTGAGTTGAGGTTACTAGCCCACTAAAATGTAAGCATGCTGATTCATTGTAAAGTTATATGGTACCGTTACTGTATATGGTATTTGTCAAATATGCAGGCTAGTGAGTGGTGACCGCAGTGAGTGAGTGATAGCTTCTGAAAGGAATCGGCAATCTCTGTCTTATTAAGGTGACACAGTACTCCCTATCCCGCCCATGTTAAAATCTTTAGGTACACATAACTTTTACAAATATTAACCTATCAACTTGAAATTTTTGTACTAAGTTTAATATATTATTACCAACAATAATATGAAGCAAAACAAGTTTTTGAGCAAAATTAAATTGTTAGTATGATTTTTAAAATTTATAAAATATTTTGTAATTTTTTAACATAAAATATTTTTTTATTTCAAAGGTTTTTGGTTGTCATGGAAACTGATTTGTATTATTGTTCCTTATCATATGAGGAACACACACATCAATTCTTATTGACATTAGATCAAAATTGAGGAAGAAAAGTGTACCTGACTAAAAACCACTTGCACTTGACTTTCGGAAAACGACAAAAGTACGCCCTGTCATGGGTAGTAGTAGGACCCTTGGGCATTCTAAAGTAAGAGTGTATAAAAGTCGCTGAATAGCTTAAAATAATTTTTTCTTCCATAATATTTGGTATGTACGTGTTCAGGAAAGTGTGTTCTACAAAACTAAATAATAAAAAATGTTTAAAAAATGTAATATTTGACGGCGTACCCTCTGCGTCTTGATTAGTAGTAGGACCTTGGACATGCTAAATTAGGCTGCAATAGTTTATAAAAGTAGCTGAAAATTTTAGAAATAATTTTTTTCTTCCTTAATTTTTATTACAGTATCTACGACCTACGTGTTCAGAAAAGTCTGTTCTACAAAACTAAATAATAAAAAAAATTTAAAAAAATTATATTTGAGTACTGTGTTACTTTAAATATAATTTTTTATTAATAAATCTCTCTTTCTATTATGTGTGGTTCAAAAGTTAAATTCAAACAAATAAAGTAAGATAAGTGCATTTTACAGCATCAAACACACTTTGCCAGTGGTTTAATTAGTGTTTTACGTTCTGAAACTGCTTACAGCTTTAAAATGTGAATTCAGTATTTTACTTGACTTTATATACAAAGGTAGGATGCATGAAATTTTAAATTGACACCATAAATTTATCTAAAAATTACAATATAGGATTTTTGATTTTTTTTGTAACCTACCATTGCTTTAACATGTGATTTTTAAATGCGAGTGAATGATCAGTTTTGAGTAGACAACTTGGCTTTCTAGTTTCTATCACAGTTATGTACAGTCAAACAACCCTAAGAAGGCATTTTGCAGATCTTGAAGTTAACGTAGGAAGTTATTATCGATTAAGTGGGGGCGTGCACACCAAGGTTGCCACCCATTCCGATTCTGCCGGGACAGTCCCGATTTCGGTTCCTTATGCCCACATTTAAGCCTATGTTAATCGGGGGTGGGGGGGGGGGCATGTCCCGACTTTTCCCTAACCTAAGATGGCAACCCTGGTGCACACAGAAAGTTACTTTGAGATTTGTGAGGTGGGTAGTTTCAGGTAGCTGGCGATTCGGCGGTAAAAACCAATGTTTTTGAAAAGTTGTTTTCCCACCATCATCAACCCTTTCCTCTATCCTCCTGCAATGGGCACAAATGCCGTTTAGGGTTGTTTGACTGTAAATGAACAAAACACATTGATAGACTTTAGTTCATGTCTGTATTTACTGTGTACAATTTGTAATTTGTTTATCCTCAAGGACCATCAAGCACAATTTCAAGTTCTAAAGTACGTGTGTTGATGTTTCCTATTTGTTTATTTTTGTAAGCTACTCTCTCAAAGACAGGTGAACTTATGGATTATACCATTGTACATTCAAATACATTGTAAAAAAGGACATTATATAATATTAGACTATAAGAAGAATGACGAAGCACCTGTGCATTTATCTAAAACCTCTGCACGTTTATGTGCTAATAAACATGATTTGATTTGATACCACCGAGAAGTAAGAAGATAAGAAACTAAGTGAACTAAGTAAGAACACTAAGTGGTGTCTATAACTAATACTAGAGCAAAGTCCACCGCCCCCCCCCCTCGTCCTTGTACTACAATGCTCACGGTGGAGGAAGACCCTGTGTATTAGAATTATAAACAAACGAGTTATTAATTTTAAGGGAAAAACTATGGTGGTTATTATTCAAGGTGCTGGTTTATTCAATGTAGTTTTCTTTCAGACTTAAGGTTTAACTAAACTAGACAGAGAGGAAAGAAAATTACAAGGACAAATTCTGGTGCTAGTGCTACATTGGTTGGGCAATGTAAACGAAACAGATAGGACTTTTTTGAGGAAAGTATTTAGCTTATTCCTTTTCTGGCTTGGTATAGCCCAAGGACACAACATACAGCAAAACAAAAGACAAGAGCAAGAAAATATGTTGGCGTGTCATTTTGTGGTGTATTAAGTTATGTCACTTCAAGTGAAGCTATTTCCATTTGGTAACATAGAAAGCATTCATCAGAATCGGAAACTTTTCTACTTGTTTTATTTACAATTGTAGTGTAGCCTAAATCTTCTTTCCAGGTTCTTCATACTGTATCACTACTTGATTAAGTAGTGATACAGTAAATGAATATGAAGAACCTGTTTATGTTGTAGATGAGTTTGAGATTTCAAACTCCATTACAGCTTCCTTGTTAGCAACAACTAGATATGCTTTACGATTCAGTTGACACTTGAAGAAACTCCTCTCCTCTCCAATATAGAGGAAGTTTTCATGGCCTGAAAGCCCAATCTTTTTTTTATATAGGTTAAAACTACAGATTTAAAAGTGGGCTCCAAACCTTCACTCTGTTAGTATTACAAGGGGCTGTTTTGTGTATGGCTCTTTAGTTTGTGTGTATGCCGCAACAAAGCGGCTTGCCGCTTACTGGCATCACTGGTGAACAGAATGACGCCATTTGCAGCTCTGTAGCTGACGTTGAGTGTTCTTTTCACTGAGTGTTGAGTCAATTTATATAATTATAAAATATTCCGCTGCATGTCAGATAAGGTCAGTGATACGTCTCTCTTTGGAACAAGAAACATATCCCATGAGGACATTCATTGAAAGATGACTGAAAGTTATGGCCCTAATGCAATGAGTGATGGTAAAGAGCGTTTAAATGGGTTAGGGAATTTGAATTTATTTATGGCTGTGTAAAGCTTTTTCCTTTGGTCTTTGGTGGTCTAAAGGTGGTCTTTGGTGAGAAGTCTGGGTATCAACCAAGAACACAATTACTTCCAAAATGGACATTTTTACCAACATTTTTCCCTACATTACATTAGGGCTATAAACTTCAGTCATATGGCAATGAATGTCTACAGTCGATATTTTTCTTGCAGTCAAAAAACATGTCACTGACCTTTTCTCTTATAGGCGGGGGATTAAATAATTTGAAAATTTGTCAAGCCACATTGCAAAGTGTATGTACATCAGCTACAGGCCAGTCGATATAGTGCTTGCAAAAAAGAAGGTCCCAGTTCATGACTTGCACTTTTACAAGTGTTGCTTGCTGATCGAAACACATCAAAAGACCACAGGACAACCACCGTCAGTCCTTTTCTATGGTAGAAGATTACCAACAGCTTTGGATAGGTGTAATAGCAGAGAGAGAATAGAAAATCAAGCGTGGTGATAGAAGTACTACCATGACTTAATATCTAAACAAAAGGAGTTTTCTACCAAACAAGAAGTGTGGGTTCAAAATAAAACGAAGAAGGGTTGGAGACCAGGAACAGTACAAGAAAGGACGGGAGAGCTATCATACACAGTTTTAAATGGGGGAAAATAAAGAGAAAACATGCTGACCAGCTGAGAGCAAGAGAAGGTGCAACTGATCCACCTCAATGGAAAATGCAAATGAAACCTGAAAATTATGATATGTACATAGTTTCGGAAACTCAGCCTAAAATGGGTGGGGAGAAATGTAGGATTATTGTTATCAGCAGAGTTATGAAGTTATGAATCATCTGCTATTTGGTTCTTTTACATTATTATTACTTTTGTAAATAAATAGTATTAATTGAGTTTACTTAAAATGTGTTTTAATAATTAATTATTCTATACTCACAAAAACTTATGAGCTTTAAGCAGGATTTTCAATTAATTTTAAGCTTTCTGAAAAGGATTAGTTGGAGAATAGTTTGGATTTTAAGGATAATGCAAGGCCACACTAAAAAAACTGGCCGTAATGCTCGTCAAGCATGAAATCACGATAGAACGCGGCATTGTAATGTTTGCCGTTTGTGATCAGCTGCTTGTTTTAATCTTTCCTCGAAAATGAATAAACAAATACCTACGTCATTGCCGTCTTCTATCGTGACGTAATGTTTGACGAGCATTACGGCCTGTTTCTTTAGTGTGGCCTTGACTAAGGAGAGAAAAATAGTGAATAGACTCCCTCTGATCCGGACTCCTTTTATCTGGACATCGGTTTAAAGGACTACACTTGGAGGAAATGACATCTCTTTAACCGGACGTTTTTCATCAGCAAATCGGTTTAACCAGAATAGATCAGCAGGAAGTGGGCGGTACTGAAAGAACTGTTCTCGTGGGAAAGATTTGAGACCGGTGATCACATGTCTAAATACAATGCTCTCCTAAATTTAAGTCAAATACTGTATACAGTATGCATTTAAACGGTCCGGTTTAACGAGTTTTTGGGGACGTCGGCTTAACACATTCGCTGCTGACAACTCCGATTGGAGTCATGCTGTACTGGTACAGCGTGCGTACGACTCCAGTCGGTGTAAGGGTGGAGTGTTATACAAGTGGTCTATCGTGACCTCCACATTTATCGGGGATCAACTAAACTATGTCAGCATGTTGTTGTGCTGGTCCTATACTTTAATTTGGTGTAGATTGGGTTTAGGTTGGTAGTAAAATTGCCCGTAAAATCCCGTCTGGCAATGCTTTTTGTTCTGTTTTCAGGGATTTTCTCTTTTTGAGCCACATTACATAAACACTGGCTATGGATCCAGGCAGTGCTGCTATCTGTGAGTTTTTCAGTGAACTATGTCTACTCTCGGGGTAACACAGCACCATCACCACCCATGTTTTGCCATTGTCAAGACTGAATAATATTTTAATGCTATTGCGTTCACTGATTCACTGGGGCGCCGACGCTGCAACACATTTCCGTCCGTACTGCCAAAAGGGATTCTCACAGCGAACGTGGTAAACGAAAAGCCGTTATCCGGACTGGTCTCGGTCCCAAGGAGTCCGTCTAAGAGGGAGTCTACTGTAGTAGCAAAATGGCATGAAACTCCTAGTCCTTCATAAGATATAAAGGTTGAAGATCTAGGTTTAGATGTGGTTGGGATGAATATTTTCTTTCCCTCAAGCACAACTAATATGTTTCATGTATGTTAAATAAACATTAAACAAAAATTATAAATCTGTAGTAGATAGTACAACAGATAACTGCATAAATGTACCCATTGAAATTGTAAACCGACCCTTCAAAATACACCTTATATACAATGTGAATATTGTTACTGTCATTGCTACTAAGGAGGAAGTTATTGAAGAATGACTTAGAAAGCAATACTGTGCCGTACAACTATTATAACAGAGGCAGTTACAGAGATTAAGTGTTAGGGTGACAAAATAATATGAATAGATTAACAAGAAAACACTGTATTTACGACTAATAAGCGATTACAATTAAATAACAATTTGCTAGGCCTATGTTTGTTTTTCTTCACTCAAAGGCTCATACCCTTCTTTTTCTATTCTTTCTTTGAACTGCAGATACGACCTCTTCCTGTCAAAGTGTTTGACCTGAAAAAAAGATTTCTAGTTAAAAATTGCATAGTCTATTCAATAGTCACTGAGTTAGCCTATATAAAAAGGTTCTGAGCAAACTAAATCTTTTGAAACCTCTAATGGTTGAAAACCCTGTTCTATGATGGACTATACACCCAATTTGTTTGGACATGCTTACTAGAAGATAAGTATACAAGTTAAATTCAGATTTTAAGAAGACTTGAACATTTTTTTACCAACATTTTCTTAATTACTAAAATTAAAAACATGAAAAGCATAGTTAGGCCTAGGTAATCTGATAATACTGCTTACACACAGACAGCAAGGGAATAAAAAAAATGTTTGAGATAGTTTGATGACAGCATAAAATGAATGTCATCAAGAGCTGCATCTGTGTATCAATTGTCCTGATGCTATTTTTTCTTACACTGTATTTTATAGATTGTGGATAGGCTTAGGTTCTTTATAGATGCAACATTCGAAAGTTTTTGCAAATTTGGAAGATTAAGTAAATAAATAATCAATAAAAGAAAAAATATAACATTTTATCAGTACAGTTCACCTTTGTACTGTACCGGCTCACTCCTTGCTTTGCTGTAAACGATCCACGCATGGGCGCTTAGTCTATGTAGACGGGCAAATGCAAGGTTAAAAGAGGCCGCCAACCTCTTTTTTTTTAAAGAAAGAAAGAATCTAATTACAAAGTTAGGTGCATAAAACATTATAATTAGCAATCTTAGTTGGTAAAATCCTAATTAAATTATTGTGTGAATGAATGAACTAAGGTAACTAAACACAAACAATAACTTTAAAACAGTTGCCAATAAACTAAGTGTTATATATATAGGCCTACATTACAATAATAATACATAATTGGTGGTTGTTTTGGCATCATTTTCTGGCCACTGACTTGAGGTTATTTACATCACAATGAAGAGAGAGAGAAAAGTGTCTTAAAGGAATAGTCATTTTATAATGTGGTTAAAATATCTCATAGGCCTAGTGAGATTACTTATTTATTAAATGTTAAATTAACCTTTTGTTTTTAAATCAACTTAATAAACCTAAATAAATAATTATTTTAAAAATTTTGGTAATTTGTACAAAGCTGTAGGTTAATGCTAACATATAAAATTAATACTCGTTTAGTTTTATTGACTTTTATGGCATTTTATGTAGGGCCTTGATATCAAAATAGTACATCCTTTTTTAACTTAATAAAAATCGATCTAGAGAAGAAAATATGTTTCCTCTTACTCTAGGCCTAACTAACTTAGTGAAAAAAGAAGCTGAACAGATGTTGTGTACGTGCAATCTCTCTTAAACTCTCTAATGTCGTCAACTTCCACCCAAGCTAAACACCGTTTATTTAAGTAGGGACTTCTCAACATCTAAGTAACACAATTATAGGCTAAATATGCATTGCATACGTCCGGGAATCGAACCCACACATGTAAAGTTCTCGGAATCACACTGGTCAGTGCAATGCACTCAACCACCAAATAGACCAAATTGTTGACCAATTGTGGTCAACTCAACCACAATGTCACTGTCAGTTGGACAGGATAAGTATCCAATATTGAATGTGACACTGACACTAGTGCTCCTAGCTCCTAGCTTCCTAGGTGAGTTTTTACGAACTACTTAAACCAGTGGCTTAGTAGTATGGCTAACTTAAATGTCGTATAAAACTTAACTCTTAATGTCTTAAAGGATTAAAACAACAATGCAACCAACAAAGGTTCTGAACCTTTAGCTCAGAAACTTTAGCTTTTGACTAAGAAAATCACATTTGATTTATTATAGGCCCTACTACTTACTTTACATTTAAATTTATTTGGGTAGCACCACAACGTGACTAAACCTTTTGCTCTTTTACAGAACAATGTTTTGCATATTTCTGGTGACTTTGAATATTTAGGAGATTTACCCTTGGATGTATTGCTTTAAGGATATATTCTAGAAGGGGAGTTACATAATGGAAACCTAACGGACATTTTAAATGTCTTTTGAAACCTATGACTATTGATGGAATAGAACTAGACATTCCATTCACCATGTTTAAGTTGTTGTCAGTTTTTATCATAATGGACACGGTAAAACTGAGCGCTGATGTAAATTACTGGTGTTTGTTGACTAATCCAACTTTTAACCAAGTCAACCTGGTATGACAACTTAGTAAACCTAACCCAGTAACGAAAGATAAGGTAGGCTAGAAAACTGAATTTAAGACACTAGCATACCCTGTAAGTCAATGGTTAAAACTAATAACAGCTGATCAAACGTAACTTCAAAATATCAAAACTTTTGGACATCAATTTGCTTTTCAAAACCAGTAGCCTAAAAATACTCCAAGTAAACGTTAAATATACCAAACTTTTCTTGTAAAATATGTTTATTGATACGGTATTTTAAAACGTCAAAAGTTTAAACTAAAACACAAAGTCTGTTCCACTTACCCACTGTCCGGGACATGACGTTTCGTAGAGCTGTCTTATCTTGGAACACTGCTTCGCCTCGTTGGGATGCAAGTCTAGACACTCCCAATACTTGTCCCGCGCGTCCCAACACGCCTGTCGCTCGTCTTTGGTTGGGAATGACATCTTAGTGTCGCACTCGCGAAACTCTGACACTCGGAACTGCGCAACGCAACCACTGCAACACGACCACTGCAAACACCGTCAACTGTTAACTCACCGACGCATCAGTCTTCTGCATTTAGCACAAGTAGTTGTTAAAATAGGTGACCAACTTGACCGTTTATAACTCTTGTTAAGTTCAGATAAAATTGTGAATTTTCCCAAAAACTAGGCCTATTTAGAAACATTTTTAAAGAGTAAGACTAAAGGGCTACGACAAATTTATGAAGGCGGGTTTAACTTATATAGTGATTCGTGGTAGGGATATTCAACATATTATATTGCATGATTAACATGCCTAGCTTTTTATAAAAGATTACTAAGTTTTAACTTGTGTATACAACCATTTAATCCTTCACTTCCCTTATAAAACACAACTGAATTTTATCAGTAGGCTAGATACAATAACTTAAAATGAAATTTTAGAATAACGTAACAAGCACTTGACAGTTGGAGCACACGACACTGACTAAATTAACAGGTTGTGAGCAAGCTACTGACCGTGGGAGAGGAACAGCAAATAGGAAGCTGAGATGGGAGAAATGGACCAATCACATGTCAGCAACTGTGCTGGGAGGCGTCAGTAAAACAGAGATGAAGAATCTGCAAAAACAGAAAGATCCAAAAATAATTCAACTATGAAGTGGGAGGTTGTTTACAGATTTTTGGCAAGATATCACTGGCAGTACGGTACATGCAATGTTCTGCTAATTATAGACATCTTCTGTGAATACAGATATTAATTGATTGCTTAAACTTCATTTCAGGAGATTTAACAATCTACTGCAGTCTAAAAAAAAATAATTAAGACATTCATCTGATGTTTGAATATTAAACTGAAGAGATTTTTTCAGGTAAATGTAGTAATTTATAGTAATGAGTTTAATACGTACGTTAACAGTTTTTTATTGAAGAGAACCCCCAATTTTTAGGTAATGGTATATTTCAACAAACAAAGAATGTAAAATTACTTATAAATGTCACTTTAGGAGATAATTAATGACGTAATAATTTTTTTTTTTTTTTTTTTTTTTTTAAGACAGTATAATATTCAATGTAAGACCATGTCAACAGCCAGCAAGTAAAGAAGTTGGAAATAAAGTATGTTTTGATTTTGATTTTTTTGATAGAAATTTGTAAACATAAAATAAGTTAGGTTATTTTCACACTATTTTCCAGTTTTCCACTTTTGACATTTAGCCACGATTAATAAAACAAGACCTTACATCAAATTTCTTCAAGCAATAAAAAATTACAATTTTTTACTTCCCATGAAAAATGAGAAATTAATAACAGTAGTAGTAGGCTAGTTGTAAAAGTTCATTTGGCTTAAAATTTCTTTTTCTGTCTCATTAAAATTAAGTCCTGGAACGGGATGTAATAAAGTTCATGTCGCCAGTCATTGGTAAAATATTCACTAAACTTTAGTTGGTAAAATTGATAATGTTAAGAGTTGTTAACATTTGTTATACTATTTCTTTAAAGTCAATAGTGTCTTGAATCGCCAGATAATTACAGTCAAAATGGGTTAATCTTTTTTGAAGATATGGCAAGTTTAGGCCTTTCTATTATTAAATGAAATAAGTCAAAAAAGTGTTCTAAAAATATATCTGCAAATAAAACAAAAAGGTTCTCCTAAACACCTGTAAATGTGGTTTTGGGACATTTATACTTGTTATCCACCTTTAATATAACTTTTCAATCATATCGCCAAGCATAGAATATGTCTAGGTTTAAGTAAAATAATTTTTTTGTACATTTTCTCTAGGTGGATGTGACAGGAAAATGCAGACTCGAATAGCTCTTCATGCTGGAGCTTGGTAATTTAAATGTAATTTATGGTGTTAAAAATAGTGTCAACTCTGTTGGCGGAGTGCCTGTATATTTTTGGAACTTCCGTCTATTTTAACTTCCAAAATCATCTCAGATTAATCAACATTATGATTCACACACATACATATACATTTCTTATTATTACTTCATTTGTTGAAGAGAAAACATTTCTACACAGGAAAATATGTCATGATAACTTCTCCTAAAGTCCTTGCAAAATAAAGTTCCTTTAATTAAAACCAAGTTTTTCGGAAAATATTTTATTTGGCCCAACATTTAACTGAACCTGAATAAAAATAAATGGTTTGATTGTTTTAAATACAACTACAATCATCAGAAAAAGGGAACATTTATTTTTTTCAAATTGAGGTTTGTTGGCATCGCAGGTTGTTATTACTTGACCAAAAGGAGCATATTGCCCGAGCTTCACGTCTCCTATCATTGTTTTTTCCACAGCAACTACAATACTATTTTTTTTGTCATTAAATAATTTTATTCAACTCACACCACACCTTTTTACAAGCATTACCCTGCATTACAAGAACCTCTGCTACCGACAAAAACACTTATATAGCGAAATTAATTTATTTTGTACCTAATCCATCTATTGTTCCACACATGAAAAAACTCTGCTATCAGGGAAACTTTGGCATGTTCAATTGGTTAAAACCTTTGAGTTTAATTCTATAACTTACACCCAAATACATCAACCTAATATCATCAGTTTAAAGGGGTTGATTGACATCCAGCTTGCCCATGTGAGTGTTTGTGTGAAATTCTGGTCCTGGGACACATTTTGAAAGATTATTGGCTTCTGGTTTCAAAAGCTTCTAATTCCTTAAAAGTTTTACTACACCTATGCATGACCATTTTCATCATCAATGCTACCCCAGTCACATTTAGGCGCAGTAAGCCAAATCCTAACTTTTCATTTGGTGAATTGTAACCACTATCTTCTCGTTTGTTTAGTACTCTATTTTGAGAATAGGCCTAGTAACTCACGAGACCTTACCGTCAGACCGCCACCGCCCACCACCGTGCCGTGCAGAACGCACCATACGGTGCATAGCCGAACTGTTAGTGGGAAATTGTTATCTCTATCACTGTCGCTGTCAAAACGTGTCGTTTGTAGGTTAAATTTAAATTAATTCAACTGTCATAACCTAACCAAACTTGCTGATAATGAAAATTTCGAATGAAGGTTTACTAACAACACAAATAGTTCTGTTCATAAAATAAACTTATAAATGTTTCAAAATCAATTACCGGTATATAATTTATTAATTATAAAATTAAACTATCATAACCTAACCAAACCAACCAAACTTTCTGAAAATGAAAAAAAAAAAATCGAGTCAAAAAGTTGACCCAGTGCCCCAGTGCTGTATTATCAGCCCGGTGCGCTATCCACTACACCACCAAGACCTACGGCTGTTCAACGTATCGTTGCGGTAATGGTGTTCGCTCGAGCAGTGGTGGGTGGTGGCGGGCGGTGGCGGTCTGTCGGCAAGGGTTAATTAGTAACTCTACCTCTTTTGATAAGCAGGATTTTGCCTATTGGTATTAAATAAGGAACAAGTAGGCTCCCGTCAAGGTAGCATTCTAAAAGGCCATCAGATTGTATTTTCAATCTGACATACGGTAACTAAAGCCTAATGTCTTGGCTTACTGTACTCATTTTGAAAAACTAAAATATTTTTGTTTACCAGGCAGATGAAAGAAGAAGGATCACTTGATATGTCAACAGTTTAGTCACCTAAGGTCACCCTACAGTACTAAATCTAGCTGGTTTTCTAGATCAAGTCCTAAACGTTGGTGAATAGAAGCAGTGCAGTAAAAACTTATAAATGTCAAACATATTGTTTTGTAGAAATGGTACCTATTTAAGTAGTTTTTCTAAAACAACTGTTCATCCTCGGTTTTCCAAAAAAAAATTTACTGGTAAAAAAGTCCTTGATTTGCAGTGAAATGGCATTACGGTACTGTCTCTCTTACTTAACTTACCTCAGACCCCGCTTAAAAAAACACAAACTGAAACCCTGGGCCTGTGAGACGGGCATGCTATGAACAGACAACCTGTCAAGGTCACGACACCCACACAAAATAGGGGAGGAAAAGGTGGAAAGGTATTGGGGGAATGGAATCCCCCAAAGTAAAAAATTCCTGTGGGCCTGTCAGACCGGGGTTTCAGTAAAAGTGTTAAGTAAACTAAAGCCAAGCAAAACTGTACTAGGCCTAAATAAATCTAGCACTGTTAGACACTTCTAAGGCCTACTGAATGACTAAGACCTCTGTAACTTCAGCTTAAGTTCTCATGGCCGGATTTCCCAATAGGCCTGGGCCTATGGGCGCAAGGTCCCAGAGGGCGCACGGCCGAGTAGTTTTTTTTTTACCTAGGCTATCTAAAAATAAAAATAAATAGTCATAGTTGATAAAAAAAAACTACAACGCATTGTGATTCTGAAGTTCATAAGAAGAAATAATTGTTATAAAATTTAAACTATTTTTCAGAATTACGCATCAACTTCATTACAAAATTGGTAACGAACATTGGTTATACGGGAGTAGGCTGTAGGGATGTTGACGTTGACGAGCGCCCAAGGGGTACGCATCGTATTTACACTGCACTGCTACTATGCTGGATAGGGCTCGGCACTAAAGAGTGATTAGGGGCGCTTGCGTGCTAGACATTGTTACCACCCTCACCTCACAAAACAAGAGTTATTATAAAAATAGTTGTTTAGCCTCAGGATTACTGTATTATACTTAAAATGGTTTACAATACCTGCATATAACTTAGTAATCCTTTATTGCTGATTTTGGCAACTAGTTTCGGTTCTTAATGAGCCATCTTCAGGCCTCATGGTGTCAAGTAATCACTTCATTCAAAGATCGTTAACAAACAGAGTTCAATAAATTAAACATATACAAAACACGGTACACAGAGCCTGAAGATGGTTCATTAAGAACCGAAACTAGTTGCCAAATACAACAACAAAGGATTAGCCTACTATAAATATGCAGGTATTGTAAACCATAAAAACAAAGCTAGGCCTAATTAACTAATCTTCTGATTAGTTTACAACAATCTGCAGGAACAAGTTAAAATATATAATAAGTTGTGTTGAATATTAAAACAACGATGAATTTACCTTTAAAATTAACAAAAAAATATTAACCTCAGTTTGCATTAGATTTTAGAAAAATTCAATAACCTCCAATGCACCATTAATGCTGTTATTTTCTCCTCAGACCTAAGGATCGGTACGGTTGGCCGGAATATTGCTATGTTTTGCTTTGGATAGTGGGGCCTTGCCTAGATGCAGTACGACCATAGATTAAATATAACTCAAGTCGACTTCTTATGACATTGTTAATTAAAAATTTGTTCATGTCTAGTTTATGTTGGTGACACTGGACGTTGTTTTGACGAAATTTTGTTTCTATTATTTTAGAGTTGGTTCTATGATGTGTATTTTAATTTCTTGTAGCCTAATATAAACAGGAAACGGCCTATTGTTGATGATTAGATCGTTTTATTTTGGATAAACTAGTTTTAAACATAGATAAAACACACTCCTTAAATACCGGTAGGCCTAACAAGAATTGTTTTCAGCTAATCCAAAATGATGACAAATCTAATAAAGGAGTATGTTTAATCTATGGTATCACGTACTGTGGAGTTCATGTTTTTGGGCCTGGAATTAAAATCAACGGCCATGTTTTTTTGCAGGAATGCTCGGTGTGTTGAGTTTTTTGTTTCAGTCCCACGGCCACAAACGTGCGCATTTATTAAAAGCGTAAAATTGCTTTAAGGTTTTTAAGACGGCATTTTGTTAAGCCAAATCTTAGAAAAAAAATTGCAATGATTCCAACGAGGAGTGGTATACAAGCAATTAACTTAGGCCTATGGGCATGATATAACTTAGTAAAGGTTTGAAGGAAAGTAACTGTGACCAGACTAGGGGGCGGAAAATTATTTGGGCCTAGGGGCGCAAAAATGCTAAATCCGGCCCTGTAAGTTCTTAGCCTGTTATTGAAAAAACGCACAATTAGGTAATAACTTAAGTTAGGCCTATATATCCCATGAAAACCATGTCTAATAACTTAAAACTTCTAGGCCTATTATAACTTATCGAAGGCTCTCTTCAGAGTCAACTGTAGCCTACTCTTGGGTATCAGAAGGATGATTTGGCTGTAACCTAGCCTAGTTGGTAGCCTGGCTACTTACTTAGACTTAGGCTGGTTCAGTGTTCTCAAAAAAATTAAAGAGTCAAGTAGATTTTCATAAGTTAGGCAGGCCTAAGTTACCTAGTGATAGGATTAAATTACCTATTCAATAGGCCTACAGTAACTTAATTACAGTTAGACACTTGCTTTCGAATCATGTATGACCATAACTTAGGCCTAGACAGTTTCTTTCCAAGCAAATGTCTTAAAGTTTTATAGGCAGCTAGCTGCCAATTTCTCACATTCTCCACAAAAATTATAAAGTGAGTCGGCAAAGTTATTAGGCCTAGGGGTACAGTTTCTTAACTGGGCTACGCTAACATTTATTGAAACTATCAATTGAAAAATCGACTATTAATCAATTTAGTTATTTTTAACTAGACCTAGCCTAACCTAAGTTATAACTTATAATTTATAAAATGAAACTGTCATAACCCAACCTCACTAACCAAACTTGCTCATACAGTAGCCTAATGAAAAATTTGAATGAAGGTTTACTATTTGAATAGATAAGTTAGGCCTAGGCTAGATACAATTGATATTAGCGTACAGTAGCCCAATTAGGAAACTACACCTGGCAATTAGTATTTTATAGGTCAACTAAGTTATAATGTCATCAATCAAATCTTAACTTAAATCAACCGACGAAATAAATAAGATCCATCCATTAGTGATGCGCATTTCGAGATGTTACAATCGAAACGTTTCAATTGTTTGAACCTCTCGAGACGTTTCGATTGTATTTTTGCTTAGCGAGAGGTTCTTACCGAGAGGTTCGTGACAATTATTGTTTAGTTTCAGCACGGCTTCTCTTCTCTCGTATCTCGCTCTCACATTCGTCTAGAGAACCGAGAGGCGGGAGGTTTTAACGAGATGTTCATGACGAATGTTTTGTGCGGCATCGTCATTTATTATCATCTAATTTCCATTGTATCTACCGGGGATTGACCCCCCAATCCCAATAAGAGGTTTATCTTACTTCAAAATCAAGGAAGGTTTATGGATATATTACTTACTTTATCTATGGAATAATGACTTAATACCACTCAATAAAAACTATGACAAGACGAGATATTTTACAAACAAAATGTTTTTGTATTTCAATTGAAATGTTTATAACGAGACAGAAGGTTCTCATAAAAGTTTTGTTAACAATACTATGTACCATTACCCATTACTTTAAAATAATTTTATAGCCTATTTCTGTTGCCATAACGAAGTGACGTAATTGCTTATTCATATGTCAGCAGTAATATATGTTGTGCATAATAGTCTGCTATTCTATAAGAATCTAGAAAAAGAACTAACATCCTCGTAACAACTCTCATTAACTGTATACAGATGCGAACAGACGGTTTAGGCTTAACGAATACAAGAATCAAGAGAAAGATCTCGATTGTACAAACCTCTCGCTAAGCAACCGAAAAAATCGATAAGCGGAACATCTCGAGAAGGAACATTTTGATTGTTCAAACATCTCGCAATCACGCATCACTACCATCCATCAATCCTAATAAGCTGCTACAAAGTCTATATGAAGGCTTCTAGGCCTAGGCTAAGTTATTTTAGTACAAGTTAGGCCTAAGTTAGGCTTTGTCAATTTTGTGTTGGTTTAGAGCTAGTAGTGTAGCAATATGCAAATAAAACTTCATAAAGCTAGTGTTAGGTCAAAATAGCATTACGAACCAGAAAACAACGTTAAGACCAACGTTAACCAAACCAACCTTAACCATAAAACAAGAAAAGAGAACCCTAAGTTAAGTTAACTCTAACCTAGTTATGACTGACTAACCTTAAAATATATTACATAAGTTAACCTAAATTACCTTGAATAAAGATCTTTCAAATTACTGCTGCTATTAAACAAGAGGAATTGTTCTGTTCTTGATGGAAATAAATTTATTATTCTAAACAAATAAAACTAAAGAAATTGATAGTTTAAGTCAGTGGGTTGTTTAGTAATAGTATAGTAACCTCGGACTTTTTCTTTTTTTTTAGATCTAGACTAGATCGAGTCTCAGGCTCAGCAGGTCTCAGACTCTCAGTCCTCACTCCTCCCTCAGTGCAGTCAGCACAATTTTTATTTCAGCTGCAGTTTTTTAATACAGACAAAATGAGAGTTTAAAAATTAGAAATAAAAAAAATATTATAAAACTAAAAAAATTTAAAATTATTTTTTAAATTATAAAATTAAAATGTTATAGCCTAACCTAACTAACCAAACTTGCTGATAATAAACAAATTTAATAAAGGTTTACTTATAAAAAAAATAGTTCTGTTCATAAAATAAAACTATAAATGCCTCAAATTCAATTAAATTTTTTTTTATTGTAAAAACCATCATAACCTAACCAAACTAACCAAACTAGCTGATACTGCAAAAATCTTAGATAAAAAGTTAGTGCCACCGACAGGTTTCGAACCTGGTACCATTCATAGTCATTTGTAAAATTTTTTTACGGAATGGCTTAACAGTTTTTTTTTGTTTCTCACACCTTCTGGGTCATGCGAGACTTGTGTTATTATATATTACGTGGTGTAATGCACATTTCTTCCTTTCTGACTGAAATAGTTTGACTTTAATATAACACTCCCTTTGGAAAAGTGTAGTCATTCTCATAAACATCGCTAATGCAATTTTTTGTCCACTTTGGGCTGATGAAAATGATTTGATTTTTTAAAGCGTAGCACGGATTAGGGTAACGGAGACAACATACTATAATTCATCTACCAAAATAACCACATAAAAACTACAATTAAGTTTTAGTTTCATTAGTGTTTGTTGATTTGTTGGATGTTGGATGATTTTAGATCCTGTGTTTTAATAAGGCTAACTGTAATATTAAATATTCTAGATGAAACAATAATGCACTTATCAGCATTTATTGTCTTTATAATCAATATCTAATCGTCAATGTAGGATTGATATTTACAGGATATCTGTTCGTAGATATATAGTACTGAATATATTTACAATATTTTTAGGATATTGCATCTAAACATTATATAAATATCTACTGAGAAACTTTTAATATCTATTAAATATTTATAGAATATCTTAACAGATATTTTAAAGATTTCTTAAATAAGATATTTTAAAAATATATTTAATTACATTTAGATATCTTTAGACATATTTCAACCACTTTGAATATTCAGTGGATATCTGGTGCTGTTAGGGTTGGAACAGACGTGTGCGGTAATGGCGCACGTCTGACGTGCGAATAGCCTCTGCCTTTACTTTTCTTTAATCTTCATTCTTATTCTTACTCTTCTTCCTATTTCTCTTACACAAAAGCTGGCTCGGCTACGCGCCATACAACTGTCTGTCTAAATCTTATACTACTGTACCTATTGATTCTTTCTTTGTCACTTCTACATCTCAACTCCAACTCATTTTTCTTATGCCTTAGGGAGAAAACGATTGTTTTAATCTGCGTAAAATAACTCTTTCCGGCACCAGCTCAAGTCTAGGAAAATGGTCGTAGTTCTAAAAGTCACTTTTTGCTCGTGTAGTTACATTTTTCTCATCATTATTATGCACTTAAAAGTTACAAAAAAGTATTTTTAACGTAAAGATATACTCCTAAAGTAAATTCCACTTTGTTTTAAAATTTTGCTATTGTGAACAAGCAGCTATTTAGTAAGGTATTGAATCATTTCGTTTATTACGATTGTTTTCGTGTGCATAATAGTACTACCGATACTACGGTGGGTACTATCGATATATTTTTAGTGTCAAATTATTGATATATTATCCATAGATTTCTTGGACTTTGGACTGGCTGTGCAAAAAACCCGTTTCCTTGTGTAATCCATCTCCTTGGATTCAATGCAAACAAATTTGAATCCAGTCGATAAAAAGATCAATAATGAAACACAATCAATTGAAACCCATATATACAGCCGATGATCACAATCGAAGTTAACAAGTGAGCAGGATGTAGTGAGGATGTTAGAGTATGTTTAATCTATGATGTTATTGACTCCAGCTAAATTTTACTCCCAAGGAAGAATATCTACTTAAGACTTGCAACGCTTGTATTTGAAACAGCTGTTTTTGTTACAGTATGACGAAATGGTATATTTCATTACTAGGGCGTAAAGAGACTCTTTTCGACCGAAGCCCATAAGTTTCGCAACCAATTAAAGCGAAGACGAGGACTAAAAATTAGCGAGGGTTGAAAAGACATGTTTTGCCCATGTAATGAACTATATACCTATTTTTCGTATTATTGCAACATTATTTAAGCAAAATAAGTAACACAACAAAAATACTTTAAAAAAATACTTACATAACCTTTCAAAACGACTTACTAAGGACTTTCAATTTTGCTCATGCAATCAAGCGGCTGTGTAGTAAGTGATTCAATAATTTCATCTTATACGATTGTGTTAGTATTAGTGTATATATATATGCTGTCGGTATTTTGAAATATCGATAAGAATGCAACAACAAGCTTCAACCGATTAAATGAATACATGATACATACATACCTATACCTAGAATACTCATTGGCACCTTGGGGGTGGCCATGACACATATCGGTGATTAAAAACGCTTTTCACTCCCTGGCTCTCCATAAATTGCTACTTCAGACCCGGAACGCATGTATTAAATTTGTCGTATGTATGTCAGACAAATGTATTTATAGAAAAATAACTCACTCACCAAACATAAGGCGGTAGAGCATTGAAGCATTGCGTCAGTTTCGACATGCCTTTGGGCAAGCTCCTCATCCCCCTTTGGTTAAGAGAAAACACACTTGTACCGGTAATTTCAGATATATTGATAAATAAAATAGAAATTTATTGCATATGAAAAAAATAAATGTACCACTTAACTACTTTATAAAAATAAGCCTACCTCTCTATTATTTAAAAAAAAACACTGAAATAAGTTGGATGAAGTTATGTACGAAATATTCTCTGCATCCAGGAAAATTCTTAAAGCTTCATTACCAATGAAAATTCTAACTAAAATTTATAACACTTTAAAGATTTTATTTTGATAATATTGTGTTTATTTTTTAATACACGTCATTAATTTATACGTTAATTTATACGTTAATTAATACGTGAATTAATATTAATACTATGTTTTTATAAGATGACATGCACATTTACAATTAAAAGTTAACACTCGTAGCATATCAACAACAGTTATGCTAGGTTCTGAACCTAGAGGTAGCCAAAATCCCAAATAGAACGAAACTGCCCACAAAAAAAATCTGTCATTTGGTTATGGGTGAAAAACATTGAAACGTGAGTTTTGGCACAGAATAGCAAAGATTTAGGTACTGAAATGTTCTTCTTGTATCGGAAAATAATAAACAGAACAAAAATATTTGCTGGATTCAGGCGGGACCAGGGTCAAATTTGAACTCTCTTGCTTGCAACGGTACCCCGAAGGAGACCTTACCGGTAATCAAATTACGGTCATAGTCCTGTTATGCATTTCAAATTCCGATTATATGGATTGAACACGCACTTTTTACGCCAACATGAGAACAAACACGCTCAAAACCAGAAACAACACTTTTACTCAGGTGTACTAGGATCATGAATAGCCAAAATTACTCTCATTAAAAGAATAAGTTCATCCAGCTAGGAAATCGTTATATTTAATTGACACCTTCCTCGTTCAAAATAAATGCGGTACTTTCCTGTTAAAGGGAACATTCATTATTATCGATGATTTTTTCTCGATATATCGATTTTAACAAATTGAAACATATTAGCTGACAACTACGATAAATATTGTTCAGTATCAACAAACAATGATGAAATGAAACTGATATAAAAAAATAACCTATTATAACTAACCAAACTTGCTGTGTAACATTTAAAAATTCCGTGTTTAACTTGCCTATTCTGTTATCAAACGGAATTTTTAAATGGTACAGCAAGTTTGGTTATTATGTTAGGTTAGCTTAGAACGGTTTCATTTCTTAATCCATATAATAGACTATTTTAGCCTAAACAAGATCAGTTGTCAACTTGTAATGTATCGGAAAACAAAAATATCGACATATCGAGAAAAAAATCATCGATAATAATGAATGTTCCCTTTAACAGGAAAGTACCATAAATGCAAACGATGGTAATGTGTTCAAGATGGTGATCGTGGTTCGTCACTCCTGAAAGCTTGGTTAAATTGTTGCTATTCAGTAATATCCTGTTGTGTAATGGGGTTGTAGTATGATTCTGAGAAAATCCATTAACTTTTTGATGGTCCTTGAAACTTAAATTAGCTGGCCTTGACCATTGGACTATTACTAATCGATCAAATGGCTAAAGAACAGCTGATATTCAGCAATAAAGCCAACTCAATCACACCACTCTACTCTGCTTTAGTTCTTTCATCCTAAAATACGCACAATTGACTACCCATCTCAATTCAATTCTTTTAGACAAAGAACTACACTTCGCTACGTATTTTTGATCTAAACGTGAATGAATGGTGAGTATGATAAAGGACCTCAGGGTACCGGTATAGTTTTGAATCGTAAAAAGCTTACGACTTTTTTTTAGGATCGAACAGGTGACCTTTTGATTACAGGAACCACTCAGCTACCCTGATAAAATTGATAATAGAATATAATATAATAATGACAGACATCCATAAAAGACAACAATGACTCGGTCTCTGATCGAAGAAAATTTACCCTCAATTCACGTCAATTGTGGAAAAAAATCAGAATAACTTTTTTATTTCCATCAATAGCTAGTTTAAAACACTTTCCTATACCGTGGTGTACAAAATCGGCATAGTAAAATCGTTTTACTGTATCGTACAAATGGTTCTGTCATGAAACTATACAATGTAAAATATTACTTTGGAGAGTCCACAAACGAACTTTTATCTGATGCTGGGCATTTGCTGATGCTAGTGTGGGTGTTTGCTTCAGCAGCGCAGGCTCCTCAGCACAACATGCTGAAGCCTCAGTCGTCGCGCACCCTCCTATGTAAACG